TTACCTTAGCGATAGAATGCAACGTGTGAAGATCAATAATAATCTCTCGCGAGTAAGGACAATAAATCAAGGGGTGCCGCAGGGTTCGATACTCGGACCGCTATTATAAACGCTATATACTAGTCAGCTCTCCAAATCCCTTGAATACTGTAAGCCTCACATGTATGCAGATGATACTCAAGTGTGCCTTTCATTCCTTGGTGATGATTGGCCAATGGCGGAGTTTAAAATTAATGCTGATCTTGACGCTCTATTTAAAACTTCTAATGATCATTCAATGTCACTGAATCCAAAAAAATCAGCAGCAATAATTTTTGGGAAAGATCGGTCAGAGATAATGAACAATATGACGCTACATATAGATGATGTTCTAATACCGTTCTGCGATTCTGTTAAAAATTTGGGTCTCATAATAGATTTTAAGCTCAGATTTAAAGAGCATACTTCAAAATGTATACAAAGAGCGTATTATGCACTCAAGCTGCTTTACCCTCATAGACACCTTCTTAGCAGAGACATCAAACGAATGCTATGCGAAACGTTGGTTTTGTCCCAGTTTTCGTATGGTGCTCCTGTCTATTATCCAGGCTTGGATGCTGATACGATATCTAGAATTCAGCGTGTTCAAAATTCATGTATAAGGTACATTTTCGGTATAAGGAAATATGACAGAGTTAGTCATAAGCTGAAGGATTTACAGTGGTTGAACATGAAACAGCATTCAGAACTATTAACACTATGTTTCTACAATAATATTTTGTCGAGCAAATAACCGCCATATTTGTATGAAAAAGTCATGTTTAGAGAAAGTCTTCATTCTGTCAATGTTCGTTCGAAACAGAATATTTCTGCTCCATTCCATCGAACATGTTTTTTTTTCGAACGTGGCTTCTCTTACAACATCTATAAATTATACAACTCCATCCCCCAGCAAATCAAAAATATGAAAGGTTGCAAATTCAAGGCAGCTCTGAGACGATTCCTTTTAGATAAGTATAATTAACTTCACTGATAATACTGTAACATTTAGCTTTTTTGGATGAATCTCATGATTATATGATGGAATATTTTCAGTTTTATATTTTTAGTGTTATTTGTTTTTTTGTACTCATGCTTTTTTTTCTGCTCTCATATAGTTAGTAGTAGTCATGTAACAGTTGATATCACTATTTTAAAATAGAGCAAGGGATGAGTGGAAGAGCACGCAGGTCGTAAACTCCCCCTTGAGATTCGAGAGCAATTATTCCTATTTGTTGAACACTATTTTTGTATGCATTGTCTCTTCGAATAAAGCCATTTATTATTATTATTATTATTATATGTGTTTTCTTTTTTGGCCAAATCACAATTGTAGAAAGCTGACTTTAGAGGCAATTATATTTGCATAAAAGACAATGTATATTTAGCGTGTACTTAGTAGCCGAAAGAAAACCTTGATCTATCGTACTATTTTTCAACATTTCTATTCCAGATGATGACAGAAAATCAATCCAGAAACGACAAGCAGACACGGACGCTGTTGATACAGACACAGTAAACGTCGACACCACGAGCAACGACAGCCTTCTACAAAAAGCATTTAGGTTGATCAGGAACTACCTTCTCAATACTGTTATCCACATGGTAGCAGGTTGGATTCTGGGTTGAAGCAGTGATGAGCCCCTCTCTACAATGGTTTATTTTGGGTCGTTGCCATGTGTGGATACAATGTGAAAGGCCAATAACTAAATACGATCGGCCTTGGTGCTGAATGACCGAAAAAACGGTTATGGTGGCCCATTGTTATCCAGGTATTGGCAGTGGCGTTTATAGGCATAGCCTAGACCATTGAGAAGTGGGTGCTTGAGAAGATCCAATAAAGATTGAGCTCTCATGAATGTTGTTTTATTTTCACGAAAAAAAAATGGCGTAAAGTAAGTTGAGAGAGAGTACTTCCCACGCAATTTTTTACAAATGAACTTTGTATATGCAGTCAAATTTTGTGTGCTCTGGTTTATTGTTTGTCCGCTATGAAAATCGTTCTAGAGTTAATATCAGTGAAAAAAAGTATTATTGATATGGAGAAAAATGAAATTATGACCTGTGATTCACATTCTTACGTTCGCGCATCTTTACTATTGGCTGGCGATAGAAACCCATTCAGCTGCTCGTGTAATGCAATTGATATAATTGAAGAAAACTCATTGTCAATTTAACTTTTTTTAAATAATCTATGATAATTTTCGTACACCCTAGAATGATTACTGTTGTGGTTGAGGAAACGGTACTAAAATAGATGAAATAATGCATCGTTCATTCTTCAAAATATCTTTCCCACACATTCACGGTCCTGGAGGCATTGTCTTCAAGACAGAGGAGTAAGTTGAGGTTTTCGCCGATGCCATGGAAATACAGTTCTCTCCCAACTATGATCTTGATAATGACCTCGACGAGAAGCAACACATCGTAAGATCTGTCAGGAGATATTTTAGGGCCAACGGCGTCAGTGACAGTCGCGCTATCGTTGGTGATTTTTCTTCATCAGAAGATTCTTCTTCAGAAGGTTCTTCAACCGAAGATCTGCTTAGCACATCAGCGGAATCTCCTGAGATCCCGCATTGCACACCAGCAGAGATTCAAGGTCATATTAAAGACCTTAAAGTGCGTAAAGCACCTGGGGAGGATCAAATCACTAATAAGGCGCTGAAGCTGCTTTCGCGGAAGTCCTTAACTTATCTCGTGGCAATAGTCAATGCCATGATAAGGATCCAGCACTTCCCATCCGCGTGGAAGACCGCTGAAGTTATAATGATTCCAACGAAGGTGGGTTCGATATTTCCCCAGGATTATCGTCCCATTAGCCTACTGTCTAAGCTCGCTGAAAAGGTGATTCTACGTCACCTTGAGAATTTCTCGTCAGATCACCATGTGATTCCTGACGTGCAATTCGGTTTTCGGTCTGAACATAGTACGGAGCTACAGGCGGTTAGGCTGGTGGAACGTGTAACCAGAGGATTCACCCTTAACGAAAGTACTGGCATCTTGCTTTTGGATGTCTCAAAAGCATTTGACAAGGTGTGGCACGCGGGCCTCTTGTATAAACCAATCCAAAAGGGCTTCCCTTTTGGGCTTCTAAAACTACTGAAATCCTTCCTTGAAGGTAGGAAATTTCGGATCAAAATTGACAATGTCCTGTCTACAACACGGCTGATTACAGTCGGCGTCCCTCAGGGTTCGGTCCTTGGACCTATCCTTTACTCACTGTACATCCATGACGTCCCTAGTCCCAGCAACTGTGAAGTCTATCTCTATGCTGACGATACTGCATTGGTGGCTCAGTCGTGGTCTGGTGACCTAGTCCATGACAGGCTGCAAAGTGCGGTGGAGGAAGTATTAGATTGGGCGGATCGGTGGCTAATTAAAATAAACCATTCGAAAACGCAGGCAATCTACTGTACAAAAAGACGTCGCGGCGTTCCGTCTGAAGTTTCAATGAATGGACTTCGTATACCATGGGAATCCTCCGCTAAGTATCTCGGTGTCATTCTGGACAAAGGGATGACTTGGCGGAACCATATGGAAGCGCTAAAAACTAAATTCCAAATTACGTTTCGACAGCTTTACCCATTATTATGTAAACATTCAAAATTAAGTTTGATTAACAAGATTCGACTCTATAAGGTGGTCATAAGACCAGCAATGACTTACGCATGTGCGGCTTGGTGTTTTATTGCAAAAACACGCATGCGAAATCTGCAGGTTCTGCAAAGCAGGACGTTGCGCACTATTGCTGATGCCCCATGGTACCTATGTATCTAACGAAACTCTACATAGAGACCTCGATGTCCCTTATCTAAAGGACTACATTAAGCAACAGGCGCAGCGGCGCTATAGCCTAGCGGAATCGCACAGCAACCATCTGTTGCGTGAGTCAGTGGACTACACAGTCGAGCAAGTTTGCAAGCACAAAAGGCCGCGGCTCGCACTGAAATCAAAATGAACTCGTGAACTTAGAACAACCAAAATTGGAGCATTTTGAAAAAATCTTTAGAAAAATTCAAATATTTTTAGACCATATTAAAATCTGTGAAGTGATTTTAACAATGCCTAAACGCTGCCTATCCTAAACGATTCTCTTCTTCCTCTTTGCTCTCGTTCTTCCTTCTCTCCTCTCCTCGCCTTTTTTCCTTAAAATTGTCTGGTTTCTGGGTTACCAGACCTGACAGACTTACAAACTGACACTGTGACTCAAGAGCTAAGGTCCCACGGACCGCTCTGACAACCAACGATGACTTGTTTCAAAATATCTTCACATTCGCAGAAGACTAGTGTTTATTGGTTATTTCACATTTGAGTAACTACAACCTTAAAATGTTGTCACCGTATCTGATTATTTATATTTAATAGATTCTAAGCCAATTATTGCATCCTCGCTATTCGTCTTCCCTCTGAAGTTCAGGAAGAGAATTCATCGCGTGGATTTTCACCCGATATACAGCGACAGAGGCTAGCGCACGACTTTGTATAAAAAATATATGTATCATTCTGAGTTTCAAGGGCAAATATATCTACACGGCAATATATGTTGGAAATATACCTATTAGGTGCATAGAAATACCGGGGCTAGACGTTTATAGGTATACTACCGCCAGTAAGTAGAGATGCACCCTCTCCCATCATCTACAACCACCACTTTCCAATTTATAACTCTGAAAAAAATGTTCAAAAATAATGAGCAGTATCTTAAACGTAAAATAATTAAGTTTAAGAGATGATTATTTTATTTGCGCTTGGTTCCGCCGTCGCGGGATAACTTGAAAAACTACAGATCTTTTTGTCATTGGCATAGTGGTAGCCCCATATGAAAATTTCATCAAAATCTGAGCGGTACTTTCCAAGACGGAAAAATGATTAGCGGACGAACAGATTGTGATTTAAATGTCGTATACCGTCTAAAAATAATGATATCTCATTCTAAAATACTTCCTCGGCAGAGGCGTGGGAAGTGAAATGTGTCCAAGATTATTTCAATAGATTTTATTTCAATCGAACAGGTATTTAAACAGTGTGTACCATTTTCTAAACATTCTAATATATACTATATGCTTGTCTTGATGCAGCTCCACTCAAGGAAAGGTGAATACAGGACACTGAAAGAATATCATATAATCCTAAATGTATAGATAATGGATTCGTTCGGAAAAATATTCAGATTGGATTTTTTGCAAAATCTTATTCAAATACCACTTTACACTGGTTTGAATGTTGCTAGGCCCAAAATGTATTAACCAAACTCCAATTTTTTTTTTTCACTAAACGAGTTTTATTTGGGTCAGTCTGAGCAAAAAAGGTCTTTAAGAACTTTTCTCTAAAGTGGATATTTTTCGGAATATAAGCGATTTAATATTTGAAAAATTAGGTTTCAAACATGGTATACCATTTTCTAAATATTCTAATGTATACTATATATTTGTCTTGATGCAGCTCTATTCAGGGAGAGATAAATACAGTACACTCAAAAAATATTAATAAATCCTAAATGTATAGATATTGGATCCGTTTGGAAAAATATTCTAATTCGATTTTTTGTCTTATTCAAAATTAACCCCTTTTAAAGAATCGGCATATTTCCAGGCCCGAAGTTATTTAAACAATTTTTCTTAAAAAAAACCATTTTTTGATTTTCGCTCTGGACTAAGTTTTATTGAGTCTGAATAATCTCACTTATACAGGGTGATTCAAAAGTCGTGACCAAAAATGCAACATCATACACAGGATCGCATTTTGAGGGGATCTTCTATGTAACATTTTTTCCTCGAGGACTTCATTAAAAAGATATGGGGTACTTAAAAATAAAAAAAAAACATTTAAGTACTGTCCACATTCAAAAGTCTTTACTTAAAATTAACTTGTACCAGTGGCGGGGATACAGGGGATTGGTGGCATTTTCTTTCCAAATAAAAATAGTACGCCACTGTTTTTTCGAGTTTTACTTTCACTTTGCTACAAATAAGTACAGTTTTTTTTCCTAGAGTGCACTGTTTTCGTAAAAATCAAACAAATTAGATCATTTATTAAGAGCCGAGATACAATTAGTTTCAAAATAGAATAGGAGGCCTTGATACTCACTTGACGTTTCTTGGGAGATAGTTTGTCAAAGGTATATGTTATACGGTTGTTATCGTTACTACTAGCATTTTTTTTTTGTAAAAGTCCAGTCAAAAGCTTCTTTTTTTCGTTTTTGAGTGTTGTGAAATGGTATTTAGCAATGATGAGTACGCCGATACTATTTTTGTTTACGGGTTCTGAGATGGAGATTCTAGTACAAGCACTAGGCGGATTGCAGCCCAGTTACCATATTCTCAGTGTCTTGCGAAGAGAATTTTAAATCGGGAAGTTTTACATCCTTACCATTGGCAAAATGTGCAATGTCTGCAACGCGGTGACGAAGTGCATCGGCGAAATTTTTGTGAGTGTTACTGAAAATGCATAATCCACTCGTTTCATCACAGATTTTCTCGAAATGTCTGGTGCGGCATTTTTAATGGCTAACTGTTTATGCACGTATTACCATAACGTTTAAATGCAAACTCATACTTAGCTTTTCTAGAGAATTACATAGAAAATATGTTTGATGATGCTCCTTTAGCAACGAGAGTACGAATGTGGTATCAGCACGACGGTGCCCCACCGCATGTTCGTCGTGACATAACCGCATGGTTAAATAATCATTTTAGACAACGATGTATTGGCAGAAACGGACCCGTACATTGGCCTGCGAGGTCTCCTGATGTGAACCCTCTGGAATTCTTTTTGTGGAGCGTTCTTAAACAACTAGTATACGCTGAACAAATTAATAGGTACTGTTGATCAGTTACAAGAAAGAATAGATAATGCGATTTATCAAATTCCACAACAAATTTTGCGGAAATGCGTTTTTCTTTATTAAAAAGATGCCGCACTTGTACCCGTCAAAATGCCGGTCTTTTTGAACTTTTGTAGAAATAAAGCTTTAATTATCTAACTTGTTTTTTATTTTTACGAAAACAATGCACCCTAAGAAAAAACTCAAGAGTAATTATATGTAGCAAATTGAAGGTAAAAAATTAGAGAAATGGCGCGTTTCGAAAAAAAAAACAGTAGCGTACTATTTATTTAACTAACTTAACTAATTTTAAGTAAAGCCTTTTGAATTTGGAAAATACTTAGGTAAATCCACATACCATATTTTAGTTCATTCCAGTTGACGGTTTTGAAGATATAAAAAAAATTGTTTTTTATTTTTAAACTTCAATACCCCGTATCTTTTTAATAAAGCCCTCAAGGAAAATATGTTACATAGAAGACCCCCTTAAAATGCGGCCCTGTGTATGGTGTTTCATTTTTGTGCACGACTTGTGAGCCATTGAATATTCGAAAAGTGCAAAATATGTCATATTCGACGCCGAAAATCAATATGAAAAACGAAATTTTCAATGTTGCCAAAGTTAGCAAATATCTTCTTGTTTTGGATCAAGCTTTAATTACTAACTTCATTAAAATCAGTGACATTTCATCTCCTGAAGTTTTTCCATTTTTTTCATGTATGCATCGTCATATATTTTTTGTTTGTGTCTGTTTTTGATATCTTTGTATATCTTTGCACATTGTGACAATATAAAATTGTAATTATATTTGAATAGAAAATTTTTTACAGACCTCGTACATTGATTGACGATTAAAAAAGAAAGCTTTATAATAAGGATACACCTGAAATGTTGAAGGATGTTTAAGAAATGCTTTGGAACAGTGTCAATATTAAAATTTTAATTGATTCATATTGTTTTTTGGCGTCGGATATGACATATTTTGCATTTTTCCAAATATCGTTTATATCTCGATAAATATCAACTGTCAACTTTTAAGAGAAAAGTTCTTAAAAACCTTTTTTGTTCAGACTGACCCACAAAAACCTTGCCTAATGCGAAAAAAAAAAATTTTGGAATTCGTTTGAAAAATATGTTCAAATAGTTTTTGACGCAGTTTTGGGCAACATTCAGACCCGTTAAAAGGAGTTTTTGAACAAGATTATGCAACAAGCCGAATCAGTACATTTTTCCGAGCATGTCAAATTAGAAATCGTATTGAGAACTTACGTCAGACTGTTTTTCTGCCGCTGCCAAGCACTTCATGTACTGCATGGATATTTCACACTTGCTTTGTGGTTCTGCAGGAACTGTAAGCTCTGAAAAAAATAAGAAAAAAATCATGATTGCCCACATAACGGCATGCTCAGGATGACTAACTGTTTTTTCACATCTCTTAACTCTCAGAACATTAGAAAAGATACCCAGTTATGTATAACATATCCTAAAAAGATCAAAAGTCTCAAAGACGTCAAAAAATGAGCTTACGATTTGTCAAACCCCGTTGTCTAGAAAAGATTTCTTTGGTCTCGCAAAAACGTTGGAATCACTTTCTTAGCTGAAAACCTATTCCCGTCTTCTATTTAAATATAAATATACGTCGTTATATGTTTATAGTTCAAACTCACCTTTGGATGGATCATCTACGTTATCTGCGTCGAAATATTTCACAGTCCCAGACACTGAAATTTTACATTCCTTATCAATAGATAAGTTAGGCAAGTAGTCGGGTTTTTGTAACATTTTTGATACCATCTAGTTAGCAAGATCTTAGTCAGGTAACATACTAACATTAAACATACTGCTTTCACTCATCTGATCACAGACTGCCAACCATGTACAGCTGTTTCGTCCTTTTTGGTAACTCATCACCATGGCGTGGGTTTGGTCTCTGGGACAACGGACGAAAGAATAGCTGCTATACACTTCCGAAGTGATCGATTCTTGTAATAGATGGCGCTTTATGATCTTGTTCCGATATATACCTCAGATAGGGGATATTTGCTATGCTTTTGTTCGTTGTTCCAGAGACTAAGCCTATACTTTTCTGATGAGTTACCAAAAAGCACGAAGCTGCTCTCCATGATTGGTTGTCTGTGTTCGGCCGGACAAAAGCAGTATGTTTAGTTGTTCAATGGTGAGGAGACCACATCCACTAAGTATACTACTACCCTAGCGGTCATAGTGGTGACTGAAGATAGTGCATTGTGCAGTCTTATTTCGATAAACCTTACATTAGTTTTTAGAAAGAAATAAAAAAATGTATACTAAGTGACATAGAAAGAAGAGCACCCAGTAATAATGCATTTATTGAGATGTTTCTCGAACTTCCATTGTCTATACTTTTGTGTGTCATTTTCTGTTAAGTATTTTTTGTACTCTTTCAACTGTTGAGTGAGTTGTCTTTCAATTTTGTCCGTTGGACCCGTTGGCAGTCGCTTGCAATCTCCTTTCCTCATTACCTCGTCAATTTATTGTATTGTGTATACAAAATACCATGTGAATGAGGATATATATATATATATATATATATACAGGGTGGCCCATCCATGTGCGGATGGAATATTACTCATAAACAAATACATTCTGGGAAAATCTATTTATGGGATGTTATACATGACATTTGAGGGCACATTTCCAAAATATTGACCATTATATAGGGTGTCCCAATTTCGACATACATATCAAAGTTGTTATTTTTCAAATAGAATGCCTCAAATTTTATTGCATATTTGGATAAAGCAATTCAAAAGAATAAAATTGATGTAACATATTATGGGGTTTTGGTAATTAGCTACTGAGATATAAGGTATTTTGTCTAGAAAAACCCCCCAATTCGGCAACCCCTCAGTCCGCCATTTTTAAATTTGGAGTGCTGAATTTTGTACCAAAAAAAACTGAAACATCTCAGCTTTTATCTTATTCGTTACTTTTTCGAATTTTAATTTTTGCTCATACAGGGTGGTCAAAAACGCAAATTATGGTTTTTCTCAAAAATTTCAAATCCCTACCCTATATATTTGTGCAAGTTTGGATTCAATTTTTTATAAGCTTTTTTGATACTAGACATATAAGAGTGTTTACGGCTATTTTTTCGGTTATTAGCACGTCTCTTATGGAACGGCTTAATTCCCTAAAATATCGCATATCATCATTGGAAACAAATAAATTGTTGATTAGTTACAAACTGTCAAAATTAGCTTTGTGAGCATTATGATTATAAACGTGTTTGAAAATAGATTTTTCTAAAGAAGAAATGGTGAATTTGGTGTTCGTTTTGAGCGAAGCCCAATGAAATAGTTTCCTAGCATCTCGCCTTATATCTTGGCCTATATCTTGGCCTCCTAGATCACCAGATATGACACCGATAGACTTCTTTCTATGGGGCTATGTTAAGCAAGAGGCTTATAGATATCTACCATCTACCCCGGAAAATTTGAAGGAAAGGATTAAGGATGCTTTTCTGAACATAAGGGATTACATGCTGAGGCATGTGCAACGGTCATATACCCAAAGACTACGGCTGTGTATTCAACAAGGTGGAAATATTTTCAAGCAGTTCTTGTAGATTAGTTCTTGAGTACTGATAGTTGTTTGTTTATGTTGTTGTTATAGTTTTCTTTCTCTATTACGCTTGAAGCTGAATACTGTTCTGATTGTTATTAGTTTTTACGTCAAATCTGTACTCTTAGTGACAATATGGAACTAGCCCACTGTTTGTCTTTTGTTTCCATGGATGATGTGATTTTTTTCCTTATTTTTGGTGTGTTGTTCTATTAAAAGCTTAATAACTCAAAATCTAGTGATTTTATCTGAATCAAACAACAAAAGCTTATAAAAAATTGAATCCAAACTTGCGCAAATATACAGGGTGATATATTTGAAATTTTTTAGAAAAAGTACATTTCGCGATTTTGACCACCCTGTATGAGCAAAAATGAAAATTCGAAAAAGTAACAAGATAAAAGCTGAGCTGTGTAAGTTTTTTTTGATATAAAATTCCACACTCCAGATTTCAAAATGGTGGGGTGCCGAAGTGGACGGTTTTTCTGTAAAAACCACCTTACATCTCAGTAGCTAATTACCAAAACCCCATAGTATGTTATATTAATCTTCTTCTTTTGAATTGGTTTATCCAAATATGCAATAAAACTTGAGGCGTTCTATTTAAAAAATCACAACTTTTATATGTAGGTCAAAATTGGGACACCCTGTATAATTGCCAATATTTTAGATATGTGCCCTCAAATGTCATGTATAACATCCGATAAATAGATTTTTCCAAAATGTATTTGTTTATTAGTAATATTCCGTCCACACATGGATGGGCCACCCTGTATATACAGGGTGACTTCGAAGTTGAGTCATTTATTTTAACAGTGTGTAGATCTGATCGAAAGAAATGTTTTTTTCCTTTACCATTTTTCTGGTAAAATTAAAGTAACAAAGTTATAGCCCTTTGGAAGTTTGAGTACCGCCCTGTCTCAATAATATCATGTGTTCGTGTTTGGCAACAACGGTTCATCGCATCGGAAACAAAAAAGCGAAAGAATTTGGAACGATGTTTTTACGATTACAATTCAGTTCAGTTATACATACAGTCAGTTTCAGTCGCGTGTGAATAGTGTCTGTTGCGTGGCTCAAACGAAATAAAAAATGGCACATGTTTATGCGGATCGGTTTCCCAATCGAGTGCAACCAACCCCTCGTGCCTTTGTTAATGTAGTGCAACGGGCTCGTGAATCAGGTGACTTAAGACCTCACAGGGGACCTCACGATCAAATACAGGTCCGCACTGAAATACTTGTCGGGAGGATACTTTATAAAACAAGGTAAAATTTTTTTTTAATTTTTTTTTTATTTTTACACACATATTTTGGTTTATCTTCCTTCTACAATCATTATCTGAAAATTAATGACTCAACTTCAAAGTCACCCTGTATATCCATATATACAGTGTGTTTCAGTTTATTGTTGCATAACTTTAAGATTCGATAGAACTTTTAAAATTAATACATAAAGTCTATATAAACATGGGTCGAAAAATGCGTGGCTTCCGAAATACGGGGGTTTAAATTTACTTTCTAAAATAGTTTTTTTTTAAATATTTCGAACAATATTTGATGTATAACAGTGAAAATTGGTATACAAGGGTTTTTTGCTACGACAAAACGAACCATGGGCATAGTTTTACTGTAGCCGCTAGAGGGCGCTCTCTACTGTACCTGTAGTGTATTAAAATGACCGAAAAATTTTTCTTAGTGCAATTTTTTGCTTTTTGAATAAAAAAACTGATTCTTCGTACTTTTCAACATAAAAAAAGCTCTCTTGTGAATTCTCGTTATAGTTAGCCGTTTTTGAGATATTTCGATTTTTAAGGTTCGATGCATTTTTAATTATTTATGATAAAATAACGTTAAAAAGTCAGTATCTCGATAATTTTTAGAAGTAGGCTGTGCCTGCAAATATTTTTGAAATTGAAAGCAGAATAAGGTTAAACGTCAATTAGTTGACAGTTAGTTTTGTTGTCTGTTGAAATCTGAAACGTTTTTTTGCAATTGTGAATGCACGAAGTTCAGTTTCTTTTACCTGTTTTTTTTTTGTAGGTTTTATAAAAATCAACATATCTGGTCGTATGAAAATCCGCATGCAGTTCGGAAAAGAAATTTTCAGCATGAATTTACTGTGAACGTGTGGATTGGTATCTACCGTAATCGACTATTTGAACACTACCTTTTGCCTGCAAGGTTAAATGCGACCTTCTTGGAATTTTTAAAGGCTGAACATGCAAATATGTGGGATGATATTATGTTAGATTTAAAAAGATTGGCCTGGTTCCAGCTTGATGGTTGTCCAGCTCATTATTCGAGAATAGTTAGAAACTGGCTGGACGAAAATTATCCAGAAAGATGGATCGGCCGTGGAGGACCAGTCGCCTGGCCTCCACGACCCCCTGACCTAAATCCATTAGATTTATTTGTGTGGGGATTTCTAAAAGAAAAAGTGTACCAGACTCCCGTAACCACAAGAGATTTGCTAATAAACAGAATCAGGAATGCATGTGATGAAATAAGGCCTTATTTGAATAATGCTATACCACGTTCGATCATTCGTGAATTGTGTATCTATCAACTTTTGTAGTTTCATATGTGCATTCATTTCGGGCCTGATGAAGCTAACCAGCAGAAATACGTATCGCTCGGGTTACCTATCCTATTTTCTGCTCGAATCCACTTTCCTCCTTTTTGCGGATTTTTCCCATTATTTTCCTACTTGTTGTTATATACCTTTCTCCGTATGATCATATTCTCTATATATATATATATATATATAGGAGAAATAAAAAGACCACGCTTAGTAAGAATAATAGAGCATGGCACGGTATTATGTAGAAAAACCTATAAAATGTCATTTGGCAGAATGGGTAGTTTTTAGGGTGCAAACAGTCATTCCACGTTTGCTCACTGGAATCGTTGGCTCAGCTACACGCATTGTTGGTTGCATATGTTTTGTGAAGCCGAGTTGTCTATAGTTTTCATCTCTGAGAAGATAGAAAGAATAGCAAGCTCGCATCTGGATGATTGTGTGTATTGGTCTGCATGTGTATAAAATCAGTGATATTTGCTGTGTGAGAGAATCATCACTGAATATGCTGCTAATGAAGTAAGTCTATTAGCTGTGCCCGACGGGATATTTATATTGCCCTTTCTGAAGACAGGTTATGTTTAAAGTTATATTTTTACCATTTTTTTGTGTTTCAAAAACTTTGAGGAGAATTATGGGAAATCGCCACCGCGCCCGCGTCCTTTATAATCACTGTTAGAATGTATATATGACTTCGACGGTATACAGTGAATATAATTATTTCTTATCTCTCTCATTTTTGAAATTTAGCAGATTTGCATGTGTAATTTCCAGAATAGATAAGAAAAAGTGGATGCGCAACTAATTTCTAGCTTCAAATCTCAAGTATGTGTATTTGAGACAAGAATCCAATGGAATTATCATCAACAGGTATTATTAGCACACAAATCCTCACTATGCACTTATGCATTGCCGTTACCTCCAGTAATGCCATCTCTGAAGCAGATTTTACATTACATCAGAGCCAAATATTCATCACGTTTAGGCAACACGTATAACTACAAAACGAGCTCACAACAATTGACCATCAGCTAGAGCTTAACATCTAAGTTAACATCTTGTAGAAAAACCTACATAATGTCACAAAAAACCAATATAATGTCAACAAAATCGAAATAATGTCACTTTTCAAGATACGTAATACCCGTGCGGAACGGGGAGAAACAAATGAATCGGGAATAACAAATCACGGTTGGACAAAATACCACAGAATACTTTTGGATCATGCTAAGGCACAAAGAAACACTATGGCATCGAAGAAAATTCAAGGAAGCGATCGGTACGAGGGACACCTCACAACCAACCACCAGCCACGTCATCAAACGGTATAAATACTCAAAAGGAAAAAAGCATGTTCGTCAGTTCAGCTGATTGAAGATCACATTAATCGAAACGTCGTGAAACAAAAAACTTTATAAGCAATGGTAGTCCGAGAAACAACTTCTCAAACATATGTTACACATTGTCATCACATTTCAAAAAAACAAATGAATTTATTACAAAGATTTCTTATGTAAATGATTGTTTGGATTAGGACAAAAAAACATATCGATAAAGTGGTTTGTGTGATATCGTCTGCCCTTACAAAAAAAGAAAGTAAGCTGCAATTGTGTTTTGTTGCTACAAATCGGCATTTGATCACCTGTGCAATACCTTTTGGAGAGCTGTTAATTATGCCTAGAGTGAAAAGACGAGAAAATTTTCAAAATCTTAATGAGTTTGATAGATGGCGAATAGTGGGCTTATGTGAGGTCCTTTAGATAAATAGTCATCTGAATGCTCAGAAGTCTGAATATGTTGGTGGTTTATTGTCGAGCATGGAATTATTAAGACCTTACATGAACAGTTAAAAGTATAAGGCTTGTCAGAAGATCGCCACCTTGGGGCATTTTACAATGCGAATTGTTTATCGCTAGATCAACTTACTTACTCCATACTGTATACTATACACAGTTTGTCCTACCTCTCACTCCTAGGCACCAAAGTGGAGCAGAGAACGGCTAAGCAGGTATCTTCAATGGAATACCATTGTCTTCAATGATATTATGCTTTGGGATGCATGATGGTCGTGCAAGGGTGAAAAGGCGACGCGATGAAAGACGACATTCTCAATTTTCAATGGAAACGAATGTGCACCATATTGTTGGAATTATGGTAACGGGAGCTATTGCTTCTGAAAGCAGGTCACCTTTGGTGTTCATAAGAGGCAACATGACCGCCGTGCATTATATCCAACCATATATGTTTTGCCTTATGTACGAACACCCACCAACCCACTTTTCGAACAAGATAATATGCGACCACATATAGTAAGAATTGCGTTTACCCATTTTGAAGAAAATCAAGTCGATTTGATGCATTGGCCTCTAGATCTCCTGATCTTTCACCCATTGAACACGTCTGGGACATTTTGAAAACTATATTACTCCGTTACTCCACCCTTCACAGACTCCAGCGATACATGAAGTACCAGTAGCCTGAGATGGGATACCTCAAGAGGAAATCGATCATCTGATTAGGAGTATACCCAGACGTATTTCTGAGTGCACAAGGCATTGCGGATTCGCAATAAATTATTAATTTTTCGCATTATCTCTACGGTTGAATTTAATCGGTTACTTACCTAACCCTAAGAAACATGTAGATATACAGGGTGGCGCATCGAAAACGAAACAGACGCATTTACTGGCAGCTCAGTTTTTTTTTAAAAACGCTCAGACCCGTCGATTTTGTTTTCGAGGGCGACACAAGTTTGGCAAAAAATTACGTTAGCACTTGCAGCCCCTAAGCGGGAGTGACACCACCCCCAAAATCTTAAATGGAAAGGGGGGTCGAGTGATACCTTATTATAAAGGTCTTTCAATTCCCTTTATAATGATGTAAAATACATGAGTTTTGAAGATTTATTGATTTAAAGCTTAAAGTAGACTTTAATAGGTACATTCAGATTAGTTTGTACTACTTTCAGAAGAAATTTGACCAAAAGAATTTACTTAATAAGTGAATGATTTTCTTCACTACACCCATGGTTTGTTTATCATTTTGTTGTTGAAAATAGCTATTGGAGCGTTTTTTTTTTGTGGCATAAAATGTATTTCTTGAAGAAAGATAAGGAAATATCTCGTACTTATTTTAAATAGGAATTTAGTACATAGTTTGCGATTGATTTGACCAAACTTGGTTGCTAAAATAACTTGTAACGCTTTATTACATAAATTAACCATGGTATATTCCACAGCAGAAAGAGTTGAAATTATCGGAATATTTTTCGGAAATAATCAGTGCGCTAATAGAACAGCAAAAATATTTAATGAGCGACATGACAACAGTAACGTGCATCGAAAATATGTTCTAGAACTTGTAGCTAAATTTCGGGAAACTGGGTCAGTCGCCAATAAAAACGCAACATTGAAAATCCCATAAGGAACGCAGCAGTACAAGTAGGGGCTTTAGGGCAAGTTTATGTAGATCCTACATTAAGTACCCGCAAATTGGAGACTGTGTGTGGTGTTAGTCGACGTACTGTCCAACGGATTCTAAAGACCCATAGTTTTCATCCGTATGAAATTCACCTGGTACAAGAACTTAATAAAGACGATTTTGATCGGCGATTACAATTTTGTGAAGATATGAGTGAACGAATTATAAACGATGAACATTTTATATTCAACACTTGCTTTTCCGACGAATGTTCCTTTTTCTTAAATGGCGTAGTAAATCATCATAACTGCCGATATTGGTCCGATTCTAATCCCAGAATTTATTATGAGGTTCATACACAGCAGCCACAAAAATTACGTAAATGTTTGGGCTGGTATTTTTGGCGATCATTTAGTTGGTCCTTTTTTCTTACCTGGAAATTTGACCGGTGAAATGTATTTGGAATTACTGGAAGACGCCATAGATCCTGCATTAACAGCCATAATTGAATGATCGGCGGTACATTGCGAATAGGTTGACGTTCCAACAGGATGGTGCCCCACCACATTACGCATTACGTGTTCGACAATATTTAGATCAGACGTTTCCAGATCGATGGATTGGTAGAAGAGGTGCCATTGAATGGCCCCCAAGATCGCCGGATTTATCACCTTTGGATTGATTTATGTGGGGTCATTTAAAAAGCAAAATCTATGCTACTCAGCCAACATCATTAGAAGACCTGCGACAAAGAATTGTGAATGAGTGCCTTCAAATTACTCCTCAAATAGTGCAAAATGTGCGGCAACGTTTTGAGCAAAATCTTTATTATTGCATGGAGAGTCATGGTGGCCATTTTCCACATTTACTTGCCTAACGGGTCAGTTCATTCTTCATTTTTAAATTACTTTGCTGCCAAATGTATTGATCTCCACTAATGATGATGTATTAGTTTTATTTAAGCTTTAAATCAAGAAATCTTCAAAACTAATGAACTGATTTTGGGGGTGGTGTCATCCCCGCTTAAGGGGCTGCACGTGCTAATGTGATTTTTTGCCATACTTGTTTCCCCCTCGAAAACAAAGTCGACGGGTCTGAGCGTTTTTCAAAAAAAAACTGAGCTGCTAGTAAATGCGCCTGTTACGGCTAATAACCAGAGAAGTTGACGCCGTCAAAAAAAAATGCGCCTGTTTCGTTTTCGATGCGCCACCCTGTATAAAAAGATGTAAAATAATTTTATTTTAAATATGCCTATGGTACAAATGATCAAACTATTTATGTTTAGTGTATAGTGAAACATTATTGCAAGCAATGTAAATAAATGTTTCTTACTCAGAGCAGCTGCTAGTCCTCCAGTACATTTCCCTACTCTGTCTATCATTACGTCTTTTTTACTACTGTCAACTTTTTCCTTCATGAAAACTGTTAGTTTGTCCACACAAGGCACGTCGTATTTCGCATTCAACTACAAAAATGGAAACATATAAGAAACAGTTAGTTCTAACGCTTGTTCCTGATGTCTCAGAATGGTCTAAGTTAGGCCAATGTAAAAATGGAAATGTATAAGAAACACTTCATTATAGAGCTTGTTCCTAAGGTCGCTCATTGGTCTAAGTTAAGCCAACCCATCACTCAAACAACCTATCTGAAAACTAGTGAAATTCACTTACCAGATTCAGCGTACTGAAGATGCAGTAGTAGTATTTGCACTGTAAAAATATAAACAAATATAAAACTAGCCATTGATTTGATAAATATTATTAACCAACCTCATCTTGTCCTGCCTCACTCTGTTTGCAGCTTGCTTCAGCATCTGTTACCAGTTTCAATCTGTCGCAACCAGCTACGTGCTAGAATAATACATAAATGTTAACAAACCTCTTATTTAAATTTAAGGTGAATGCTCATCAATATGTAATTTTAAATGCAATGTTTCTTGTCTGATGTACTATCGATCTCTCTTTGTCAAATACGCATTTTGAGCTTGACACTCGGAACTGGTTCATACTATACAACCGGTGGTAGTTAAGATGAGTTTAAAAGGTGGCCAAAAAGTGCGTATTTATTACAGATATAACTATAGTATGGCTTTTCAGGGTCTCTGGCGGGTCAGAATAAAACTGCAGGAATTACTTTCATACATTCATCTCCCTCACACATATATATGCAATGGGTCGCTATGCGCAGATGTTTGCGCAAGCTCCCAGATATACGTTTTTGGTTTTATCTGATCGCCTTGTCAATGTTAGTCTGACAATTTGCTTCACATGGCCGAGCGATTTGTTACAGTTATTCTATCGGTTCACTTATTTCGTATGACATAGCGACGTCACCGCCAAAAAACGTGAGAACTGTACCTATATCAGAGAAACATCTTTATTTCCAATTATGGTGGAGGCGCCATTGACCACCTTACTATATCCTATTCGTAGTCTGTTTACCATTCGGCCATAAAGCTACGAACAAGTGAAAAATTCGACAGGATAGAACTCAGGCTCGGGGTATCGTTGGCACGCCGACGCCGGCAGTTGCTGTTCATATTCGGTGCATACATAGCGTGTGTTTATACGTTAGCATGTCGTCTACGGATACAGCAGATGAAACTGAGAATATTTCTCCCAATGCTTCCTTCAGCCATGCTTCCTGTTCAGTGGTGTCTCCTCCCCGAAAACGTGACAGGAAATGGCATTTGAATATTCAGGCAAAAGAAATATTCTCCTTAACGTTTAAAAGAGCGAAATTTTAGAGCATCCTGAAATGTAAATTCATGATATATGAAAGACGTGTGATGAACAAAATAGGCTTATGCCCTAAGACAATTTTCGACAATGTTAAAGAAAATAAAAAAAAAAACTAAAATTGTCTCCACCACACAAAAGGCTGCATTACACGAAGTTTTTGGATACAGTTGATAACTCTGATCGCCATCAGACGCAAAGTCCATCAATTTTTTGAAAGGCAGGAACTTCCCACCATAGACAAAGTATTACAGGAGGTTAATAGTGATGAAGACTTTCAAAAGCACCACATTCTATAGTTTACTCAAAGAACTTCATTTTGAATATAGAAAACGGGGCAGAAATAGTATTTTGATGGACAGCCAAGAAATTATTTTATAGAGAAGAAATTATTTAAAATCAATAAATAAATACCGCGCCCAGAGCAGGAAGATTTATTACTTGGATCAACCCTGGATAAATGCAGGACATACAAAACCTAAAGTGTGGGCTGACTCTATAATTAAATCAGCAAAACAAGCCTTCTTAGATGGACTAACCACTGGGCTAAAGAAACCGTCAGGTACGTGTATCTAACCAATTCGTCATTTGTGTTGTAAAAATGGTGTCAAGTCGACTGAATCTATGAGACCACGCTGAAAACTTAGCTTTATCTGGTGGATTTGGAACCATCACCTATTAGATACTCTGCTTGTATTATTATTAGTTTTCTTGAATACTATATGAAATAATTATTTTCAGAAGAAGGAAAACGATTTGTAATCTGTCACACTGGCACTGCCCTATGGGAATTTGAGTCAAAGAAAATGACCGACTATCATGAAGAAATGGACGGGAGTTCATATGAACGATGGTTTGAAGAAACGCTCCCAAAGTTTGACGACAATGCTGTCATTGTACTTGATAATGCAGCATACCACACTAGAAAACTAGACAAAATTCCCACAATGACCACAAGAAAGACAGAAATTTAACATCAAAAAACACATTAGTTTCAATGACAATATGGTCAAAATAGAACTTATCCATCTAGTCAGGCAGCACAGATATAGATATAATCTTAATGTTATTGACGAAATGGCTAACAACCAAAAACTATGTGACTTCAAACAATAAAACATTCAAATTTTCTGTCATGATAAATTTGTTTCATGAAGCTGTCAACAGAGTGATGGCAAAGAATTGGAAATATTGCATCCGTCACGTTCACGAGACAGTCGAAAGTTTGTGCACTTCTTTCTATAAAAATGATCATTTATTTTGTTAGATTATTCCAAGACCATTGAGGAAAATACGGACCTGTACAATCTCGCTTTTGAGCATGTTGTGTTTTGCCTGGGCGTAAATAATGTACTACGAATGGGGTATATACTTGTACATTCACCTTAATTTGAAATAAAAAGGTTTCTACCAGCGATATCATCATGATAAATAAATACGGAACTTTTTTTCAATGATTTGTTGTGCTGGTTCGATACTTCAAGGTATTTGTCCATTATACCGCATTCCAAAATTCCATGTAGCGGCAGATCAATTGCTCAGTATGCTGTGTAGGTATGCACCGAATAATGAAGTACATAGTTTCGCATCCACTCGGAAAAATATTTTAATTTGTTTTTCTTAGCATAATCTTGTTTAAAAAGGGTTCCTTTTGACAAATATGCATGTTGCCAGGCCCAAAATTGCTCCAAATATTGCCTAAAAACATCATTCAGAAAAATTGCAAAACTTTGTGTTTTCTCTCAGGTCGAAGTTTTTTTTAAATTAATTAAATTTGATTAATTGAAATAAAAAGATTCTTATGAACTTTTCTCAAAGTTAATAGTTTCCGAGATATAATGTATTTATTATTAGAAGAATGCAAAACATGTCATCTTTGACCTCGAAAAACAACATGAAATAACGGAATTTTTAGTGTTGTCAAAGTTCCTAAATAGTAATGTAGCATCTGAAACTTACCTATCTTGTGGTTTACATATCGATAATCCTCCATGCTTATCTGGCTAATAAAACCACATGTATTGATACAATCTTCTTTACTGTAACCGTTTCAGTCACAAAACTGAACTTCTTCAGTACGACAATATATTTCATTTATCTGTCTTTCAAGTACAAACAGTTCGTTTGTTTTTTCTTTTCATTATCACATTTCAATATAGTGTGTTACTACAATAGTCTGAAAGTCCCGTAGCATGATGAGATTGCGCGGTGTCATCCTTCCGAATTTTTAAATTTTAATGTACGAGATACGTCGCCCTCATTCATCGCCCCGAAAACCTCCAAAAAAAGAGAAAACTCAACCAGAACTGTCGTCGTAACACAGCGCTTAATTGTTATGCAATATTCGACTGAAATTTTCTGTTTTGCCCTCTCATGGTCAAACTGTAGTGTATTATATTTTTTTCTCACGGGACAAACAACTTGGTTCTTTTTAGATATCGAAGCATCTATTATTTCTCGCGTTTTATATCAAAAATAATACGCTTGCAATATTTTAGTGGAAGATTGCATAACAATGTGACCAGTGAGTTACGACGACACCTCTGGGTGGGTTTTCGCGATTTTTTTTTGAGGTTTTCGGGGCGATGAATGAGGGCAACGTATCTCGTACATTAAAATTTAAAAATTCGGAAGCATGATTACGCGCAATCTTTGCATGTTATGGGACTTTCAGACTATTGTAGTAACAATGTATAGGAATGTGATAATGAAAAGAAAAGCAAATGAGCTGCCAGCTGGAAGATAGATAAATAAAATATGTTGTTATTGTACTGAAGAAGATCACCTTTGTGATTGAAACATTTACAGTAAAGAAGATTCTATCAATACATGTGGTTTTATTGGCTAGACAAGCAGGGGGCATTCATGCATATTTTTCAAACATCAGTTTACAAAAATCCCAACCATTTTAGGGGGTATTGTTACTGTAAAATATTGTTTTTTAATTTTTAGTCAAGGGCAGGCTTATTGTTAACATTTAATGGAAAAAAATTAAGGTACCAACTGAAAATTATAGATTTTTAGCGACTCTCAGTGTAAAGTTATGCTATTGAGGCTCTAAGGAAAGCGTTTAAAATCTTCAAATGTCTAGTATTTGGACCTTTTAGTCAAAAAAATTTAAAGCTGCAGATTTCTCAGAGCAAATTTTTAAGCAAGAATTGCAATTTTGTATATATTTATTTGGGCACACATACTTGTTTCTCCTGAGCAATTGCATGTATTCAATTGCCTGAAGATAAATAGTTTTAATTTGATATTCTCAAAACATCGATACGACCATTTTTGCTCAGATAACCAATTTGTATGGATTTGATTATCGATTTTCAAAACCAATCATCGTACAGAAAATGTAAGGGTGGTTTCAAAAGCTGGAGTGGATTTTCTACCAGTGGTCATTTATGGAAAAATAATTTTTTGGGCTCTGTAGGATGATTGGTACCTCAGATATCAATGATCAAAGTCAAAAGTCTCCTTTTTCATTAGAAATTCGATATCTCAGCAAGAAATCGTCGTATAGAGTATATGAAAAAAGAAAATTGAAGCTGAAAAAAGTGGGTATTGAAAACAATTTGATTTTTTTGGAATCACCGATACGACCATTTTTTGCTGAGATATTAAACTTTAAACAAAATATGACCCTTTTGGCTTTGATTATCGATATTCAAAACCAATCATCATACAGAAAATGTGAGGGTGGTTCCAAAAGCTGAAATGGATTTTCTATCAATGACCATTTATGGAAAAACAATTTTTTTGGCTCTTCAGGATGATTAGTAGGTACCTGAGATACCGATGATCAAAGCCAAAAGTCCCCTTTTTCATTAAAAATTCGATATCGTCGTATCGAGGTTATGAAAAAAATAAAATTGAAGCTGAATAAAGAGGGTATTGGAAACATGCAATGACTTAGTGTAAAAGTATTTTTCCACGTGCGTGAACCTAAATAAAAAAAATAAAAATATTCGCATTTTCTATTTGTTTTCAATATTTTCCAGGATGCGTGAAACCAGTAGCTTTTGAGGTTTTTTCACTAAGAGATTCAAAACCTAGACACTTGAAGCTTTAAGCTGATTTTCTCAGACTGTCAATACGACCATTTTCACAGAGATACAACACTTCAAAGGATCACTAAAAATGAAATTTTATTTTTTCCATTAGTGTATATTCTGCGTGAACGCGAAAAAAAAACAAAAAAAAAACTTCGAGAAAAAACAATAGCAATTGGAATCTAATTTAACACATTTTTCAAACAGTATTTGACGCAATTTTGAGCCAAGGAACACACAAATTGAAGTTAATTTGAATACCATCATGCAAAAAAGAAGCAGGATATTTTTCCGAGATAAAATGAGGTACCGTAGCGTCATCAGGACTTGCCATAGCTGGTTTTCTATTTACTACTACTACTTTGAAAAGCTGAGCGTCTCATAGATGGCGCCGTAGCTTATAGGTGACTGTCTTCAGTTAAAATACGCTAATCACTGGTACTACGACTACCTACTCGATCACATGGTAGGAGATTCTTATATAGAAAGGACATCAACCATCTACCTACGTGTTGTCAGTTTGGATTAATATAGATATTTCTGTATCAACTTTAAACCTATTTTTCATAGTTTTTAAACTGTGTATACATAAAACTTTCATTACCGAATATACCATTTTGAACTCTCTGCTAGACTACTATATCCGGTTCTAGAATTTACAAATATTTTATTTGCTACGTTACCTGAACATGAGATAAAGCAAATATGCACAGCACCGCTATCCATATTTTCACAAACATTGTGCCTGTCTATGTCTGTGTTGTTTATTATGAAGTATGAGTATGAAGGTTGAAATTCACAACGGATTGTTCTCTCTACCCAGCAATCTAGCAATTATGATATAATGCATGCATCTGTATTAATACGGCATTTTAGGACATTTTTACTTAATAATCTTATAGTACCGACAGGATAGAACATTTTTACTTACCTATTTTAAAATTCAGCGCCTTGGGCCTCTCAAGGTTTGCTCATGAAGGAACGGAAAAAGAAAAAACTTTTCATTGAGGCTTCTCTTAGGTAAATACGCCCCTGCTTAACAGTATTGTAGTACCAGCATAATATAACAGAATGTGTATTATCAACTATTCACCATTCATTGCATTTTTTCTAGTATAGTGGACAAACTAACCAGGGAATAACTATGCAAGAGCTTAACCATTCAAAATATCAGCCACTCGCAGCAACCTAATGTAACCTCTTATGCACACTTCCATCCTATGACCTCCCAGAGAAGCTTTAGAGATGGATGGGTGACTTCCTCTCTGGCCGTAAGTTATATGCGTCGTAATTAACGGGTTCTCCTCTTCATCTCACAATGTCAACACGAGTGTTCACTAGGGATCAGTCTTGGCTCTGACATTGTTTCTATTTCATATCAATGACCTCATTTCCTGTACGATCAATCTGATCCACAGCTTTGCTGATGACAGCTCTCTACATACAGGAATCCAGAGTCCCAGGGCGATCTCTGTCGGTAAGCTGGAGAGAAGAATACTAACAGCGACTTCCTCCTTGAAAAGAGATCTGAAGGTTATCACTGCTTGGGGACGCGATAATCTAGTACAGTTCATTGCTTCCAAAGCACAGTACTGTATCTTGACTAACAAAAAGCGCCCTGGTGCTGATCTGGTTTCGATGGATGGCTGAGTTCTACCAGAGTCGTTCATTTCGGCTGGTCGGAGCTCAGATCACCCCGCACTTGATCTGAGCTAAGCAGTATTTTTCTCCACACGACCTCCTCACTCTGTTCAAGGCTCAGATAAGACCTAGCCTCGAGTATTGCTCACATGCTTGGGGTACTGCCGCCCCAACTACAATATCCATGCTCGAATCTGTTCAGAGGAGAGCTGTCCGACTGCTAGATGACTCTTCTCTAACGGTCAGTCTCCCGCCTGACTTCGGCCAACTAACCTAACCGTGTCAAAGTTCGTACATCCTGAACTGGCCGGTACGACTATTCCGTTGACCCTGAGATGCCGAGATTGTGGAACATTCTGCCCGAGGAGGCTTTTTCCAGTTCCACTAACCTTTTAACAAGTTCAAAAATTGGTCCTTAGAACAACCGCGGTACCCCGGTATTTAGGCCTCTGTCTACGCCGCTTCGGTATAACAAATCTTGTCACAATAATAATGCGTAGCTATTGCCGTTCTGTATGCTCAAATGACAGAGGGTGGTTCTGGCCAGTTCGGTTTAGACTTGTATATTTCGGCAAATCGTAAGTAAACAATGATTTCATCTTCTTCTAGGTACCTTGAACCTTCATATTGTAACGTTTTTCTGGGTTCTTTTGGGTGTGGATTAAAATACTTAATTCCACAAAAAGAAATGCACTAATCTATTTAACTTGACTAGATAGAACATTTATGTACACCATTATTTATGTGTGACTAATTCTTACGTCGCGACATTGACTGAACTATACACTCTGCTACTGCTACTCTACTCTGCTTCCCTCTCCCGGCCGTCGAGTTATATAGTACGCTTCGTTGGGTCGAGAAGATTCCGGTGAGCCACATAGCCTTCCAGAATCGTCGAGGTCACTTCGCATCGATCTAGAAGGCAAGTCACTGGCACTGTGCTCAACAGATGTCGCCACCGAAGGGGACTGGCACGGTCCCCAACAGAGATCGGCCATGAAGCAGCTAGCGATACACCGGAATGGATATCTTCTAGCAGCTCCGGGATCCAACATCTGGGTATAACGATTTACCTTCTTTCCTCTCTGCCGTCTTAGTCCACCATTTTACGCAGTAAGAGTCCGTTCTCCATAACTAGAGATTTCCATTGTGCCCATTTTGTTTTTGTGGTAGGGGAATACTTGGCAACTTTTTCCCGGGCTGCTTACCGTTGTTCTTTTATCCAGTTCAGAATTATTTGGAGATCAGGGTCGCCCTCTTGGTCTTTAATGAGGTCTTCCTTTTGCCAAGTATCACTAACGATAGAGGTTCTTAATACTTGGGCATCTTTCTCCTCTGCCCGCTGGCAATGTTTACTATCCTCTAAACAGCGTCTCCTAACGTGCCCTATCTTTCCACATTTCTAAATTGCTGTTCTGGCGGCGACGTTCACCATCAAGTCCCTTAACAATGCGCTTGACGGACTCTTCGAGCTCGTTTTCTCTTGATACCATCTGGCGGACCCGGACCTTGCTTTTATTTCTGTTTTAGCGGCTGGAATTCTAAGGCCCAAGTTAGCGCATCTACTAGCTTAGGTGAATGTGCTAGTAGTCAGGCTTGCCTCATTTCACCATCACGACGTCTATCCAGGAATGCTTGAACTGCCAATCGCTCCATTATCCTTTCCTTAACATCGGGATATCCTAATCGTACCAACCGCGCAATATCCACTTCGAACTCCTGCAAGGACTCGCCTGATTTCTGGAACCGATTCTTTAGTTGAGTATGGTAGACATGTACTAAATGTGACAGGCCATATCGCATCTCCAAATGTCCTACTAGTTGTTCGTAGACCTCTTACTCTTCGGGTGATATTCTTTTAAGAATAGCTGCAGCCTCTCCTCGTAGGGCCAAAGTGAGTGCAGTCGCCTTTTCGGTCGGTGACCAACAGTGAATTCGCGGCTGCCTTAAACTGACACCGGTATGTCTACCAAGGCTTTGTACCATCAAACTGCAGCGGTTTCATTCGTAGATATCCAGCTGACCCAACAGAAGCTCCAACCTCACTTGATTTTTCCAACGAAAGTCCACGCTGTCGTTCGTCGATGATCTCGACGTCTAAAGCTGCAAACTTGCCTTGCACTTCTTGAATTCTGTCCTCCAGAGTGAAAATCCGTTTTTCCAATTCGCAAGATTTTTCCATAATTTTATCTTCCAATTATTTTATTAATTTGCAGTATTTTCCAAAAACTTCTCTTATAATTTGGCTGTACTTTCGTGTAACTCCAAGAGTTTTCCTTCTAAGTTGGCACAATTTTTCACGAACATTTTTTCTAGCTTGGTCGAGTTTTCTAAAAGATCGGCACAATTTTCCATGAGCTTGTTTTCTAATTTGGCCGAAAGGTTTTGCAGCATTAAACCAATATCCCCTGCACCGCTAAAAATGAAATTATCCGGGTCCTCGCCTTCCTCAATCAGTGCTTGACGAAGCCGCTCCTGTAATTCCGCTTTATTTCCAGCCCTGTCGCTCAAACTCTCCTTTAAATCGGCAATTTTCAAATCAACCAATCGCGCCTTTCTTCCTTTACCGGTCGTCCGATTTATTTTCACTGAGTGTCCAATAATCCATACCCCACACCTGACACCAATTCACCAATGTAGCGTTTTTCTGTTTTGGGTGTTTATTAAAACACTAGATTCCACAAAAAGAAATGCACTAATTTAACTTGTCTAGATAGAACATTTATGTACACCACTATTTATGTCTGACTAATTCTTTTGTCGCGCCATTGACTGAACTATACTCCACTCTGCTCTACTCTACTCTGCTTCCCTCTCCCGGCCGTCGAGTTATATAGTCCAGAATCGTCGAGGTCACTTCGCGTCGATCTAAAAGGCGAGTCACTGGCACGGTGCTCAACAGATGTAGCCACCGAAGAGATCGACCATGAAGCAGCTGGCGAGTAGGAGACTCTGGCGCGGTGCTCAACAGTTGGCGCCAACGGTACTATTTTTTCTTGTTACAATATTTTTACTACTAGTTTCCAATTATTCAAGATTATAAATCGATAGTATGGTTATTATTACTTAATAATGATACAGCAAATCCTTATGATCTCTTATTATAGTTATTTCGAACGGATGGGCCAACTCTAAAAAAATCTACTGATAATTCAAACCTCTATGGTAGGTAATGGATGAAAATTATATTTTAGTCTGATCTTTTAACTAAAAAATATAGCTATTCATGTTTGAGTTTATTAAAATATGTCATTTTTTAAAAAATGACAATTTACACTGCAGCCCATCTTTAAAAAAATTGACAAAAGCTAAAAATTGAGTGATCTCACGATGCACATAATTGTGTTCCTTGGGTCGGTTAATTATTTCGATTAGCAAATTACTAATATTTTTGTTTTTGTATTTCAGAACATTTTGAGGTTTTTATTCTAATAAGTCTGATTTTTTTGTTTCTTACGGTTGCAATAAAACTGTCTGTTCCTTCATCCAATCTACTGACAAAATTTGATTTTCAATTTATCTGACTTGGTTGAATGCAACACGATCAGTACTTACTGTGGTCCATACCCTTAACATTTTCTACATAGTCTTTTATACATCAAGAATTGCTAACATTCTGGCTAAACTGGTCAGGTGACATCAACCTTAGATGCTATCTAAGGTGATTTTGTATTAGCAATTACTACAACTGAGGGCAAATTGTTCCTATACCTGAGGTAACGTCTCCCTCCCCACGCTGGTAATTTTAGCCAAATGCGTTATTTTCTGTAACCTATTCCAGAAAATGATTTGGTTACAAAATAAGTATTAAATCTTTACCTATAGATAGAGTAGCCTGTTCGTTAAATAATAGGTACCAATTATACACCACCAAAAATGAAGTACTAATTCAAATAAGTTTCCATACATACCTGCAATAACATATCAAAAAATCATGTCTAATAATGCTATAGATAAGCATCAATAGCTACTATCACCATACTAATTTTATGCAGAAAAATATGTAATTTTAATTTAACATAACCGCTAGTAAAGCACATCCTGTTTTCAATTATTTGCTGTTATTGTAGATCTATGATGGTACAAGCTATATGTTTTGTAGCCTTCAATATAAATACTTCTTTCATTTTTGCTTCATTATACATGATTATATATCAAGCTACCATTAGCTTTTTATTTATTATCAATCTCATGATTGCAAAACAAATTATGACAAGCGGCGACTTGATCCACCAATTTTGGAAATTGCTAATAAGATTCACAATTCATATTTTTCGAATGTTATACGATATACACACCACAAGAAACGTCATTTCCAGCAATAGCTGACCAGTAATCTATGGTCTCTCGAAAACTTATTTTGGTGAAATTTGTACGAGGTTTCTTCCAAATTTTCATTGTTTTTGGAGTTGCTGACTATTTTTAGGGGTAGGCATATTTCTTTGGGAAAAATGCCAAATGGATCCGTAAATGCACCCGTATCAATATACAGGATGTTGAAGTTTAAGACTTCAAATGAAAAAGTCATATCTTCCAACTGTGTTAAGATATTGGTTTAAAATTTTGTACACGTGTTGCTAACACAATAGCTAATACACACAATGTCTGAGCCTAAACTACACCCCTCACTTAGAAATTTCGACCACTACAAAATAAAAAATAGTTTTCAGGCCACTAACATTTTTTAAACATCTCATATTTTTTAATAAGATTTCAACTTTACACAAATAGCCTTTCTAAAGAAATATTTGTCAGGATTCTTTTGGAGGAAAACTCGTTTGAATATTAGACATAAAATCTGTACCAAAAACTTATTTTATTTTGAGGTAATTCTATCTCACTATAGCAATATTTGGACAATATTCATATTTTTTCTTTATTCAGTCTTATCAGTGGTGTAAACATTTACAAGACCCTATATCATGGTAATGAGACATTTTATGATCTTCATTTGTAGAAACTTTTTTATTTTCTGATATAGTTTTAACTTTTAGAAATATGGTCACGTTTTCATGAATCACCCTGTTTACTCATATGTTGAATATTTAGCATAGCAACTATAACTACTACAGTTTTAACACTGGCAAACCAGTTTTTTAAACAAGAAAACGTTTTTTGCTATGTTCTTTCCAAAGGTGCTGAATTGTCTTACTCAAAAATTATATAATTAAATAGGAAGTACAGAGTTAATTTATTTTGAGTACATCTTTATTTCTATTTTTGTAGGAAAAATGAAATAACTATTACTTATAAATATATTTTATGTAAAAAGGTGTTGGTTTAATAACAACAGCTTTTGAATTGTACAACACATATGTAGAATCTCCATGGATTGTGGATATGGGCCATACAATGCAGGAAAGCTTGCCAAATTCATATCTTCTTACTGTAAAAAAACAGAAAAATCATATTAGGCACTATTGATGCAATAAACTTCTAGCAAGAAAGTAGCTACTAGATACTAAGCACTTTTAACTAAAAGGGAAAAATAACATGAGGGTTATAATAAAATACTCATATTTTTGATGAAAATAAAATAAGAAAATACCTTGGTGACATGAAAGAGTTACATCTGAAAATCATGTTAATAATTATGTGGAAATTAGTAATTTCCACTAATCAGGAAAAAACTAAGATGTACATGCAATAATGTATCTTTATGTAATGCTATGTGTATTAGAATAATTTTCATAAATGATTATATGGAGATAATATTTTTACATATTTATAGCCATTGGGATTATTTCTGAACAAACCCAACACTCTAAAAAAAGCAAGTTCTAATGCTCAAAATTTGAGGCCAATAAATTCTTAATTTATTGCTTAGAACTATTTTGACTTGTACTTGTTCAAGTAAAGTGTGCTTCTGAAGTAGATGTATGACATAACAATATATGTTAATCTTACCGAAAACTAGTCAAATGTTAAGTGATTTAAACACACTAGGGAGATTATCAAAACATGGTCTTGTATGGTTTCAAAACTGTCTCTCATTCCTCAAAAATAGAGAGAGTTTAATGAAGACCCTTCCATACTTTATTTAACATTAGCTTGCCAAAGAGTGGCTTTCTATCATTACATTATTTCACCTGTATATAAAATACAAAATTATCAGTATTAAAAATAAAAGTATAATGATAAAAAATATCACTATTTTTGTGATTAAATATATATTGACTTATAACCTGAAATGTGTTTCTTAGAACAAACATTTTTTGTAAGGTAAAATAATCAGTTCATATGAGCTTAAAAGAGTATGGAAGCATTTCATTATAAATGGAGGTTTTGATAAGTCATGGTCCAGAAAAACGAAGGGGCACACAATCTATACCTCTTTATAACTCATTATTTCTTGCCCTGTAAATTATAAATAAATTAACAATAAACTAAATACAGATACCCAACTCATAAACCAAATTTCCATTGGTAGAAGTATATTCACAATGATTAATATATTCTACCTGAAGATAGCCAACGTAAAGGTACATTTCCATGTCCAAAGAATTATCCAAGATAAAATGAGAACCTCCAATATCATCTTTGACAATTTGTCACAGCTAACTCTCTATTTACTATATGTACTTTGAAAAGATCAGTGTCTCACAGCTGAAACTGCCTATATGCTCATATATTTGGCTACAGCATTATCTATAAAACATTAACCTTTTCAAAGTATAGGTCCTAAATAAAGACACTGCTGTATGAAATTCTCATAGATGATGCTAGAGGTTCTCATTTTATCCTAGATAATTTGGATATAGGAATATAGCATTAAGTTGGCTATCTTCAAGTTAATTACATTAATCAAGGATCTAAAGAATTCTATAATTACTCACAATGAATATTGCAAGATAAGATTTTTAATATAATACATTTGTTAGAAATTGTTTTTTAAGGTTCACACAATATTTCACCTGAAATGTCTCTTATTCTCATTTTTAAGTAACAATGTGTCAATTTGGTAGATCCAAAATAAAACAGATTTTAAATATATTTATAAAAGTTAACTATACCTTTTTGGAAGCAGCACCAACTTTGGCCTTCTTTGTACCCCTTACTTTCTTCATCCTATTCTTCCTTTCTTTACGCTGCTTACGTGTCTGCTGTTTCTTCTCATATAGTCCATGCCTAGCCAGCCTGTGTTTAGGCTCAAATTTTTTGGCAAAATCTAAGGTGTCGTAGATTAGGCCAAAGCCTGTTGATTTGCCACCACCAAAGTTCGTACGGAATCCAAATACGAATACTACATCTGGGGTTACCTACAAAGCATTAATTCCAAGAAATTAACCACTGTTTTTACAAGTGGGATGTATGAAGGCGTATAAAACCGATTCTTACCTTGTACATCTTGGCTAGTTTTTCCCTAATGTCTGTTTTTTTAACAGAGGGCTGTCCTGGGTGCAAGACATCTACTACCATTTGTTTTCGAGCCAACAGTCTGTTGGTCATGAACTTCCTCGTCCTGATGGTAGCCGTACCTTCAGTCTACAAGAAAACACATTTTTAGATCAAACATAATACGCAAAAACACATATTTAGCCAGAAATAATGCCGATACATTCAAAATCATAACCTCTAACAGACAAGATAAACATAGTTTTCACTGGATATTTGAACACATCACCAATATCACATATTTTTGATAAAGCACTTAATTAGGTTTCTTAAGCGCACAAAACTATTTTGTAAAAAGGGAAGATGATCAGGAAAAATACGGATTTTAAGAAACCTACCATTTTGGCCAGATAAATTCACTGCCCGATAAACGAAGGAAAAGAGTCTTGACAGTTTTGACGTTCAGTGGTTGACAACACGTTGACAACCTATCATGGAACGATGGAGGTCGGCAATAATTAAATCCCCAGATAGAAAATCGGCAGGGCCTCATTGAGGATAATTTTGAAATCTCACAATATGCGACAGTTGCGGTATGTGAGACACCTCAGTAGTCACGTAAGCGACGGATAAAAAATGTTTTGAATAACGACTCAAAGTCGACACTTTCTGCTCAGTCTTTAACATCACAAAACACGATATCTTTGTTGTACTTTAATGTCTCAAATACGGCCCTGACCCTATCTTAGGGCATTTGTAGTCGTGCTGTTGGCTAACTTATTGATGACATGGAACACAGATTAACAGATTTTGTAGAATAGTACTATTTGTATTGTGAATTTAAGGAAAATAGCCGAAAATAGTCAATCACCGAGAAAAACTGGAAATGATGTTGAAAAAGTAACATAGTTGCAATCAGAGACTTACCGTTTTTCTAGACAAGTGATATTTCGAAAATGGAAGCTATGGATGTAGAAACAGGTGAGTTTTTAGCTTATTACGCCTTCAATATTGTACTAATCTTTAAACTGGACAAAAAAAACAAAAAAGATCACATAGGATACCAGATAGACCGCAAAATCCCCTTACTTTGTCGCAATATTGTATTCATTCAGGCATCTTGTTAGTTCTGGTACATAGAAGCAGTGTACAATGTTAAAAAGATATGTATATATAGCATAAAGATGTAGTAAACTTGTTTGCTGATATTGATGACAAAACTAATGACAGGAAGCTCAAGAATTAACACTTTTACTTATTGAGCATTTTGCGATGGAGTATATTATGAGAGGCTTTGAAGTTTGTATCAAAATACTTTTTCTCTGAAACAGCTTTGCTATTATGTGAGTAACTAATTACATGTACATTATATGTTCTTATTGTCCCTATACAAATTTTAAACATTCTTATTTTACTCTTCATTAGATAATGTGAAATCTCGCTCACCATCAGCACAATCAGCTAAAAGTAGTTCAAGGTCTAGATCAGTATCACCACAAATGAATGGAGGCAGTGATTGTTCTCCAAGACACTCTAGATCTAGGAGTCCTAGAACATCAAGATCTAGGTCAAGGTCTGCAGCATCCTCAAATCACTCGAGATCAGGTAACTAACATTCTAATCAGTGGAGTACTGTCATTTTTGCGAAGAAAAACAATATATCACATTTTTATATTTTACAGGTTTAAAATCACGTTCAGAATCTCCAGAAAGTAGAAAATCTAGATCAGGATCACCTAAAAGTCCAGCCAGAATCTCCAAATCTAGATCAAGGTCAAGATCAGGTTCACCAAAACATGCTAGATCTTCTAGATCCAGGTCAGGAACACCTAATAGTGCTTCCAGAGTGTCAAAGTCTAGGTCAGGGTCTCCCAAAAGTGTTCGTGCTTCAAGGTCGCGATCAAGGTCAGAATCGCCAAAAAGTGCTAGAGCTTCTAAATCAAGGTCTAGATCAAGATCTGGTTCTCCAAAAAGTGCTAGAGCATCTAGATCAAGATCTGGTTCTCCAAAGAGTGCTAGAGCATCTAAATCAAGGTCTAGATCAAGATCTGTCTCTCCAAAGAGTGCTGGAGCTTCTAAATCAAGGTCTGGTTCTCCAAAGAGTGCTAGAGATTCTAAATCAAGGTCTAGATCAAGGTCTGGTTCTCCAAAGAGTGCTAGAGCTTCTAAATCAAGGTCTAGATCAAGGTCTGGTTCTCCAAAGAGTGCAAGAGCTTCTAGATCCAAGTCAAGGTCATTGTCTCCAAAGAGTGTTAGAGCTTCTAAATCAAGGTCTGTATCTCCAAAGAGTGCTGGAGCTTCTAAATCAAGGTCTGGTTCTCCAAAGAGTGCTAGAGCTTCTAAATCAAGGTCTAGATCAAGGTCTGGTTCTTCAAAGGGTGCTAGAGCGTCTAAATCAAGGTCAGGGTCTCCAAAGAGTGCAAGAACATCTAAATCCAAGTCCAGATCAAGGTCAGGTTCTCCAAGGAATGCAAGAGCCTCAAAATCTAGATCAAGATCAGGCTCCCCTAAAAGTGCAAGAGCCTCTAGATCAAGGTCACCAAAGAGTAGATCAAGGTCCAGATCAGGTTCTGCTAAAAGCGGCAGAGCTTCAAGGTCCAGATCAAGGTCCAAGTCTGGCTCTAGATCAAGATCTGGCTCTGCCAGAAGTGGTAGAGCCTCAAGGTCAAGATCAAGGTCAGGATCGGCAAAAAGTGGAAGGGCTTCTAGATCAAGGTCTAGGTCGTCCAGATCGCGGTCAGGTAGCGGAAGTAGAAGAGGATCAAGGTCGCGTTCTAGGTCTGCTTCAGGTAAGAAATTATTGAGTTTATTTTTATTTCATGAATTACAGAATTATGCACATTTCATCTATGAAGTTAGAGTTACTCAATTCTGTCGCAGTTGAATAGAGCCTAACTTTCAGGTTCAAAAAGGTCCCGTTCCAGATCAAGGTCAGCTTCAAGGTCAAAGTCGAGGTCACGATCCAGAAGTTCCGCTAGATCAGCGTCCAGATCTAGATCACGTTCTAGATCCAAGTCAAGGTCTCATTCTAGGTCAAGGTCCGGTTCAAGGTCAGGAGGAGAAGGTAATGGGCTCTCTGTTAATCTAACTAATTGAAAATGTAATTGTAGAAAATGAAAAATACCATCGTTTCTGCTTCCGACGCAAAAAAAATCGCAAATGACATTGTCGCTTTGCGTTCTTGATACACAAATCAATATGTCCGGTTGATTGAAGGGCATACATTTACCATTTCCCAATTAATGATTTTCAGGTGGAACAAAATCTAAGAGAAATAGGGCAGTTCTTTCAGACTCGGAGGACGAAGGAACATCTCAACCTCCAGCTAAAAAGGCTCTGGTTAGTGATGATGAAGAGGAGGGTCCTTCCAATGAAGGACAAGCAGGAGGCCCAGAGGAGGTAAGATCATTTTACTGATCGCGACAATAGGCTAAAGGAGTATTGTAATCGTGACAAATGTAATTGAGATACTGTTTTTGTGTGTAATTCATTCCCGTCAATTTGTCGCCTTTGTCTCTTCAGCAGGCGTTAACCAGTCTTATTTCATTTTAAAGCACTATAAAAAAACAAACTATCCACTATCTTGAGAATATTGATTCACCCATAGATGTATAATATCAACCCTGTATCTGGCAAAATTTTATCAGTATAATTTGTATTGTCAACAGTCTTTGGCATTCATGATTTGTTATGAAAAACATCTTACTGCATACCGTATTTATAAAGCCGAGTTTTCATTCACTTCTTGGTGGCAACTGTAATGGCAATAATGATAATGGGTAATGGTGAAGGTAGTCTGAGTCAGTGCTTCTGCTATGTCAGTGGAATTTGTTTCACTTAACTCTTTATAATGATGCACAGCACACTGCATTCTGGATTGGAAAACACTTGTCTCCACAATGAAAAAGTTTTTATTTTAATCATTGATTAACATATTCTAACAGAAGATACCCAACATGATACTATATTCCCGCGTCTAAATAATTATCCAAGATACTATATTATTAATTACAAATCTACTTTAGAAAGGTTGATGTCTCAGATATATATATATATATACAGGGTGTCCGCAAAGTTGGGGTTTTCCTTTTCAGAAACAACTACCCTTGAAATAACAAAGGTAATGTGTAGTGAAACGAGGGTGACCAAGTAAAAAAAAATAAAGGAAAAAGTACTCACTCTCCAGTTGACGAGAAGGGCTAAGTACGTCTCTGCCCGAAATCATACCGCTCCAACAGAAAATGAAATCGGCTGATGCGCGACCGAGCAGACGCACCATGCCAGCCCAAACATTCACCGAAAATGTTTGTTGAAAATGTGCCCGACGGACAGCGTGCGGATTTTCTACTGACCAAACATGAATGTTGCGAAAGTTATTCACCCCATTACGCGTGAATGTAGATTCGTCTGTCACCAATATGCACTTCAAAAAGTCCGGATTATTGTCATGTTGATGCAACAACCACTCACAAAACCGCACTCTTGCTAGAAAATCGTCAGGTTGAAGGGCTTGTACAGGTTGGACGTGAAACGGATACAGCCCCTCTTCACGCAGCGTTTGCCACACTTTAGTTTTTGATACTTGCACTTTTCTAGCCACGTCTCTAGTGTTTGTTGAGGGATTCTCGTCTACGCGATTACCTCTACAGACGTGACCGTAACCGTCGGTTGAAGGTTGCATACTGACCTGACACACTGACCCCGACCCAGTTCTGTCGTTGAGCCAGTGACATTGTACCACTCCGTGATGTCGCGGCTACAGGACGGTATTCAGATATTTTTGATGTTGCAGAGCCCTTTATCTCGGTTCCCTTAAGACATTGGTGTATATGGTACTAAGAAAAATTGCTTATGTTTTCAAGATCTACACGTCATGTAAAGGAAAACCCCAACTTTGCGGACACCCTGTATATATATATATATATATATATAAATATGAAAAAAGATAAATTATTTTCATAGGGTTTCCCATAATCTCACTATCCATTCCACAAAAATTGTGTACATCATAATTCTACAGCAAATGAGAACATATTTTCAAAATTACAAATGGTTGAATGTAAAAAATTGTTATGTAGTCCTCATTTTTATATTCAAATTAAAAAATCATTAATTGCCACCAGATTTAGAAAACTTCACAAAATTAAATAGTCATTATCATACCTTCGAAACTAGATGGGGTGTAGATTTTCATCTGCAAAATTGTAATAGCATAACTAGCAAATCTTTATTTTAAAAGGGAGTATTTGAATTTAATAAATTGAATAATGATGTCAGTGTTCAAATTTAAAAATGGTGAAATTGAAAAATCGCTTTATAAATACCCAAAATTCAGAGCAATGTAATGTTAAAAGACATGTATGCAAAATTACAGAAAAATGATTGAAAAAATGTGTAAAAGAATAATTATACAAAGTTGACATTGTAGTATTAATGCTAAATAATTTCTGTATGCGTTATCCGGCCAATTCACTATATGCTACAACCCTAGTTTGTACATTCAACACTGTATATCGTAGCCTTTTTATGTTTCAGGGTGAAGAAAAACCTCCAGATCAACAAGATTACGATTCGGACGAAGGGGTTGACGATAGAGGTCGCAGCGAGGAACATTCCGGCCTGTCAGATTTCGATCTGATGTTGGCCAGGAAAAAAGAGGAAGGTTCAAAGAGAAGAAAGCGAAAAGATATTGATATTATCAATGATAACGACGATATCATTGCAGGGTTATTGGCTGATATGAGAAATGCTGCTGAGGTAAGCAGATTGCGCTTTATTTGGGTTGTTTCGGTAAGAACAAGACTCAGACAGCGAGTCGTGCCGTTCAAGCGTTAGTCAGTAGCCATGGACTGGACCAGCTGATGATGAGTCTTATTTTTCCTCTCACGTTAAAATGGAGTGGAGTTTATTCTGTTATTCTTTTGCAGGAAGACAGAAAACTTAACTCACAGGGCAGACCAGCCACAAAGAAAATAGGAATGCTGAACAAAGTGATGTCACAGCTGAAAAAGCACGACTTGCAACTAGCTTTCATAGAACACAACGTTCTGAATGTTCTTACAGATTGGTTGGCACCAATGCCAGATCGCTCTATGCCGTCGCTCCAAGTTAGGGAGGCACTTTTGAAATTACTGGCAGATGTAAGTTAATGTTCTTCACAGTGAATATGTATCAAACGCCCAAGGGTGGATTTTGGTAGTTTTCTTTGTACTACTATTTTTTCAGTTTCCAAGAGTAGATCAGTCTACTTTGAAACAATCGGGCATAGGCAAGGCTGTGATGTACCTTTACAAGCACCCAAAAGAAACTAAAGAAAATAGGGAGAAAGCGGGAAGACTGATAAGTGAATGGGCCAGACCTATTTTCAACTTATCCACTGACTTCAAAGGTATATTATTGCGTTCGTACTTTTGCCATTTTTTAGTTTAATATTTTTGTCATTGATTTCACAATTTTACCAGACGTTTAGAAGTACAGTTGTTTGTTTACCGATTATTGTTTAATTTACTTTTTTGAGGTAAAAAAATAGATGATTATCAAAATGCTTTGATTTTTGTTCTAGATCTTAGCAAAGAAGAAAGGTTACAAAGAGATTATGAACAGATGGGTGCAAAGCGAAGAAAGTCAGAAGAAGAAACATCCAGAGAAAAGAAGGAATTAACAAAGGCACTGAATGCAGAGGGCAAGTAAGTAACAAATAACATTTTTCAGTATACAAATTGGTACCTTCTGAAGTAGGTATTTTGAACAACACCACTTGATTAGCGACAGGCAGTATGGTTTCCGTTGTAATTGACGTATTCTTCCCTTCATCCCACATTGTCAGTGTGGGTGTTCCAGGGATTTGTCTTGGCTCCAACATTGTTTACATATCTTATGACTTCCTTTCCTGTATGATCAATCCAATCTACAGCTTCGTTGAAACGAAGGAAATCAGTGCAAGCCGATTTCTGCCAGTGAGCTGGAGGGAAGACTAGCAGTGACTTCCTCACTGTCGAGAGATCTGGAGGTTACCACTGCGTTGGGACACAACAGTCTGGTACCTTGACTAACAAGAAGCTTCCTAGCGTTCATCCGGTTTCGATTGATGGCCGAATTCTACCAAAGAGCCGTTCATTTCGGAACAGATATGACCTAGCCCTGAGTACTGCTCACATGTTTGAGGTGCTGCCACCCCGACTACATTATCCATGTTCGATGCTGTTCACAGGAGGTTTGTCCGACTGATCGATGACTGTAACGGATATATTCTCGGGACCCTTTCGCAAGTACAGGACGTCGTTGATCTGGCTCTCTTCTACCGCTTTGCCAACATGTTTCGGTCTTCAGAGCTCTCCTCTATGATTTCGCTGCGCGATGAGCCTGCCAGGCGGATCAACCTGACTTTGGCCTCCGGTCCTAGTCGTGTCGAACTTCGTATATCCAGAACCGGACGGTACGACCGCTCCTAGGGTTTCGAGATTGTGGAACAGTCTGTCTGAAGAGGCTTTTCATAGTTCTAGTAACCTTAGCTGGATTAAAAATGTGTCTTTAAGGTCATTTTAGCAGAAGAAGCAATTTCTGTTTATTAGAAAATGCATTTTTATAATACTTAATAATTCCAGACCGCTGAGGCCAGGTGAGAAAGGATGGGTAGCAAGAGCTAGGGTACCAGTCCCTTCGAATAAAGATTACTTAGTAAGACCAAAATGGCAATCTGAAGTAGACATTAGTAGGGTATGTATTAATTTACTAATTTTGTATTAATTCCTAGTATTCCAATATTTTCGTAGTACGATGGCCATTTTAAAAATAACCGATTGCGCATCGCGCCCGCGTATCCTGTCACGTGACGTCCGTTCAACCTCAGACACTCTTGGCCAATCTCTCACTATGCTTCCATTACATTTCACTTTTCTGTCGGTGTTAGTTGTGTGATTATACTCCTTTGTTTGTTACCATGTCGATCAGTAAATCCGCCGATGGTAAAGTGCGCTCAGTAATTAGGTTTTAAAACTTAGAAGAAGTTCCTCCTGCTGAAATTCACTAACAGCTTGTTGCTGAGTTTGGCGCGCTATTCAAAACCGCTGGCGTAGCCTGCAATCTCTAACGGCGTCGTTCTGCTTCTTGGCTATGTTCAGCCTCACGTTGCGGCAAGAATACAGACGCAGCTGGAGGAGTTCCATTGAGCGTTACTGGTTCATCCACTATACAAGTACATCCCTGACTGATCATCGTCAGAATTTCAGCTTTTTTCAATACTTAAGGAAGTTTTGGGTGGAAAATGATGGTATGTTGAAAGAAACAGCTAACTGGTTTAATGGTCAATCGGCAGCGGCCGTTGTCGGCGGGATCCAAAAACCGGTGACATAGCTTGACTATGTTGAAAAATGAAAAAAATGTTCATATTTTAGTTTGTGATACATTTTCTATTCATAAATAAAGTTTATCTGGCTCCATTACTAAACGGTTCTTATTAAAAAATGGCCATCGTATATCATACACTTTTAGATCGTTTTTTTTTAAGAAAATATGTAAAATCTGCCAATGTACCCTAGTATGACTTTTTTACAGCAAACCAAGAAGAGCATGAACAGATTCGAAAAACACTACAAACAGTTTTTGGACACCAAACGGCTGAAACAGACAAGAAGAGCTGTAGAGATATCTATAGAAGGAAGGAGGATGGCACTGTGAATATTATAATGAATTTGTTAGGTTAAGGCAGTTTTGAGTTTTGTTCATTCAATTTCTTTAGTTTACCGATTTGTATTTTAACTTTGATTTAAATATATCCAATCTGTAAAGAATAGTATGTATTTTGAACTCTCCTCCTCGATTTGACTGCGTCCTTAGCCCTCTAAATGAACTCGCCAGGCTTCTGCTTTTCATTCTCTCTTTGTACATCAAGAACAAGCTAATGGAACTGATACGTCTAGATGACAGTTAAAAAATCCTGGAGAAAGTGGCGCTAATATGGGGTAGACATTGAGCCGCCTGGAAGTTCTCATTGCATCGATTAAAGTTTTCTCCGAGATGATGCTGTATTTGGACGTTCACATACAAATCCATTTTAACAGTCATGCTGCCAAATCGGATCGCAATATCCCTTAGAATTGATTAAAACTGACCTCATTTTCTTTTTAAAGAAATTTTCTTGTTCTTATGATGACTTTCAAAGGAAAGAACCCCTCACCTCCAACGTAAATATTCCAAAGTTGAAAGGTATGACAAGGGTCATCTAATGGTGACCCTGAACGTGACATTGACTATGACCTTCAAAGTAACTTAAAGTTTAGGACAGTTTTCTCAAATGGAAACCCCTATTTTTGACACCGGAAACGTAAAGTGCGAGAAATTTTACGATAAGTAAGGTCAGTATAGGGCGTAAAAAGTATATGGGAAAAACAAAATATCTCGAAAAATATGCTGCTTAGAGAAAAATATTGCAGAGAAAAAGTAGCAAGGTTTAAAAAGGTCAATAAGGGTGACCTTAAAGGTTTTACGATAATCGAGGATTTAGCGGGACGTGAAATTTTGTTCAGGAAGCAAGAATGTCTTGAGGATCCATCAAACTCACGGTACAAGTGCAAGATAGAGCACTTGGCCGTAAAATCTTTTGCTTTTTTGTACCGACAAAATGTAAGTTTACGTGAAAAATTATATGATCTTTAAATAACTTTGAAGGTTGAATCAAAAGTAGATGTTTCCATTAAAAATCCATGTGATTTTCAAATAATCTTGATGGTCATGCACATACTCGAACAAAGTTTTCGGCTCTTTTCATTTCCGGTGTTAAAAATATTGTTTCTATTAATGAAACCTGTCTTGACTTTCAAATGACTTTACTTACTTTATACATTACAACAACCTACAGTAAATACCACTTACAGGGTGAGGAAACACAGAACATAACATAGATATAAAAGACAATAATAAATAATAGACTACAAAGTGTAAAAGATACATGCTGGTTACTTAAGGGTATTTTTTAGGTCTGCAGTTAAATATATCAATCCGGTTACTTGCAGAATTGTAATTCCTACTCATCACATGCAAAGGGGGTTAATGTATATAATTTGTCCGTGCCGCAGGTAGATAAAACGTAACGTTTTGTCGGACGTCAGCCTAGGTACGTTAAATGATAACTGACCCAAGAAAGCTAAATCATCACTAGCATTATTGATCAATTTAAACAGAAAAATCATCGACTGCTGATTAGATGTTTTTCAAGTAAGGAATCATGAGGTATACCTATGGGTGGGTAAACGCCATCCACTTTCAGTGACAAATAGTTTAAGAGCCTACTTATAAAGGGTTGTCCAATAGGGATGCAGGAAAGTAAACGTCAATTTGACATAGACGCCATCTTTGTTTTCTGTCACCGACATGTCATTTTGTTAGTTGAATGTTTACCATTGGTCGCTATGGAGTCGTATTCGATTGAAGACCGCATTAAAGTTATTCAAGAGCACTACAAAAATGGTGCAAAAATAAAAAACACGTTTCGCGCGCTTCGTGAACATTTCGGTCGCAACAACCGCCCAAACGAAACAACCATCGGTCGTCTGGTGCGTAAATTCGAGGCAACAGGTTCTGTGGCAAATCTGCCAGGCTCTGGCCGGCCAAGGAGCGTTCGCACACCGGAAAATATTGCTGTTGTGAAGGAGAGTGTGAGAGACGATCCGAAACAATCAACAACGCGTCGATCCCAAGAATTGGGCATTTCGAGAACCAGTTTGCTCCGCATTCTCCACAAGGATTTGAATGTACACGCCTACAAGATCCAATTGACGCAAGAGCTGCGTCGGGCCGACCATTTTTCATCAAAAATCATGTTCAGCGACGAAGCGCATTTCACTTTGAATGGGACGGTAAACAAGCAAAACTGCCGCATCTGGGCGAACGAAAATCCCCGTGAGTATCAAGAACAGCCGATGCATCCTCCAAAAGTGACTGTGTGGTGTGCATTGTGGTCAAAAGGCATCATCGGACCTTACTTTTTCGAAAATGCGGCCGGGGACGCCGTTACCGTCAATTCCGAGCGATATCACGTGATGATAGAGGACTATTTTTTGCCGCAACTTGAAGGAATGGATATGGACGATGTTTATTTCCAACAAGACGGTGCAACATGCCACACAACCAACGTCAATATCCATCGATTGCAGTCCTTCTTCGGTGATCGCGTGATTTCGCGCAGAGGAAATGTGCCATGGCCACCAAGATCATGCGATTTGACTCCCTTGGACTTCTTTTTATGGGGATATTTGAAAAGCAAAGTCTACGTCAACAAACCAGCCACCCTCCAAGAACTCGAAAACAACATCATTGCCGAGATAAATGCCATAGAACCGATCATGTTGCAAAATGTCATTGAAAATTTCAACCATCGCGTGAACGTCTGTAAATCCAGTCGTGGTGAACATTTGAGCGATATTATTTTTCATACATAAATGGTATAAATGAACCTTCAAAATAAAGTACCCAACTTGATTTAAATATCAATCTTTCTTGTTTTAATATGCGTTTACTTTCCTGCGTCCGTTTTGGACAACCCCATATGAATAATATGATGCGAATTCCACATTAACAATGCATCCAACCTAACCAAATTTTCTAAACGTTGATCACACTCTGATTCATTAGCTACACAACAAGACATCTTCAGATCATCAGCGTAAAGTAAACAATTCTCGCGAACAGCATTACCTATGTCATTCACAAATATGACGAACAATCAGGGCCCTAGGTTACTGCCTTGTGGCACTCCGGAATTGGCAACATACTCCGACGATATGATGCCATTAAACATCATAAATTGATTTCTTCCAGGTAGGACTTAAATAGTTGTATTAAAGACTCGGATAATCCATGAGATTTCAGCTTATGCAATAGCATCCTGTGATCAACTCTGTTGAAAGCCTTGGAGAAGTCTGTGTAGAGCACATCTGTTTGTAATCCTCTGTCAATGTTTTCTGCTATGGTCTGTGTGAAGTTCATCAAATTTGATACTACTGTTGAGCGCCCTTTCATGAAACCATGATGTTGAACACATATACTTCTGCTGACATGATGATATAGTCTGTTATATATTAATATCTCTAGAACTTTTAAAAAATTACAGAATATTGATATAGATCTAAAATTTAATACATCATTCCTACTGCCGTTTTTGTGTTTGGACATACTTTAGACAACTTCTATAATTCTGGAATTGTGCAGGTGGTAAGACACAAGTTGAATAAAAAGGTCAAAGGACGCGCCAACACAGAGAGGCACTGTCACGCAAAATAAAAGCCGGTAGTAATCTTAGGTTTTATTTGCTTCAAGGCTAAGACAACTTCATCCTCATCAAATCCAGTAATATTGAGTAGTAGTTCATTTTTCATTAAAAAGTCATCATTTTCTTCGGTGGCTGATGAAGGCGAGTAGTATTTGGAGAAGTTATCCGCAAAAGCATTTAATATGTAGTTCGGTTCCAAAAGTTCATTACCATTCTAGATCATCCTACTTGATAAGTTTGTTGATTTTCGCTGGGAATTTAAGAAGCCCCAAAATTTATTCGAATCTCTTTGTATTTCGTTCTCAGCTTGTCTGACATATATTTTGTATGCTTGATCTGAATCTATCTTAATTTTTGATCTAAGTTCCCTGAATGTCTGATGCGTTTCAGGATCATTGTTGCGTCTGTAAGATCAGTGAATCTTCTCATTGCGTTTGATAAGCCTAATTATTGATGATTTGAACCAGGGTGGGTATTTACGTTTCGTTGCTCGGACATATTTTGGAACACAGGGATCAAAAGCTTTGTACAGTTTGTAAAAGAACTCACAAGCTTCATTCGCGCCATGAAAGCCATCTAAAGCAGCCCAATCAATGTCTAAAATTAAATTATATAATGGGGGAAGTTGGCTTTGCGGAAACTATAAGAATTTATAAATGAAACAGAAAAATTATGCTTAGTATTGAAACTGCTGTTGACTTTACAACATAACGTATATTCAGGGCAGGGTGATATGCGACTTCATCTAGCAGCGGATCCCACAAATGTTCAATCATACACAAACCACTACAGAAAACTAAATCAAGGGTATTGTCTATAGAATTTGAAATGTTAAACTGATTAATAGCAAGACCCTCGGCGAAGTTGTTCAACGATACCAATTTTGCGTTGTGTATGCGTATGTTATTAACATACGAAGTTGTAGTTAGCTATGCTGAAATCTTCTGTTATAACTAAATTCTTATCAAACAGGACGTGTAATGATAAGAGAGCATCATAAAATTGCTCATATTGAGCATTGGGTTTATCAGGTGGTATGTAGACATTGCAAATGAGTTGGTACAAACCTTGACTGCTACATCAATCTTTAGGGCAGAAAGTACTGCCAACTGAAGTATCTCTATCAAAGATGCTGTAAAACGCTCATCAATCGCAATTAACACACCACCACCTCTTGAGCAACCAGTGGTTACATAATCATCTGTCCGGAACACATTATATGTAGTTGGAAAAAATTCACTACTCATACATGAGAAATCTAATCAGGTTTCAGTTATTGCGATGATATGATATTCACACCTACAAATAGCATTATAAAAAACAGCAGCTTTCGTTCGGAGTCCACGAACATTCTGGTAGTATATTAGAGGTTGCACCCTATCACTACAATTAAAATCTAGACCCTTGTGAGGTACGACGAAGGGATGCATTGGTTGCTATTGACTGAGTAGGTGCCTTAATCTATCAAGGGCGTCATTGTATGCCTTGCATTTCTGCTTGTTCCAAACAGCATGATCCGTTTGCACACTATCATCTTTCTGTTTAAGTTTCATACAGTTTGAGCATTTACGAGTCTGACCTATAAGGTTATAGTCAAGTTCACCATTAGGTGACCCTTTTCAAACTTCACAACTATATCGTTACATTATACTTTATGGGACGTATTTTTGATATATACTGTGTGTTCAATGTGTACGAGAGAGAAGCGCGAGAAGTGTCTAAGGCACATATATTGGAAAGAGATATAAGACGGCTGGGTAGCCAAACTCGTGGCCACGTTGCCTAGCAACGGTGAAGTAGAAGGTCGTGCAATCTGCCGCATTGCCAATACATTACACCAGAAAAGTTCGCACAGGCTTCCACAGTAGGTTAGGTTACTGTCAAAACTAAGATAGAGGTCTGTTCGAACATTTAATATTTTGACTAGAATTATGTATGCCAATTTTGATGCGACTTAGTGTTTTAATATATTTCAGAATTATCTTTGATTTCTACCGATGGTGATAAAATCAACACATCCTGAGCTATTATTACATTTTGCGACAGCGAGCGATCGGAAAATGTAACAAATACCATTTCGAAGCAGGACAGCGCTCGTCAATGAGCGCTAGATGGGTACTGACCAAAATCGTTCATCTATGACCATTGAGGTAGAAACCTTGCCTTGGAATGTAGGAGATGCGGTGTCGCCAAGCGAACCAATGATGCAGTGATGCAAAATTTGTGGCGAACCTGACCTTTCATTTCGACCTAAAATGAAGCGCCGTTTGGACCAATCTGGAATCGATCCTAAACAGATTCGACACAATTCCCAATTAAAAAATGTGTGTGCTCAAAATAAAACCGTTATTTGTGCGTAGAGAATAAACTAACGCATATTTTTAACAAGGATTTTAATTCAAGGAACTGGAGCAACATATTGGCAACGCGGCAGATTGCAGGACCTTCTGGGTCACCGTTGCTAGGCAAAGTAGCGATGAGCTTTGCTATCCAGCCGGCTTCTATCTATTTCTCACATATGTGCCTTAGACACGTCTCCCGCTTCTCTCTCGTACACATTGAACTCGCGTCTGTCAGCAAGATTTGATCCTTTCCATACTTTTTAGACACCCTCAAATAATCATTAAGGCCATGTGCAAAGACATATTGAACGTAAAAGTTCTCTCTCTTAACATTGTCGGTGTCCAGAATAGGGATTTCTATTTAAGAAAACTGTCTTAACCTTAAAATGGCCTTGAAGGTGATAGTCAAAGTCACCATTAAATAACACTTTTCAAACCTTACGACTTTGTTCTACACCATTTTTCTCTAGGAAACTAATTATTCGAAACATTTGACGCTTTCATACTTTTCGGACACCCTGTATAGTTTTGAACGTGATGGCCGCGCCACGTTGTGTATTTTTGTGCAGACACGCCCTTCAATTGAATTTCGTATCTCTAGGACTCTATGTTAAAGTATAAAAATATCAGAAGAAAATTATTAGTCTACCATGGACAAATAAAGAACAATATGTAGCAATAAATATATTTAGGAAAAAATACACGTAAAAATGTTAAATAATACTGATCCTTTTTAGCAAACCGTTGTACTAAGTTTTAGTACATCCTCAAACAAACAAAAAAATGGTAACGACAATACACGAGAGATCCCTTATATACTCGTACATACATATACAAACTTTTGTAACATTTTCAAGAACTCAGATTTGTATATATGGAAAAGTACAAAAGATACAAAATTGAGCAAAGCTTAATACCGTTAGTTGCAAAAGTTTTCTCTGGGACATAAAAGAAATATTAAAATGAGTAGATAAGTGTTCATTCCATAGATTGGAAACAATTTAAGACAACTATGAATTAGATGCTTTTGATATGGTCAATGATTTGAATGACATGATATGCATTTTTATTATCTTCATTGTAGATCTCATAATGCAACATTTATTCAATCTTAGGAACATAGCAGCTTACATTTCTGATTGAAATATCGTTGAACGATTTTCATACGTCAAATTAAATGTAGTCAAATAAAAAAAGTTCACAAATTGTGCATGATTTCATAAAAGATTATGATCTTCGAGTCTTACATACTGATATAAAAGCCTTAACTAAAATTTACTTAAATGTAACAACAAACATTGACAGTTGTTGTGTTGAAAACAAACATTTGTTTTAGTAGCACTTGGTTCTCACGTTTTTAACCAATCTCTAGTAAATCCGCGGAATATTTAACTATCATTCCTAAAAATCATTCGAAGCATGCGGACCGTAAAACATTCATGCAAAAGAGAGCTATAACTAAATCACAGCGAAGTTCATTCAACAAATTTTAGTTATCTAAAGGGCTTGAACTAGGAAATCTACATTTTACCTAGTAGAGTGAACGATCGAGTACGGGCTAGAAGACGAGACATCACCGTGGGCAACCAAGTAAACAGAAGGTTGTAAACTGGTTGCCTGGATACGATCCTGGCTTAGTCAACGATATCAAATAGGATAACAAGACGAGAATGATCTTATTAGAAAAGTTAAGTGAATAACAAATGCTGTTAGTTACAAAGGCCGAAAGAAATAAAAATTACCTAACTTTTATAGAACATATCACCTATCAAGGTTAACGGAGAAATTAAAATACTAAAATAAAAAGGAAAATTAACCACAAATTTCCATTTACCGACATTATTTTTTGAAGTTTATTGGCTTTTAGTATAGTTCTTTCTGACAAGACGTGCAAGCTGCTTGCATGGCACAGATGTTGCTATATGACACAAACGTTTTTAGCCATCTCAAACAATCTGGGGCAAACTTTTTTCTATTTGCCACTACTTCAGGGGATCCCTGTTCCCGGTGAAAACTGGATAATCCCTGCTGCGACTGGATTTTGACCTCAGGAAAGACGTTTAACCTCAAGGTCAAAATGGTCCCAAAGGTCTGAGTCTGTTTTCTTCTTCAATCCATTTTCCGCTTGGCTTTCGTCTGCGATACTGAAGAAGAGTACCGTTCTTCCGAAAGAAGGGCATCTGGCAACCCTATGAATTATTAATGATAATTTCCTGAACTGGTGGAAACAAAAAGTGTAACCCACATTATTTGAGATGTTACAAATCGTGTATATCTCATAGCTACTTCTGCTATGACACCGGCAGTTTACGTGGACTAGTCAAATTTGTAATATCCATTCAAATAAAAAAATGAAAAACCACAACATCAACAACCCGACACTGCTTAGCTCCGGCGATCGGATGAAAGTCGGTGTTTTCACTGGTACGATAACGCGTTATTTGGTATTGTTGCGTAAAATCATTTGTTCGCGACCTAGTTCGGTTTAGTGAACGCGACCTATTGAACTGGTACATCGAAATGAACTAGAAAGCACATCACTATTCAACACTTTTTAAATATATTTCAGTGATCCTTGTGTTGACTTGTACTTGTAAAAGTAGTGAATCTGCATCATAAATATTTGCATTAAATATGGGTTTAAATACAGTTATTTCTAAACTAACTTGAAAAATAAAGTCATCATAATTAACGACATGTAGATTGGTTCCTTCTGACTGTATATCAAAAAATGTTGTGACGTTTTGAAATACCTTGACAAATAATGTAGTTTTGATATTTTTACCAGTCTCCAATCCATATCACTGCCCATTGTAGTGCTAAACGTGAGTATGAATTTGATTTGAATGCCTTCGCTGACAATGCGAGTGCTACAGTGCTGTCGTTTCCTAGATACGCCCATTTTTAGTTTAATCGCACCTTAATTAGTTAGTTAAATACATAAATACCCTATATAACAATCGCTTTTTCAAAACACAAAAGCTGCAAATTCTTTGTCAATCACTTACAAGTAGATTCAGATATTAAAATTTGTTACAAAAGCAAACAGAAACAACGCCAATTTTGTTTAACAATCTTTATAGCCACGTTATCATAATCAAAAACGATTCGTAAAATCATATTTCACCGTCATAAGTGTTATAAATTTTTTTCCAAAATAGAAAACGATTTTTTTTAAGACTTCACTGAATCAATCAAGAGTAGTTATGTCAACAGAAGAGACTTCATAGAATGCTCAATTGACCTTGGGTACCGCTTATTTTTGGTCGGATCATCGCGTATTGGCAAGAGGCAATAGAAACATCACTGGCATCTATGTTAAATACAATGACGATTGGTCAAATAAGCAATTTGAGGTTAGAAAAATTAGAATTTTAAGCTGACATTCCTCTTTTGTCACTAAACTAAATCGTGTAATATTCCGCGTAGGGTCCTAAAAGTGAAATAGCTATAAGATAACTTACAGGTTTTGAGAATTACATCTGTTTATATGTCGCGGAGAGCATTCGCGAAAAAGTGTAATTTATATCTTTATTGAATGATATTTCGTAGGCTGCAAACGGAATTTGAACAAAAAAATGCATTCACTACGAGTGATGGACAACGAATTCATCCAAAAATGATTATATGTATATCTGGCAATGCCGCATTTATCTCTGACCAAATAAGAACAGCACGTGTTTAGACGCTATCAGCAGTTTTGTGGACGCCATGTGTTTGGTTACATCTCTTATGTATCTCCAATTTATTCGCCTGGTCTATCTTCTCTTGGTATAACCACTCTGGTATGATTATGATTAATTTACTCTTACATCAAAAATAATTAGATATTTTTAAATTATGTAAATTTCTGGAGATATCTTTCAATCAATTATAATAAATTGCACTGTTTTTACTGAAAAAGCACCAAAAGTAATGGGTTATTAAGTTGAGGGTACCTTTTAAAAACCTATAATATATAAAAACATTCAACTTTATCGGGTCATCTTTATTACTGAAGTGAAGAAAGGTTAATGAGACACCTGAAGCTTATCCCGTGGTTTGCATCCTGATATGACTCTATGATTGTCTGGCCATATGAAACGACATGTGTGAATTACGTCTTTAATTACAAGTCCACCACGATAGTGACCTTTTTGGATCTTGTACTTTAAAAAAGCCACCGTAGTTGCCAAAACGTCGGTAAAGAAGCAATTCACGATGTGGTTTTACTCACGCAGGCAATCGTGAAGTTCTAAGGAAGGGATGGTGGCATTCAGTTTTTGAATATTACTTTTACTTTGAAAGGTCGGCTGTTACTACGGTTACTATTTCAGTAGAGCTGGGTCAGTCTTGATCGAATCGTTCCGAATGAACTATTATACCGCATTTGGAATCGAGTCAGAAGAAATCGATTTCTGTGATTTCTACTCCGATTCCGGTGATTTTGACTCCGATTCCGGTGCTTTTGACTCTGATCCGGCGGTTTTGGTTCCCATGATTTCAATTCCGATCCTGGTGGATTTGGACAAACGTTTTTGACTAAATCGGCTGCAAATGAAGAACGAACTAAATGAAAATTTGGTATGAAGTAATGAAGCTTGGAGTATAGACGATTGTTGAATGAATGCTTAGTCGCCATTTAATATTTTGAATATTATATTTTTAATGAGAAAATATCCCACACAAATACTACTCATGTAAATGTAACATTTTTGAGTTTGGAATGTTTTTTTTATATCTTGACATACACATCATGAAAACTTAAGTATGCGTCGGTTTTCGTCTTTCAAAAATCTAAGAAAGCAGGTTAACCCGTCATTAGCAAATCTACTATTCAAATTCTACTATTTTCAATGTTGCACTAAAGAATTATTACCCGGATCAGGAACATCAAAGGAACAATCAAATTCAGGACAGACATTTATAGAAAACACGGGAGACTTTTTTATAAATTACGGTAGGCTCGACCCGATTGTCTAAAACATACCATCGAGCATTGCGTCTACGTCAGTGTTCTACTTAAGACAACCTCGCACTACAACTCGCAGTATCACGGCCATCAGCTTCGTTTCGTTGCATTATTTCCAACTCTAGTAAATCAGAATCTAAAGGTAAATGAATCGTAAACGAATGGACATAATCGGTTCTGAGGCTGGAATCTGAATCTCATTCGTATAGGACTCGATACCGATGCCGGAATCGGAGTCGTGAACGAATCGAAGGATTCGATTCAGAGGCAGGAATCGAATCAGCAAAAGGAACGATTTGCTTCAGCTCTAACTTGCAGCACGTTCCGTGAAACGTGACTACTAATTTCTTGTTTTTGAATCGGTCTTGTGATTTCACGTCTCTAGACAGACTTTTGCCTTTAATGTATGGATAACAGAGCACGATTTAGGAATTAGAAATTAACGTTCCTCGAGTAATTGGACAAACGTCGCTCAAAACCGAACTGGAATTCCAAAATAAGCCACATTACCCGAAGTGATGGCCAACATTTGAAAATTTGATTATCCAAAAAGAAAAAAGGACGCTTCTTTAGCTTGATAGTAAAGATAATCTGACACAGTTCAATGATTTCATCGTTTCAAGTTTTTTAAAAAAGCATATCTAAATGAATCTCCTTTAGTAACTGTAACGTTATCTTTTCCTATCTGTTAACAAATAAGTCCATCGAAAAAAATCACTTGTCATCCAAATATGTAAGTCGTAGTTAACAGTCTCGAAAGCTTAAAACAGTCTGAAAAAAAAAGAAAAGATTTCTCCAAAATCCAGTTGATGTAGCTACTGCTACACTAGTAGAAAAAATCAGTTATCCATTTTAAATTCTAAAAGGCAAACAATTAGAAATGTCAATGCTGATTTTCGAGCAACTGCTCGCTAGATTGTTGATTATGTGTATGACAAGGCAAATGGCATCCGTCAAATGAAGTCGAGCTCAATACGTTTTGAAGCCGTTTTGAGATATAAAAGATCTATTTTTAAAATGGGATATTTTCCTCAACTTAGTTCAACAAAATTGCATTTTCCATATCTAGTATAGATTGAGCACACACAGAAATAGCGGAAGCATGGTCGGCTCTTGCTCAAACTTCTGGCCGCAATTCTCACAGACAACATCAGATTAAACAGATATCTGTTCCTCAAGGAAAATCATTTTTACGAGGGTGAATCAAATACGAACCGGACTTTTCTGTTTAACACGTCATAGCTGAATGGAGTGGGGTGACGTCTTGATATAGGAAGGGGAGAGTCAGTCGGTTTGGCGCGCCGAAGTAGATGATCTAGTAGTAGCAACATGTTCGAGCAAGAGTTGTTGCGCAAAGCATTATCATAAATTGTTTGCATTGACAAAAGAAAAATCACGCGAAGTTTATTGGTAAACACTTGGACGCCCGCCTTACAGTCCCGATTTGTCGCTATGTGACTATAACATGTTTGGGCCGTTTAAAGAAAACCTGGGAGGTCACCACTTTGACGGCGACGATGGTGTGGAAACTTCCTGCACAATTGGCTACTAACACGACCGGCTTCATTCGTTGATGGGGGAATTAAAAAACTTCCGATCCGATGGGAAAAATGCATCAATAAAAGAGGTGTTCATGTAGAAAAATAAGATGTAAATAAACTTGTATTCACTATACCAATAAAATTACTAAAACAAAAGTTCATATTTGATTCACCCTCGTATGTCGGTTAACAACTCTAGCTCTATTTTTGTGTAACTTAGCATAGTATCACAGGTAACACCAACAGCTGTGAAATAAATGTTGTCTCAATAGGTAGTTAGGAATTTACATTACTCGGCATGTTCCAACGACTTGACTTACACACTTTACAAGTATCATAGAGACTTAGGCAGTTGATTATTGGTGGTTTTACGACGCATGGACGCTTCTGAAGCAGATTGATTGAATATTTTGTGAAGACAATATAACTGAACCAAGTTTTGGAAAATACCCCATGGGCCAGTGACCATTACAATGTGACACAACTTCAGTCACCATTTTGTCCATTATTCACACTCAAACAGGTTTAGAATGCGCCATAGGCGACATAGGCATGTAAAAATTCTCAACCACAGCCTCGCTTTCTTGTTTCTTGTTTGGAGTTTCTTTATTTTTGCCCGGACTCATCACGACGTATTCAGACTCGGCGGCAGTGAAGAGTCGTGAAATCTTCGAAAGATCTTTGGCGGGAAGAGTGTTGCAACGTGCCTTGATTGAGCTGTGGGTTTCTTTGTCAGTCTTGGAGCCTTTGCTGGAAAAAGATAATACATGTTTTTGGAGAATATTGTCTGGAAAGGGATTCAATCTGGCATTTTTGTCAAAAATCCAGTCATTTTCGAATACCTAACTTATTATTTTTATATGAACGCATGGTCGCACCACTTCCTATTTCAAATTTATAATAAAACACAACGAGACACAAAAGCTGTATAAACAATGGCATCAAGTAGGTTGCCTCTACATTTTCCACGGAGCTCTGTCATAAGTTAGCCCATAAAGGATTATGTTCGGCAGAAGTTAGCTCCTCTGAGGCAACATTAACTACGGATTTGTATAACAAAAGTCAGCTAAAAATAATAAAAATAAATTTCTTTATGTCCTACCGAAAGTATCGACCATCTGACAACAGTGCTGAACCACACCAGTCAACCATGCCATAAGCGCCAGCTCAGCGCTACCAAAAGTAAGATAACTATTGTTTTCTGAACGGTAACTTTACGGTATGATGTTAGTGTAAGATAATAGCTAAATGTACGATAATTTTGTGAATGGGCTTTTTACTTCCCTCGCCTATTGGGTCTGGAGTTTTTGAAAATTAGTCTAGCGGCGGCAAAGAAAAATACCAAAAACGGAAAAGAATAAAAATCGCACAAAATTCGTTTTTTGATGTTTTAGACGATTTAGAGGATCCTGATCATTTTTTGAAAACAATATTAGAGGTAAAAAACTTGCGGGTGGGGGTTTGTCGGGGGGTTTATCACAAGTTTTTGATATTGGTAATTCTACGCACCTATTAGACCTATGTCACACATCATAGATATCTCCGTACATTAGCCCTTAAAACTTTATTCTCAGCAGACGGATCGCGCATCTACCGTCGCGGCTGCTACTCCCGGCGGCATGCCGCCGGCCTTGGTGACTGTTCTGTTCTGGTATGGTATTACACGTATTTCTGCCGCGCCACAGCAGCTTTTACGCTATAACCGCGCTGCTACGTCTGACAGGGTTAATTATCGGGGAAAGGCGACGTTACCAGATGCACTACCGGTAGGGCAGAGAAATAACAAAGAACGTCTATGGATTAATTATATGGACGTGTTTGACTGACTTTTTCTCAGAGGGTGAAATATTGGTGCGTATATACTAACATAAAAAATTGAGATATACCCTCCCTCACCTCCTACAACCCTCGACCTCCAATTTTTAACCCTCACAAACATTTTCCTGAAAATGATCAGGAGCCACTGAAACGTCAAAAAACGAAGTATGAGAGGTTTAGTCTTCGTTTTTGGCCTTATTCTCCGCCACCACTGGACCGATTTTCAAAAACTACTACGCTTTTTCGTTAATAGTAACCTTGTGTGAAAAATTCATCAAAATATGACCTGTACTTTCCAAGTTATAGACATGATGTATATGTCATATGACATCCAAAAAACATCATCTCGTTTTTTCATGAATACAAGATTTCCTCGCCTGTAAGTGTGGGAAGCAAAATTAAATTGTTGCACAACTACGCTTAAAATAATAACAAAGGTGAATTCGCATTATAATTGTTTATAAACTGAAATCAGTTTGACGCTCTGAATACCTGCAGGTAAAGTACTGTCATCCTCAGAGCAGTGTATCCGATTTATCATACAGAAAAGGAGACCACTAACCTTTTTAAAGGTGATTCCAGTCGTCTTGGTGGTAAAGGAGGAGGTTTAAAATACTTTTTACTCTCTAGAATAATTTCCAGTGGATTCTCATAAACGTGATTCACGAATTCTTGAATTCGTTCTTTGATTTGGGTTTCGTCGATCTCTTCATAAATTCCTGAAGCTATTGATATGCCAGATTCGTTTCTGGGTATTGTCTTCGTTTTACTGAAAAACATTAAAAGATAATAAAGGATGAGAAACCGTAGAGTAAGCGTCGAAAGAAGGGCTCAAACTATATATGAATAATATGATTACATTTACTATTTTTTGTATTTTTCAAACTACTTACGTTTGGTCAACATTGTCTGCTAAGTCTTGCAGAGAATCTTCAGTTTCACTACCACCGGGCGTCTTCACTGTCAGTCCCATACTATTAGCGTCCAATATGTTCTGAAATAAATATATATACGAAATTACATATAATAAGTCAAAAACTGAATATACTTTGATGTCTCTCCTTGGCTAGATCCAGCTATAACAATAAATAGTTACTCAATACACCGAGTGTTTCACATGCGCCCCTCCCCATTGGGATTTCAAAACGGTAAACGAAGTAGCTTAAATGGGGGCAAAGTTGCGTAATTAGGTAACTAACAAAATGTTGCTTAAAAAGTTCGAAATCCAAAGTACTTCCGGAGAGAGACGAGAAAAACGATATTCCAAAATAATTGCCTTAACATTACCACTTTTATCTTCTACATAATAATTAGAATTTCAAAATAACTTTCGTTTCTTGTCCTCCAACATCAACTTTATTTTTTCTTATGGACGCCATATTGGATCTTTGCGCAGAGAAACATAGTTTTTAATTCTGACTTCAAAAATGTATAACTTGTCATACATTTACATACACATTGCCAAACCTTAGTTATCCCAGAAAAACAGAAGTTCCTAGATAAGACTTGAAATTATCAGACATCATTTGTTTCAAACACCAGACTGGACCTTAAATTGAACATAGCAACAGAGTCTGGAAGACTGAGAAGAAGAGAAATAATTCGAGCAGTGAACAATGTGCAGAGAAGAGTTAGGCTTTCCCTGCCAAATAACATTTTGAACATGTGCTATGACTTACCTCTGCTTATTTATAACTATTTTTGTTATTGCCATCAATAAAATTTTCATTTCATGTTCAGGTTTCACCATGTTCATCCAACAAGAAATTTATGGCCAAATAAGGAAATACATCACTGACTTTAGGGCTGAAAATTCCATTTAAACGTACAAAACTCCAATACTGCATCCATAGGAAAAAACAAAGTTGATGATGGAAGTCGAAAGAAGAAATGTCGAATTGAAAATTGGACTACGCCATCTAGTAGTGGAAAATGCATTTTATTTTGAAATCCCATCTCAAAGTTAGGAAGAAATAAAAGTGACTTTGGGTTACATCAGGTATGCGAAACAATAGATAATTTATAGGTCTACCTAAGAAATTCTGCTACTTTTTAAAATAAATAAGGTTTGGCAATGTCAATTTACCTATGACGTATTATATATGTTTGGAATCAGAATTAAAAACTCGATTCACCTGTCCAAAAATTCAATATGGCGACATATTGAAATTCTGTCTATACCATCTTGTATAGGAGAAAAAGTGGCAATGTTAATTTGCAATTTATTTTGGAATCGCACTACAAATAAAGCCGGGAAAAAATTAAAACGATTTTGAGAAAATTCCGCCGGAAGAACTTTGAATTTCGAAAATTTCTAAGCGGCATTTTGTTGATTACCTGAATTCGCAACTTTGACCCCATTTATGCGACTTCATATCTCCTACAATTTCCGAAATCCCAATGGTGAGGGTCGAATTTGAACACTCTGTATATCAAAGATGATACATTGTTAATTGTTAATAAAACGTACATTGGAGACAACTTGTAAATATCTGGTACTTAAGGTACGAAAAATCATCCTTCTCAGCCCGTGATATAGGGATCCAATCAATCAAAACTTACCCCAACATCAACCATATCGTCTCCAACACCCTGTGGTCCCTCCTCTGACCCTACAGACATTCTGACCCCAGAATCGTCGCTGCCTGTTTGGCTTCTGGGGCAAATAGGACTATCACCACTGCTTACGCAACTACGCAGATCGCCTTCGCTGCGACTCAGTCTTTTGGGGCCTGCCGGAGCCCCGAAAGAGAACGTGTTAGGGCGGCCTCGTGAGGTCAGCACACGGAGAAGACGGAGACCGCGAAGGCAGTGGAGAAAGAGTTGGCCTGGGCCTGATGGGAACTCGCTGGAAATAAAAAAAAACGGCTTCAGGTGGATCGGATCTACCGGGTGTTTCAAATTTGACCCTCACCATTGTTAACTCGGTATCGGTTTGAGATATGAATTCGCTTAAATGGGGGCAAAATTGAGTGAATACGCAACCAACAAAATGCCGTTCGGAAATATTGAATTTTTGCATAGGTGAATAAAGTTCTTAAGTCTCATTACAAAAATGTATAATATGTCATACATTGACGTTGCCAAACCTTAGGTATTTTCCTTCGTAGGCCTTGAAATGATCAGATAGTCATTTGTTTCATATACCAGATTTAAGGCAAAATCAGTTTTATTTTCCTTGATATTATTTGAGAAGGAATTTCAGAATAAATTGCATGTTGTTTTTCTCCTCTACAAAATTGCGTTGTCAAATTTTCAATTCGAGGCTTCTTCTTATTTCAAAATATTAAGAATTTCGTAGGTATGCCCTGACATTATCAGATTCATTTATTTCGCATAACAGATTTGTCTCAAAATCACTTTAATTTTTTCCTGACTTTATTTGAAATGGGATTTTAAAATAAATTGCATGATGTCATTGTTACTCATTTTTCTCTACCAGATGGCGTAGACAAATTTTCAATTCGGCATTTCTTGTTTCGTCTCCCATCACCAACTTTGTTTTTTCATATGGATGCTATATTGGAATTTTCTCCAGTTAAATGGTCGTTCCAGTCCTAAATTCAGTGATGTATTTCCTTTGTTGGCCATGAATTTGTTATCGAAACAAAAATTATGAGAAAATAAAGTGGTATAGTGAAACCTGAACACAAAATCAATTTTTTATTGATAGTAATAACAACAATAATCATCAATAAGCAGAGGTAAATCATAGCAGATGTTCAAAATGTTGTCCATTATTTTGTAGGCAAAGCCTGAGTCTTCTCTGTACATTGTTCACTGCTCGATTTATTTCCTTTCTTCTCAGTCTTCCCAACTGTTGCTATGTTCAATTTGAGGTCTGGTGTGGTATACGAAACAGATGACTATGATAATTTCAAGGCCAAACTAGGAAATTCTATTTTTCTAGAATAACTGGGATTTGGCAATGTCAATGTTTGAAATATTATAATTTTTGGAATCAGAATTAAAAACTCTATTTATCTGCGCAAAAATCCAAAATGGCGCCCATAAGAAAACATTAAGTTGATGCTGAAGGCGAGAGACGAAACGTCATATTGAAATTTTAATTATGTCATCTTGCAGAGGAAAAAAGTAAATAAATAGTCAGGAAAGAATTGAAACGATTTTGAGAAAATTCAGTTTTTCCTTTCTCTCTCCGGAAGTACCTTGAATTTCGGAAATTTCTAAGCGACATTTTGTTAGTTACCAAAATACGTAACTTTGCCCCCATTTAAGCGACGTTGTATCCCTCATTTCCAAGATCCCCATGGTGAGGATTGAATTTGAAACACCTGGTATACTTCCCACGCCTTGGTGTACGACTTTTGTTGAAATTTTCACATTTAAACATGCCAACACTTTCAAAATTGAAAAAAGAATTGGTAAGTTTATTCAAAAAAATTAAACACGACTAGACACGTTTACTTAAGTACATACTATAAAGGGTGTTTCCAAAATGAAGGTCAATATTTTTTATCCATTTCAGTAGAAAACTTCAGATGAACGTATATCCTAAACTTTTTAATTTTTGAAATATAGAGTGATAAACTTTTCAAAAATAAATCATTTTAAAATTTGGCATACATATATGCAGGGTTGTTGTTTTAATCAAAATGATTGAAGCAAGAATTTTAAACACTGTTTAGATCAATGAAGGTGTTTTAAGAAAATTTATTTTAAACTGTTTAAAACATGTTTTTTGACGTTTGTGAAATATACAAGATTTTCTTTATTTTTTTAAGTATGATTAAAATTGATTTTATTTTGCAAAACGAAACTAAAGGGCCGGTTAAAACACATGGGTACTAAACAATATACTTTATTTTTTATTAATTAATCAAACATGAAACTAGGGAACTAATACTAGCGGAAAAAAATCATGTTTCTTAACGAACGAGTGAACTTAATAAACTGCATTGAACTCTAATACTAGTACACTACAAGCAGCAGAATAATTATATAATATGACTATGTATTTACTACAATAATATATAATATATATAATATATACGAGCCACTTCCCACTTCAGTTGGCCCATTTCAAGATTTGTACCAAAATATGCCTTTATAAACTAAACATGACTTCTAAAACAATTTATTTTCTCAAAAACATTTTAGATACACTCTAGTCGTAAAAAATACATATTTGAAATCACTTAGACCTATAACTAATAGAACATCTGAACAAATAAACAATGTGCGAATAAAGCGCGAAGTTAACAAAGCAACAATTGAAAGATTACTATTGGGTAACATCACCTTTATTTTTTATTACGGCTGAAATTCTTTGGGGCATAGTGTTAACCAAGTTTTGGCAAAAATTTGGTGTACAACAATCCCATATTTCTTGAAGCTTTTATCTCAGTTCGGTGATTGTATAGCAGGATGTTGTCGTAGAACCTTTTTCATCTCGTGCCACAAAGTTTCAACAGGTGTCAGATCTGGACTGCTAGAAACCCATTTCAAAAGTGGTACATTATTTTCTTCCTTCCATTTTATAGCCTTTTTCGAGGTATGGCACGCTGCACCGTCTTGCTGAAACACAAAATCTTGGCCGGATGTCAAACATTCTTCCATCAGTGGTAAAAGCGATTCTTCTAAAATTGCCAAATATTTGTTTGTATCCACATTTCCATCAATAAAATGAAGTTTTCCTACTCGATTTGATGACATAGACCATAATGGATGCTGGAAATTTCACTTTTCTCATCAGACAGTCAACATGAAATGCTTAATTTTAACTCTGCGACTGTCACCAACACAAACTTCGAATCGGGCCTCATCACTCCATTGTATTGCACACCATTGTTGAGATGTCCATTGTCTATGTTCTTTAGCCCATCTAAGCCGATTTTTCTTTTGCAGTGGAGTTAATAGCTGCTTTTCTTTGGCCTATAAACAAGTTGTACAACTTTAGGGTTTTTACTTCACTTTTTTTATAAGAAAACTTACCTTGCAAGTGCTAAATCATGGAAAATGTACATAAAATAAATTTTTTGTTTTCACTACTTTTTACGGAACTCCAAGTAAAAAAATTTACCTTTTTCACAATTCTCCAAGCTACTCAACTTTGAGGAAATAGGTTTGGTAGAAACATCATCATTGTCGGTATCAGAACTAGCTGATATATGAATATTTTGTTTTTCTAACAAACTTCCTTGTGTAAGTTGTTAAAAATTTTTAATATGCTTGCGCATTCTAGCCACCAGTGACACTATATCCATATTGCAGGGTAAACATTTTTGCTCTTTTATTTATTTTCGAGCCAGCTTTGGCATCAGTCTCCTGACTGAAATATTTCCACACGGGATCCTTTCTCCTCCCTGTCATTGCCTTTCTTTTTTTGCCGATCTTTAATGCACAAAAACCAAAACACACCACTACGCTACGACTTCGCACATTTGACTGCTGGAGATCGCAATGAGAAAAATTACCCAAAGGCAAACGGTACTTCCCCGACGTGCGCACGGTAGTTTCCCGACGTCCGCTTTTAAATTAGAGATGTGCTCTGATAGAGCTGGATCAAAAATAGTAATGACACTTTCAAGGAACTTCATTAACGTTGCTAGATTGTATCGGCAATAGTTTTTTTTTTACTGTTTTAAACATGTATTAACAGTGTTTTAAACATGTATTAACAGTGTTTGAAACATGTTTTTTTCAGCTAAATTTGAATGGTTTAAATAAAAAAAACAGTTTTGTTTTTTAAACATGTCTTTTTTTCAACCCTGCATATATGTATACAGGGTGTCAAGGAAATAATATTCGTAACTTTAAGAGGTGATTCCTTGTATTATTCTAAGCAAAAAAGTTCATCATAACCTATGTCCGAAAATCAACCGTTTTGGAGCAAAAAAATGCTGAACTTATTTCTTTTTAGTCATGAAATAAATTCAGCAGTAAAATGTATCAATACATCTATTTATTAATTAACTGTCTCTAATAAAATAATTTTCTTGCTTAAATACAATTTTCCGAAGAAAAACAGACAAACAAAATCCCTCACACAACTGGCAACGTCGTACTCCGCCTGCACTGCATGCATCATCGCGTGTTGTTGTGATTCCTAATACATTTAACTGTAACTTTATGTGATTTACGGATGTTAGTTTTTTCTTTTGTTGTGCATCGCATCTTTTCAAATAAGCGACTGATAATCGTGGGTATTGGTGGTGTGTATCGCCACGTACCCTTAAGTTCTGTCTTTTTTTAAAGTGACTGTACTGTACTGAAAGCGTTATTAAATAAAAAATATTAGCCACAAAAAATTGCGTAAATGTATTCAATAATTTAAAGTATATTTTCAAACAAAAATATCATACAAACGTAAACAATTCGATGAATCAGTGGCGGTCGTGGTGCGCTCGTATCGCAGTTGCGTTGCAGCGTTGCCAAATGTTTGAGAAAATTGAATTATTTACGACTCACTTTCCTCGAAAACAATTATAATAATGCAAGGAATCACCTATTAGAGTTACGAATATTATTTCCCTAACAGCCCGTATATGCTATATGGTGATATAATTAGCTACAGCGCCATTATGAGACATTAACCTTTTCATGATAGATTTCTAATTAGTGCAGAGAGAAGAAACATAACTGTGACAAATTCTAATAGATAACGACACAGTATCTCATTTCATCCCGGATAATTTTTGGACGCGGGAATATAGTATTAGGTTGTCTATATTCATATAGAATACGTTAATCAATTCTGATACCAAATATACAATATTTACAAAACCCTTCTCCCTCTTTAACCTCCAATTTTCAACCCCTCCAAAAAATTTCTGAAAATGGAGGAGTTTCTAGAACGTCGAAATGGTTTCAGTCATTTTTATTTTTTCGTTTTGGTCTGTAGCTCCGCCGGCACTGGATCAATTTCCAAAACGCATGAACTTTTTCGTCCTTGCTATAGCACTAACCTTATATCAAAATCTCATCGGAGTCCAATCGGTACTTGACGAGTTATTTGAGGCGGTAAGCATTATCATACACTCAGATAAGACTCCATTTTCCTTTTAACAAGAATTGTTTGTCTTAAAAAATGACGTCAACCTTACTCGCAATTAGTCCTAAGATTTCATATTCACAACATTTCTTAACGAAGGAAAAGGAAATCTTATGAACTGCGGCAATAGCCCGAGAGGTGGCAACGTTGACCCCTAAAGCTGGTGCTCGACAAGTATATAGTTGCAAGCTTTAGTGCTTCGGGCCCAAGATACATATGCTTGTTTTCGCGCAGGCACAGCTTCCAATAGCGTTGGCTAGCCTGTGCTGGGATATTTAAATCAATGGTTAAGCTAAATAAAAAGCAACCATACCTGCTAGTGTGCATGACAATTACAGTCTTCTCGTCCATCGACTTTAGAGGCACTTGTAGATGAAACTGGTGGAACATATACCATTTCCAGGAAACCTTTGGTTTTCCTGTACATGGGTCACTAATAACCACCTCATCGGAATCAGCTGTGAGCACGCCAAATGTACCCAATAAACCAGCAGCTCTTGAGTGAGCATTGTCGACAAGGGACACATGGAAACTTGAACCTCCAACTGTGAATCAACATAAAATAAATGGTAATATACAGAGTGTTCCCTAAATATAGGATAAAAATTCAAAAGATGGTTCTTTGAAGCCTAAATATATATATAATAAATTATTCAAATCGATTTTTTTTTAAACTTTTGTTTCCATTAAACACTAAGTTATCATCTAGCTGATTAGCTTTTAGATCCCCACATGCAAGATTATAAAATTTATTATAGTATCAAAAAGGGATTGCAAGGAAGAAATCAGAGACAAATTTTTTTTTGTTCCCTCAAACAACTTTGAACCCATGCAAAGGTCGCCTTACTCTAGAATTGCTTTTTGGCAGCACCTTATATACCTGGAATATATGAAGCAATACTCAGCATCCTCCTTATAGCAAACATCCATTTCTGAGCATCACTTTCTGAACTCCCTGACAGAAACAGAATGGGTTTCTTATTCTGAGTCAAACTGAATACTCCAAAAGCATACTGCTTAGTTCTCGACTCTGTTCTGCAAACTGTGGATGATCTTGGCAGAACTAAACGGTTAATTAGATTTCCTTCTTCACTTGTTTTCAGTTTGATTTCTACGCCATTTTCGATGCTGTCCAGGCGGCAGATTTCGCACCATTGCTTTTTCCAAGCCTTAATAAAAAATATCATGTTGAATCCCCATATTACATAGGGTGTTCTAGAATATTTCTCAAAATGTAACAAGATGGATACGCATGATGTTTACTATTACCTCCAACAGAAGCGGATTTAAATGAATTATCTTTCAATATATGAATTTTAAAAAATAAGGATAAACAGTGACATTCTTGAAAAGGAGTGCAAACAATGTGTTACAGATATTAAAAATGCAATTTTATCTCTCCATTTTATCTAATTATCCAGCCACCTTAAATCTGACCTTGACCTTCAATGTCATTTAAAGGTCAAACATACATATTAAGTATGTTCCTAGATACATTATAATTTATTATGTTACTTCATCTGACTGCTCATGACCTTGAATATTCAAGGACATATCTGAAAAAGGTCCTTAGAGACAAATCTTGAATTTCAGTTACTTTATGTTCATCCGCATTATATTCAGGGAAATTCAAGGATATGCCTAAAAGTAAAATTTTACTCTGTTCAATTCTAGAGTTATAAGTCTAGCTCTCATTTGACAAAATAGGTTTCACATCAATATATGACCCTGAAAATCAAGGTCCAATGCAAGGTGACTTTCAGATAGCTGATAAAATCCTTTGTTCAGGTTCTTCCTTACATACCTATATTCTATCATTTGCAACAATTTTGACATATGCAAACTTAGTCGACACTGTAGGAATGTATATGACTGATTAATTTTATTTATCAATTTTAAAATCCCATAGGTAGGGTGAATGTGCCATTGGTCAGACAGATTAGACAAAACTGAAATACAAAGGGGGATAACACAACTAATGCTTTGGAGGTAATCATATACACCTATGTTGTACTTTTTACTGACAACAAATATATTGCTCATAGATATTCCTGTAATTTTATAAAATATAAATTAAAAAGGTGCTATTTTGCCAATACTCGGACAGAACGTGATACTAGTCGACCGCTAATTTCCATTTGTCAGACAGCATTTGATTGGTCAGTTTTAGACAGAACCGTATTTAAAAGTTTGTGATAGTAGAATAGCAATTTCGAATCAGCTGTCATTAGGACTTTGAGGAAAAGAAATTAAACTCACTCATACTGAGTCCATTTAATATAGATATTTTTATCGAAAATACATACAAACTAGGTGAAAATGAACAAGAAATCAATTTTTTCCTTTAATCCAGTCCTGCACTGTCGGCTTTGAACTACTATAATAATAAAATATTTCAAGCAATTTCCCAACATTTCTCACAGATTTGACTGTCTCCTTTAGCCTGCCTTCACTATACATATATACAGAATTTATTTTTTTCTTGGTATTGATTCCCGAATGAAGTGGAAATGTGACATTTTATTTCACAGCCTCATGAAAAAATGGCCGACAAATGGAAATGGCCGGTTATTGGGATGCTATAAAATTCATCCATTCCAGTAGTCGAACACAATATCACTGGCCATAATCCCCATTGTTTGTTATCTTCAGTTGTATTTTGGTGTATTTAATCCCAAAAGAAAATTTTGACAGTTTCTATATTAAAAGAGAAAAAGATAGATTGATAATGGCCATGCCATTTTGACTAGTATGATGTTCCAGCCAGCATCCACTCCAGTTTGACCACAAAATATTAAAGCAACATATTAAGATTATTTTATTTCGTAAATTTTGAATGCATAATATATTATGTAACAAGAACAGTATTTATATATTGTCAGGTGTCATTTTTACATGCCTTTCAAGTTTATGTCACTCACTACACGAATGACAAAAATTGAGGAATCAAATGCATGCTGTTTTTAATGACAACTGTGGATGTGAAATTTTTGTAAACTGTCACAAATTATTTGATAAAAATGATATCAATTACCAGCAAGTATAGGATTTCAAATATCAAATTTTTACCAATAATAATGTCTGACTAGCATGGGTAGGTATTACATATCTTGAAAAGTAGCATTTTGTTGGTTTTTTGACATTTTTTAGGTTTTTTGTGACATAAAGTAGGTTTTTCTACAAGATGTTGTTAACTTGTTTTGTTGCTGTACATCTTGCTCACATCTATCATAGCAGGCAAATGTGGAATGAACTATTTGCACACTAAACACTACCCTGGCTGCACAATGACATTTTGTCGTTTTTCTACGTTTTTTCATACAATCCTTTAAAGATATTTTTCAATATACTTTTGCCTTTAGAAATGTCACCACTGTTTTTTGAGCATCCTTGTATTTTTACTTACTATTTTTGCCACTGATACAATATTTATTGAATTCTTCTAGTAATAACTAGTAACAGTTTAAAAAATGACTCATACCATAAGGTTGTCACAGTCTAATAAGACAATCTAGATTCTACAAAATTAATTAATCACATTAGATAATTATACCTAATGCATATTTGTGATAATCAACTGCTAGATTAAACAAGAACTTGTACTCAAATGAATCATAAAATAATCAAAGAAAGTAATTCATAGATAAATATTCTATTTACTGCATTCCATAAATAACATCTTGGGTTTCCCGCCCATGTCACTTTGCTACCTCATGGCAGAAAATACTTATTTTAAATACTTAAAATTCTACTTTCCGAGTTATAAAACACTGACATATTTAGAAACTGTAAACTAAATCATATAAAAACACAATCCCTTGCAAAATCAATCTAAGAGAACAAACAATTTGTAAACAATCCTGTCTTGAAATCCATTGCATCATTCCTAAGGGCACTAGATGACAATGTGCCGAAATTCACGTACCTTCCATGGTCTGAAACCTCTCCTGGATCTTGAAGACACTTTCACATCCAAATAACCAGTAACCCGATCATTCTTGAACATTTTTTCACTTGGGAAAGCTTTGTTTTGTCAGTATTCAAATTCTTTAAATAATTTGTTTACAACTTGGGTCACCCCTCCCTGTTTGTTTATGCAAAATGCAATTGCGGTGTTGCCAGGTTTCAGATGCATCTTAGCGTATCATACTAACCTAGAAATGTATATCTGTTGCTACAGTTTTTCTTCGAGAAACAACAACTCATTTGTCGACAGTAGGTAAGTTCATACTAAGCAAGGATACATATTTCAAAATGTCTCATTGTGATCGATGTAATGGCCTACAAAATTAGAAATATCCCACTAACCGCCATAATTTGTCTGAAATATGTAGACATCTCGTACGAGCGGCAAGACCTGCTAGCTGGGTTGAAAGTCCGCGCAACTGTGTATAGTAACGTCACTTTAGATTTCAATCTGTAACGAGCGAATACATTTTTTGGATAATATGATCAAGCTTTCCAATATTATATTATTATAACATTGCGTTAGTGCCAGTTATTAGGGTACCAAGGTCAATATTTTGACCGAAATCGATGTTCCTCTCACTTTGATAAGAGTTTAAGTGTTTGGTTCTGCTTCTGTCCCATAGACGGCGCTAGGATCTTCAATCTCTTGTAAGTATTACCCTTTAGTTTATTTTATTTGAGTATCTTCGGGCATTGATAATAATGTATTCAGTGAACAATCAGGTACTAAAATAAAAGCAAAAAGTTCTGTTCTGAAATATTTAGATGCAAAAATTTTATAGACGTGATGTGATGTGATGCTTATCGATAATGATCCCTTTACGTTTGAACTATCAAAGGGATATTTGCCATCTCTCGTTCATAGAAAAAATAACAACACACAGAATATAAATTTTGGAAGCAAACTATTAATATTTCGTCTAAACAAGTTGTTGGACAACATGCCATCTATTAATCGACTTAGTACTACAGTGACTAGACCATAAGAAAGGAGCTTGACGAATCAACCCAGGCTGCAGGCTGTAGACGGCGGAAAACGATAATGATACCCGCCGGCCCGCCACATAGCACCTGCTATCGTGCAAAAGATCAGGAGCTCGGCCTTCTAAATTTTTTCTGCATTATTAATTATCCTTTTTTGTCATTTTTTTCTGTGTTAAATGCCGAATTCACGCAGTTACAGGAGTGCAATTTGATCTAACGCGCATCGGGTATTGTTTCCTTCCTCTCATAGTGGTGTTAGAAAAGTAATCATACGAAACTCGAGTACTCGTTACTCATAGATACCCGAAGTAACGAGTACCAATCCGAGCACGAAATGATTACTTTGATTACTCTGTTTTCCGTATCCCTACCCGGTACCTGTACAATCGTTGATCGTTGAGTGGTAACGCTGGTTAGACTGTAGCACTGCTGCTCATGCACCAGGGTTGCCAGACATCCCACATTCAGATGGAAACCTGGAAACTCATTTTTTTTATTGGCGGACATAGAATTTGGTAACTGTTTTTAAATATTCAGTTTACCTATTTACACCGTGACACAAATTCGCTTTTATTGTTGTGATCTTGGGAACCTGAAAAGGAATAAGTAGTCGATTGGATCGGATCAAAGTTCGGCAGTATTATGAGGCAGAAAAGCGACAACAAGGTAACACCACCGTTCAGGAAAACCACAATAATAAAAGTTATGTCAATTTGACTCGTGTTTCCATGCACTGTTTTGCTAAAAAAAATATAATTCAGTATGACCACCAATAGTATGTGTAGACCAAGTTCAACGTAGAATTTTTTATACTGGTATATTATGCTTAATTGAAATGCTTCGAAAAGTCATATGCCATTCCGAATTTCCTTAAGCCCATATACAGATCATCTTTCTGACTAAAAGACAAGTTTTCAAGTATTTCTAGTAAATACAAAGTATTTTCAGTTTGTAGGCTCATATGACACTCCATCCTATGATAACTCGTCTCGATAAGCATACAGTTTGAAGATACAATGTTTGCATTAAACACGATAGTCTTGAATAAACTATGCTTATAACATTTTGCAAATTTTAAGGTCGTCTATTTTCTTACAAGATTCGGTTCCATTCAACTTGTTTAAATTCGACATTAATCACACTACCCATACTACTCATAGTAATCAAAGTAACGAATACAATAAACGATTACTTTGTAGAAAAGTAACGATTAGTAACGAGTACTCGAAAGTAACGATAACCAACACCACTATCCTCTCATCGCGATATTCGACTTCAGCGCCCTCAATTCAATATTCAGTGGTGTAGTGAGCAGATCTCGTTGTGGCAGTGAAAAATAAAAATACGCAGAACATTCATGTCACGAGAGCATTTTGTCTCAGAGGCACTAATGAAATCGTAGCCTCTCCCCTTCCCCAATCTCCTGTTTTCATTTCAATTACGTATACCTTGCTTAAGCGCGAGAGAGATGCAGTTGGCGGCCGCCCCTCAACTGCTCAGAGCCCAGGGGATCCAGGGTGTGTGTCCTGAGGGGCCGGAACCCCGAGTTTAGAAACACTTCGAAGGTGTTTATCAATTTGTAGACCGCACCCACTCGATTTTTAATCGCAAAGCTATTACGTAATAAATCTATATAATGTCAAAAAATCGATGAAATGTCAACTTGCGCACTATAGATTGCCGTTAGTGTCCGCTAATTCATGCCGCGCCTAGTAAAAGAACTGAGCATCAATCATCATGCAAAAGTGAATGTCAGCTAGTTCAAAGGTGAAATTTATTGGAAAACCTACATATTGTCATGAAAATCTATTCAGGGTGTTTCAGAAAGACGTGCCAATATTTCTAGGGTGAAAATCACATCCAAAAATAACAAAAAATATTCATATTGTGACGATAAAAAGTACTGTTGGCGCCATCTGATGGGAGAGTCTCCTACTCGCCAGAGCTTCATGCCCGATGCTTTTACGCGGACCACGACCGCACAAGCCGCTTGGCGGCGTTTGTCAGGCACGTGGCAGTGATTCGCCTTCTAGATCGACGTGAAATGACCTCGAAGGAAGGCTGCTATGTGGCTCTCGATTCGTCTCGACTCAACGATGCGGACTATATAACTCGGCGGCCGGGAGATGGAAGCAGAGTACAGATTACACCAGTGTAGAGCAGAGTGGAGTATAGTCCAGTCAGTGGCTCGACATAAGAATTAGTTAGACATAAATAGTGGTGTACATAAATGTTCTATCTAGTCGAGTAAAATAAATTAGTGCATCTCTTTTTGTGGAATCCAATGTTTTAATCCACACCCAAAAAAACTCAGAAACACGCTACAATATTAATATGGGTCCAAAGATGCTCCCCCTCCCCTGATTAAGGCTTTTTTACGAAATTAAAAAAACATATATAGGGTGTAAAGTTAGTAGTGGATCAACGGAAGTCAGGTGATAGAGGGCCTCAAAACATATCGAATGAACCCGTATATGTGTGGTCAGAAATTTTATAGTTCAGGAGACATTTTCAATTTTGTGAAATTAAAAAAAAACGGGATAATGAACTTTCAATCGCAATTACAACTAAACTATTAGGTTTAGGGCTGTGTTTTTTTTTCTGAGATGAGCTAAATGGTTAGTTTTAGCAACGGTTATGTCACTTTTTAACAGAGCTTATTAGAAATCAACGCAAAAAATTAGGTTGTATTTCATTATTCATTTTATTGTAAAATCTATTTCAATCCATGTAGAATGAACCCTGAAAATTTCGGCTTGCTACGATAAGTGCCTCACCTTAAAAAATCTGTATGTCTAACGCAGGGGTATCTATACATGTAAACAAGAAATTATATTTTACGAGCTACAGTCCAAACGACTTGATGGATTTTGACATATGAGATACTGTCAGATTCGTCCTAGCAGTGCGAGTGATACTGTATGTATTAACATTTTGTAAAATCAGAATAGAGGTTTTTTACGCAAATAGCCAAATCAGCTTAATGAGGTTCCGCATTCCACTCGGCATTCCAGGTGCGGGAGCGTCCAATCTTCGGTCCGACCGAAATTACTAAGTCAGGCAATGGTCCAGCGCGAAATTTGTTTGGCATCTGAGTAGAATCATGTCATATTCTGTACGAGATAATGCAGAAATGCATTACTATTATGGTGCTGCCCTAGGAAATGCTCGAGCAGCTGCTCGCATGTATCGGGAGTATGTGGTTAGAAGAGGCGGTATATCCCGACTACTGCAAAAATAAAAATTATGGAAAACGCAATTTCAAAGACTAAAGGACAATTTTATTAGAAGGTGTCGCTTGAGTATAAAAAATAATGGATGCCATTTCGAACAGGTTCTTTAAAAGTTAGTTAAATTAAATTATCTTCCACATTTGCCGGTAAATCGCCATAATTCGTGGTATACTAGCCCTGGTATTACCCATGTTAGATTTTCCTGTTTATCTGAAATCACAACTAGTAATTGTGGAATTGTGGAGCACGCGCTTGTGGTGAATCCAGGGGTGGTCATTTTCAACACCACCTTTAGGTTGGATGTCTGGTTTGTTCGTACAATAGTCGGTACCTCGTCGGTGACTGTCAAAATCAAAATTAGAGAGATGTCACCTGTTCGCGCAGTTTCTAACAGTTTGCCGACAGCTAAATCAAATCCAAGCGAATAACCAAAATTTCTGTGTTATGTGCCGCGGTTATAATATGGTTCAATACCCTCTCCAGACTCACGCGCGAATCACGGCGTGAAATCGCGGCTCGGATCGCGGTGCGAATCCCGAAATTTCTTCCTACAGTTTCACACTCGCAGATGTTCGCGCCTGCTTCACAGTATAGTTCGCGGTCTTGACGAGTATGGATGGTGAAATTGCTACTGCTGCTGCAGTGCTACTTTGCGCTTTGGCATTTTATAATTACGCATATATAAGTAAAACTAGAGCAATTGAAAATAAGTGGAAAAAACACAACCACTCCCGACACTCGCTATGAGGCAACTGAACCACCAGCGAATGTGGAGCCTAGTCATGTTCGCGCTTTGCGAACCCTTTGTCGCGGGACAAAAAACCGACAACAAACGGGAACAACGCGCGAACGCGACGTGAAGCCGCGAAGAATACGCGAATGGGATCCACACTCATGGATCGCGGGTAGTTCGCGGCTTCGCGCGCGAATCGCGCGTGAGTCTGGAGAGGGCATAGTCAGTAGGTCTGTCAGGTCTGGTTGTCCAGATACCAAACAAAGTCAGGGAGAAAGAAGGGAAGAAGAAAGGAAGGAAGGAAGGAGGGAGAGCAAAGAAAAAAGAAGTGCATCAATTTGAGGGGTGCCATGGCATTGCTAGTTAGTATTCGGCAATTTTAAATTGATCCTAAAATTAATTTTGGGATTGGTTGTTGAAGAAAAATTATAATTTTGGTTGGACCTAAAGTCGCACGATTTAATTTTGTTCACAGTACGAGTCGCGGCCTTGTGTGCTTGCGAACTTACTCGACTGTGTAGTCTACTGCTTGACTGTAACGTAGCTGCGCTTGTTGTTTGATGTAGTCCCTTAGGTAAGGGATGTCAAGGTCTCTGTGAAGGGTCTCGTTAGAAACATACCATGGGGCGTTAGTGATTGTACGCAAGGTTCTGTTCTGCAGAACCTGCAGGCTACGCAAATGCGTTTTGGCGAGAAAACACCAAGCCGCTCTTGCGTAAGTGATCGCTGGTCTAATAACCATCTTGTATAGCCGAACTTTGTTGATCAAACTTAATTTTGTGTGTGTTCTACATAGCATAGGGTAGAGTTGCCGAAACGAGATTTGGAATTTAGTTTTTAACGCTTCAGTGTGCTTCTGCCAGGTTATCCCCTTGTCAAGAGTGACACCGAGATACTTAGCAGTGCTTTCCCATGGTAGCCGAGCTCCATTCACTGAAACCTCAGACGGAGCGCCGCTACGTTTTTAGTACAATAGATTGCCTATTAATTTTGATCCGAAATTTCCTACCCTCGAGAAAGGATTTCCAAAGTTTTAGGAGCCAGAAGGGGAAGCCCTTATGGATCAATTGGTAGAGAATTCCCTTGTGCCACACCTTGTCAAATGCCTTTGAGACATCCAGTAGCAAGATGCCAGTACTTTCATTACGGGTGAAGCCCCTGGTTACTCGTTCAACAAGCTTTATGGCCTGTAGCTCCGTACTATGCTCAGACCGAAAGCCAAATTGCACGTGAGGAATCACATTGTGGTCTGCCGAGAAATTTTCAAGGTGACGTAGAATCACCTTTTCAGCGAGCTTAGAAGGAGCTGACAGTAGACTAATGGGGCGGTAATCCTGGGGGAATATCGAACCCACCTTCTTTGGAATCATTATGACATCAGCGGTCTTCCACGCCGTTGGGAAGTGCTGGGTCCTTATATTGGCATTGATTATTGCCACGAGATAAGTTAAGGACTTCCGCGAAAGTAGCTTCAGCACCTTATTAGTGATTCGATCCTCTCCAGGTGCTTTACGCACCTTGAGGTCTTTAATATGACCTTGGAGCTCTGCTGGTGTGCAATGCGGAGTCTCAGGAGATTCCGCTGATGTGCCGTGCAGCTCTTCAATTGAGGAATCTTCTGAAGATTCCTCTGAGGAAAAATCACTAAGGGAGGCACTACTGCCACTGACGCCGTTGGCCCTAAAATATCTCCTGACGGATCTTACAATATGTTGCTCCTCGTCGAGGTCATTATCAAAGTCACAGTTGTTAGAGAACTGACCTTCCATTGCATCAGCGAAAACCTCGACCTTTTCCTCTGTCCTACAGACTATGCCCCTAGGACCGTGGATGTGCGGGAGTTGTTCTCGCTTTCCGTTTCTGAGCGACTTTGCAACTTTCCAGAGAGGCATACTTGAGTCAAGCATCCCCGACAGAAAGTCGCTCCATTGCTCATTACGGAATTCATGAAGAGCATTTCTCACTTCATGAACAAGATTCGTTGCTCTGTGAATGTCATCTGGGTGACAAGACCTCTTCGCTTGCTTAATTGTAGCTCTTTTGTCAGAAATTTTCTGACGAATGTCTGCAGGGAGAAGCTAGTCCGCTGTTCGTACAGAACCTTCTGACAGTTTAAAGAACGCCAGACAATCAGTGACAGTGACAGGTATCAGAATGAGTCGAAACTATCTTGAGGACTAATATTGCTTTGCAGAAGGCATTTACTGATCGATGTCTCTTCTCTAACACACATTTTCACATCGGTGGGCCGTCGGCGATCTAGCTGTCTTCTACTGCTAAACTAAAGACTTTGCTCCTCAGAGCTCTCCTCGATTATGGCGTCGCACGATGGCCTATCAGATAGATTCGCCTGACTTCTACCTCCCATCGTACATGTGTCGAACTTCGTACATCCAGAACTGCCCGATAGGCATATTATTCAGTTATTGTTGTAATGAGGTGCCATAGCTTTCTTTACAAGTCATATAGTGTTTCCAGTATCAAGCCTCACGGTGTTTTTAGAATAGGAGAGGCTAAACATTCTCATAAGAATATTTTCGGATTTTCCCCACAAATATTCAAACCTAAATATTTCCAAAACAAGTGATCTGACAGAAATTCCTTAAGTGTTTTATAAAATGCACTTATTTTCTCCGAAAAGGCCAGTCACGCAGAAAATATTTCCTACTAGGTGTCCGGGTACCCCAGTTTCTACGTCCCTGGTTTAGTTTGGGTCGGGAAACTCTGCCTGTTTATTGCTGCTGACTTGTTCACTGAGCGTCTAAAATATTAACTCAATATCTTTACCCATTCCACAGATTTTTTTTAATTTCGTAAGTAAAACTTCATCACCCTGTATCTCGGTAGGGGAGCATCTTAGTACCCATATTTATATGAACTTGATTTATTACTTTTGGATGTACTTTCTACCCAAGGAATATTGGCACCCCTTTCTGAAACACCCTGTATAATAACATAAGTTACGTAATACAGGTGCCGGTCTTAAGCCATGTGTAGGCACTCCTGGGCTCACAGCAAGCTCGGGGCCTGCGGCTGATGGGGTCCCAGGGAAGAGCGAAATCCGGTTTTGCCATTGAAGAAAAGGAGGGATACTCAAATATATTAATCTTGGGGATTTGCCTCCCCTCCACGCTCTTCAATTTTTAATCTCCAATATATCTACTCCCCTCCCCGAGACGAACATCTTCCTGAACATGAATCCTACGCTGAATATTTTTCCGACCATATGTTAGAATATTTTCTTCTGAACCATATTACACTCCGTATAAAGATTTGACACTGACATATATTGAGCTTGTGGACCAATTTTACACCTCCAAGTGTGCTTCGTGTGACTTTTTGAAAGATGGCCGATGAAGAGGCTCCACCAGAAGAAACTCCATCAGAGGCGCCAGCAGAAGATGCACCACCAGCTGCTGCGGCCGCTGAAGGAGATGCCCTAGCTGAGAAGCAAAATGGTGAAGGAGGAACAGGTGAAGAAAAATCAGCAGGTACCGACTCTTTTACGGGGTAATTAGCACGACAGTTTCTCCCAAACCGTCGGCCTGATAATCATACATAACATGCCTACTAGCTTCTCAACGATCGTCCCAATATGAAATAAGCTAGATTCATCATAGTCTAATCATATTGGATGAAAATACCCCTGGTTTGCGAAATAATTATAAAGTCTGGTTTTAATTGTTCGAAAACGCAGGCAATCTATTGTACTAAAAAACGTAGCGCCGCCCCGTCTGAGGTTTCAGTGAATGAAACTCGGGGGGAAAGCTCTGTTAAGTATCTCGGTGTCACTCTTGACAAGGGAAGCACACTGAAGCGTTGAAAACTAAATTCCAAATCTCGTTTCGGTAACTCTACCCTATGCTATGTAGAACATTAAAATTAAGTTTGATCAACAAAGTTCGGCTATACAAGATGGTTATTAGACCAGCGATCACTTACGCAAGTGCGGCTTGGTGTTTTCTCGCCCCATGGTATGTTTCCAACGAGACCCTTCACAGAGACCTTGACATCCCTTACCTAAGGGACTACATCAAACAACAAGCGCAGCTACGTTATAGTCAAGCGGAATCGCATAACAACACTTTGTTGCGCGAGTCAGTAGACTACACAGTCGAGCAAGTTCGCAAGCACACAAGGCCGCGACTCGCACTGTGAACAAAATTAAATCGTGCGACTTTAGGTCCAACCAAAATTATAATTTTTCTTCAACAACCAATCCCAAAATTAATTTTAGGACCAATTTAAAATTGCCGAATACTAATTAGCAATGCCAAGGCACCCCTCAAATTGACGCACTTCTTTTTTCTTTGCTCTCCCTCCTTCCTTACTTTCTTCTTCCCTTCTTTCTCCCTGACTTTGTTTGGTATCTGGGCAACCAGACCTGTCAGACCTACTGACTTACAATACTTCAACCAAGAGCAAAGGTCCTACGGACCGCTCTGACAGACAATGACGAATAGAATAGAAAGTCTGGCTTTATTGATGCAAGTTGTTCAAGGGGTTATTTTAAACGTGGACGCATAAAATGGGTAGGTACATCAATTTTTGTGGGAAAACTTTTTATTCGACAACAAAGAATGCGAAAACGTGTTTTTTGGGATTCAATCGAAGGTGTTGACAGGAACGAAAAAACTCTAAATAAGATTTTTATGTATTTATGAGACCTACAAAATGAGACCACTAAAAAGTTCCGTCTAATAGTGAAGAAGTTATGGCCGAAAAACGAGGCAAAATGTTGCTGTTAATGCGACGATAATTCCACGCAGCTACTTGAAATTCTTCACATCCGTAGGCTTCATACTTTTTAGTAACCACAACAAAATTGGAGTCGATTGGTCAAGTAGTTTTTGAGAATTTCTGATTGTTTATCCCAACACATCTCTGTCTTCAGGCCATCACTGCTAATCTACTGAACAATATACAGGGTTCGTTCAAAGGGCATTTTATAGCAAAACACACGAATTTACCTTACCGACACCTATCACAAACCATTCCGAAGATATTTGTTGTTTTTATGCGAAAAACGAAGCGTTACCTTTTTTCTTCTAAACAAATTCAAACATTTCGTATTTGTGAGTAATTGAACAGATTCGCTACGATAGTCGAAAAACATAGGTTATTATACACATTTTAAGACAAAGCGAATGTGTCCATAATTTTTTTTTTGCGAAGAAAACAGTTTTTTTTATAGATTTTTTCATACTCTTCTGTATACATATTTAGAGCTGAAATTCTAACACGGCCACAGATGAGCCCTAAATTTTATAAAAATAAATATTTGATACCTAAATGCGCTTAACTGTTTATAAAGTTAGCACGCAAAATTAAGACACAATTATGTTTCAAACTGTCTTAGACTAGTTAGTATCTAGCATTTACTAAATGGCTGCATATTGATCACTGCATGACTTTGTCAAATAAGTAGGTCACGTAATCCAGTTTCTGTACGAAGAAATACAATTCCCTGGACCTTTTTTCTAAATTTTCTAGTATAGTATACGTCTCTTTTCGAAATCTCGTACGATTAAAATGACTGCGAGTTCAAAATACTGGAAAATAAACTCGATAAAACGAAGAAACAGTAGACAAATAATATCAACCAATTGTAGCGAACTGTCCGTCTTCAAAATTAGGAAAAATGCTCGGTATTGGTCCTTAATACATTATTTTAAGTTTCAGCATTGTATCTTGCATAGTTTTCAAGAGTATTCTGATTGTTTATAATAGATTTGATATGCCTTGAACGTTTGCTTGGCATTTGTCAGTGTCAAGTGTAGTGGTAGAAGGATTTAGTAAGCCAAGAGGCATCGTAGCGTAATGGGAGAGAGCGGTCATTACTGAATCGCAGGACGAAGGTTCAAATCCGCAAAGCAAGTTTTTTTGCTATCAATTTTTTTTTAAATTTGGACAAATAAATGTTTTTTCACATTATGTGTACTTTTATTGGGATCAAACAGTTTTTCGCACGCCATAGAGAATGTAAGCTTGCAAAAAGGAAACCAGCGGTATACGTATGATTGCTTATAATTTTTTTTATATTAATCTGATGAAATTTCAGAAACACTATATCGGATCATAGCAGATAGTTTTTGAAAACGTATATCTTGGATGTGTAAATTATTAACTAACAATAATGAAATACATCCGAAATGTTGTTTGTGATAATACGTTTTCGATACGCCGTCAAATTGGGTACCTCTTGGAGCTACAGAGGATGCTTATAAAATTAAGTGAGCTAACCCACAGTTTTTGTATTTATCGAGTAACTGTTAAGCGTACATATTCATTTCATCAACAGCGTAGATATTTTTTGCATAGTTTGTATTTATTAATTTCGGATGTCTTTCGGTACTGTTGGTTAATAATTTACACATCTAAGATATGTGTTTTCAAAAATTATCAGCTATGATCCGACATTGCATGCTTGGCAAATGTGTTGGTTTGTTGGTTACTTTATCAGTGGCGCCACCTACATACACCATTCCGCGGCTGAAACCGCGGGGTAGGAGGCTAGTGTAAATACGAAGTTTGTAAATCAAGTAATGAGACTGACAACGTAGGGTTCGATTTAGCAAAACTGGAGGCGCAGGGCTTGGAAGGGGATAGGGGAACACGTGATCCGCCTTCAGTACACGTTTAAACTCGCTCGAGACGTTTGGTTGTCGGCAGCGAATTTTCTTGTGAAACAGTTTTTCCTATTGTGTTCTAAAAACGAATAACATAAATTTCAGTGTGCCATTAGGTTTTGCTTCAGACTTGAGCACACTGCAACAGAAACTCTTGCACTGCAACAGAAACTCTTGCTGAACTTCAGCAGGCAGCAGCGGTGGCCGCAGTAGTAGACTCTTCGGTCTCCTGATCAGTCGCCGTGCGCTGTGCGGGTTCGAGTCCCGTCCCAGGAGAAATTTTTCTCTTGGCTATGGATGTTGTGATTGTCCGTAGGTGGTAGACGGTCTCTGACTGTCGAACATGGAGGTACCACCCGGCGGATCTCGTAGGTGGAGCCAGTATGTGTGCATGTCGCATGCACACGTGTTCCCTCGCCAGAGTCCGTGTGGCGTCCCCCCTTTCCCCTGTATCCCCCTATAGCCCCACGGTACCCAATGGGTGTTTAGGCCGTATGCCTTCGTGGTAGTTGGAGTACAAAAAAGGCTTACGGAGACAGTGTTTTGTCAAGAGATAAGATTTATCGATTGTTTGAGATATTTTCAGAAGGGAGAGGATTGATTGAAGATGAACCACGAAGCGGGAGGTTTTCATCTTCAAGAACCGGTGAAAATATTGACAGAATACGGAATCTTGTGTGTTCAGATCGTCGCTTGACAGTCTGAATCATCGGGGAAGAGTTAAATTGGACTCACATCATCGTTGGTCAGATTAAGAACAACTGGGTGTTGCATCACGATAATGCTCCTTGTCACATAGTAATGTCAATAGACGAGTTTTTTGACAGTACAAATATTCCTGTGGCTCCTCAGCCTCGTTATTCGCCTGACTTGAGTCCTTGTGACTTTTTTCTCTTCCCGAAGTTGAAAAATCACCTCAAGGGAACTCATTTTGGGACAGTCGAAAACATTCAAATGGCTGTAACTGACCAGCTGACGGCTATTCCAGTGTCCGAGTTCCAGCACTGCTACGAGGAGTGGAAGAACCGTTTCCAGTGCTGTGTCGCTTCAGAAGGAAATTATTTTAAGGGTGACAAAATACAATTGTAATTATATTTGAATAAAAAAAAATAAAAGAAAATCAGTCTCATCCCATAATTTACAGACCTCTTATACAGGGTGTTCCATAATTATTGCGACAAAATGATATGGGTTGTAGAGGGCATCAAAATGAATAATTTTGCCTTATAAACCCCTGTTCGGAAATATGCCGTTTGGGCTGCAGCAAAAAAAATATCAGTTTCTTGAAACAGCTTACCTACAGTAATTGCTCAAAGTGTCCTCCACCTTGCTCAATACACAGCTGTGCACGATTGTTCAATGATCGGCGAACTCTGTGGCATACCCCCGATATGTCCTGAACATGTGCGGACGCGGCCATCACTCTTCCCAGTAGCTCTTGTTGGTTGGGAACAGGAGTTTCGTACACTAAAGCTTTCAGATGGCCCCAGAGAAAATAATCTAGTGGGGTCAGGTCGGGTGACCACGCAAGGCCAAGGCACAGGGCCACCTCGGCCTATCCACCTATTTGGAAATTTGTCGTCCAAATACTGCCGCACTTGTAAAGAAAAGTGGGCTGGAGCGCCATCGTGTTGAAACCACATGTTGGCTCTTATGTCCAGTGGCACATTTTCTAATAGTTCCGGTAGCACATTCTGTAAGAATCGACCATAAGCATGCCCATCCAAACGTGGTGGAAGCAAATATGGCCCGATGATATGCTCGTCCACAATGCCGCACCAGATGTTAATTGAAAACTGATGTTGGTCTCTATGGATGGCTATGGCATGAGGGTTTTCTTCATCCCAAATGTGACTGTTACGGCTATTAAAATAACCGTCCTTTGTAAAAGAGGACTCGTCAGTGAACAAAACGTAGCGACCAAAGTTTGGTTGCCTCAACTCCTGCTGCAGCCACCAACGACAAAAACGTCGACGCGGCAGATAGTCTTCTGGACCCATGGTTTGGACTTTTCATAGGTGGTATGGGTGTAGTTGCTGGTCATCGAGAACCCGCCAAACAGTAGTTTGAGACGCTCCCATATCATGTGCAATAGCACGCACGCTTGTACGCGGATTGGCCTCTACATGATGCAGAATCGCTTCCTCAAATTCTACTGTGCGCCTCGTGAAGGGCCGCCCTGCTCCCGCGAGGTGTCTGATGCTGCCACTGACACGAAGACGTCCATGAATGCTTGCAAAAATGGCGTGATGCGGATGAGGACGTTCTGGAAACCGTTGGGCGTAGATTCGCGAGGCTCGTTATTTACTATCTAGTTTGACGCACCACTCAGATAAATTAAATGAATCGGTGTGGAGAATTTACGATAACAAAAATGTAAACACAGCAGGCTTTTTTTACAAACCGGCGAGACCATGAAATATGCTAGACGAACATTTTGCAGCTGGTGAATTTTTTGTTTCTCCTATGAGCTCTTAAGGTAAAATTAGCGGTAGTGCTCAAACGGCATATTTACGAACAGGGGTTTATAAGGCAAAATTGTATATTTTTATGCCCTCTACAACCCCTATCATTTTGTCGCAATAATTATGGAACACAGGCCTGACTCCTAACCTAATCGAATTCGTTGATTTCGGCTATTAAAAATGTTTTTAAAGAGGTTAGAGAATATATCCCATTGAATCAGAGCAGTCTTGAGCTATGTATGGGCCACTGGGCCCACAGCTAGTTTGGGGCCTGAGGCGAAGCCCGGGGACCTATTTTGCCTAGACATTGATGATTCTTTGAGGCCCCAACAAGCTGGGGCTCTGGACAAGGGCCCGGTGGGCTCTTAGGGTTAAGACGGAATTACACTAAATATTTTTTGTATGTTGCAGAATTGGGACCAGATGTGGGAGGCTCAGAAGGCGAATCAGAAGGCGTCTCAGCTGATAAGCTACAACAAGATGAGAGAGAGGCTTACCAACAAGCTGATGGCAAATCAGAGCCAGCATTTGTACCTGAGAAGGAAACGTAAGAATGTTTGTACCAGTTTCCTGGTAGAAAAATTGTTGTTCCTAAATCTTGCTGAAAGTATAGTTTTAGTCACAGTTCTTGGCGGGACAAAGTAAGACTAGCATTATCCCTTTATATATCTCCATCTCCCTCATACATACACAATTACACATGCAAGCTACCCCTGTGTGTGAATGTTTGGGCGGTAAGCTCAAAGACATACGTTTTCCCCTGTTACCCGCTTCATGCGTACTGGAGAGAATAGCAGATGCGCTGAAGATTAGTCTTGGCAGTGTTCAGCACATAAATCAGAAAATAAGAAAGTTTTGCCCATAATAACACCTGGGAAACTCACAAAATAAAAAAATGCAAGACCGATGATGTAAGTGACGCCGTTAAAACAGAAATTAGGGATACTTTCTACAATATGAGAAGTAAAGGACAACATATCACGACCTCTGGGCTCAATCAGGAGCTTAAAAAAAGGTACATATACAAGGCCTCAGGTTCAAGTTTAAGGCGTCTATTGAAAGCTTGCGGTTTTTCCTACAAGACAGAAGATAACAGCGGACTCTTGTGTGAAAAATCAGACATTGTTATTTTATGAGAGATTATATGAATAACCTGAATAGTCTCTCTAGCCCTCTTTAATGCGTTTTCTTGGATGAAACGTGGATATTTGCCAAAGGGTCTTTTAAACGAGTTTGGCAAGAGAAAAGCGTAAGGAGCTTGAAAAGCGGCCATCAGGGTACCGGCAAGCGGTATCTTGTTCTCCATACTGGGACCAAAAACGGTTCTTTGAGAGATACTGCATTGTTATTTGCTACAAAATCAAAAAGTGCTGACTACCACGATTCCATGGACAAAGATTACATGAACATGGTTTTGCGGCTCCCTCCTTACCATTGTCAACAAAACCTTATTGAGTTAGTCTGGGGAATAGCCAAGCAGTACTATGATCGTCATATTGGGGAAAATGGCTATGGTGACAAGGAAGTTATGGAAGTTTGGGACGATGCTCTAGCAAAAGTGACTCCTACAGTTTGGGCCAAGTGTATGAAACATACCGAAGACTTGATTAAAAACGACTGGGACAAGCATCAAGTGCTGAATATAATCATCCACTTGGGATACAGTTATGGTGATTCTGATGGAGAAATCCAATAAATCATACTTTTATTGGAACAATTTTGAGAATTTATAATTCTTAGTTTTCTATGCGTGCACCTCAATGTAGACTGTAAAATATTTTGATAGATATAGAAGTTACAAGCTTGATGTTTATTAAGGCGACATAGATTTAAAAGCTTGAGTTTAAGAGCATCATCACCAAAATGTATTTTTGTCTAGCATTAATTTATTTAGTCGCATATCACTCCAGGAAGAATTAAGCATTTTTATTATTGAAGATGGTTCCTCTAAAGCTCTCATAAGCATGTCACATATCCATAACCAATGTTAAATGTTCTATCAAGTTAGCAAATATATGTGTTATTTTGTATTGTATTGTAAATTCTGTATGTATTTTTTATTTCAACTTTGAGATACATCAAATGGCGTGTCATACCCATGTTTATGTACTAGATTAGACGATTTTTGAGAATCACGATTAGTAAATCATTTTGAATCGGTTTCCCTCAGTTAGGAAAATTAAGGTCCGCCCATGCTACGGAGACTGGATCTGTTTACTTATTCCATATGGTGTTGATGACGTGACCGCAACGGTGACTACAACTATATCACTTTCCACACGTGAAAAAGAACTATTTCATGACAGCTATATACCAAATGCGTAAAATTCCTGTTTTTGATGATTTTCAGTGTTTGTGCTGAGGAAACAGAAGTAAGTATTACCATTTCATCTGGATTGTTTGCCTAACTTCAACTTGACCATTTTGGATCTTTGGATGATTTAGGATCTGACGCCAAGAGAAGGAAAATATGATGTCTTGAACCGACAGGCTCTGGGAAGCGTCATTGATATCAGAAAAGGAAGTGTCCCTGGAGATATTTCAGACAGAAAGGTAATTTGTACAATTTATCATGCGTTTTTATTAGTCCATGTTAACAAAACAAATCTTTTGAATCTTGCTCCCTTAGATAGAGGTCAAACAAAATATATGACTGTTCATCAGAAGACACTAAAAGAAATTATAGGGGTTAAAGATTGGTGGTTGGAAGTTGTGGGGGGTGGGAGAGAATATCTCATTTGTATGGCTTATACGCTTCCAACTCCAGTAATAACATGCAACTATTAGACATATTTAACACATCATAGCTTTCCCCATACATTTGTCCTTAAAAAATTGGTATGATAGATTGTCAACACACTCACTATATATCATATCTGCGTCACGATCAGAATGATGGGTTTCTGCAGCGGCTGATACCCTCACCAGACTCACGCGCGGATGACGGCGTGAAATCGCGGCGCGGATCGCGGTGCTACTGCTGCTGCAGGGCTACTTTGCGCTTTGGCAATTTATAAGTACGCACTATAAGTAAAACTAGAGCAATTGAAAAGAAGTGGAAGAAACAGAACCATTCCCGGCACTCGCTATGAGGTAGACTATGAGACAACTGAAACACCAGCGAATGTCATGTTTTCTGCCCTCTCCAGACTCCCGCGCGGATCGCGAGAGAAGCCGCGAACTACCCGCGACCCATGAGTGTGGATCTCATTCGCGTATTCTTCGCGGCTTCGCGTTGCGATCGCGCGTTGTTCCCGTTTGTTGTCGGTTTTTTGTCCCGCGACAAAGGGTTCGCAAGGCGCGAACATGACTAGGCTAGGCTAGCGAGGGCCGGGAGTGGGTCTGTTTTTTCCACTTCTTTTCAATTGTTTTAGTTTTACTTATACAGGGTGTTCCTTAATGATATGCGAATATTTAAGGGTGTGAATCTACATGAAAAAATAATGTTAGTTTGCTTTTTAAGCTAAGGTCCAAAAATGTTTCCTTACAAAAACTCGGGGTGTTGAAGTTTTAGGAAAAAATGGAAATTAATTAATATTTTCAGAACCGCTTCAGATACTTCACTGATATTTAGTACGTAGTGAAAGTTAATAAAGTCACATATTTTCAATGCAAAAAACATTTTTAGCTTTAACAGTGGCGTGCGTACGGGTATTGACTTCGACATTTTTTAAGACAAAAATGGTACGCCGATGCTTTTTTGCCAAATAAAAATTATTTTTTAATTCCCCGTTTAATTTAAAACAAATGATCTTTCTTGAGTTGCTTTTTTCGATGCGCCATTTTTGAGTACAAAAATAAAAACCGTTCTATTGTCTAACTTGCAAAATAATTATTAGTAATTTAATTTCGAAAATTAAACACATAAGGGGTAATGAACAACAACAACTGACAGCATAAACATGACATTAAAACCACAGAAATGATTACAAAAATTGTTGAAAATGGCCCCCTTCACTTAGTATGCATGCTTCCGGCCTCCTTCTCATGGAATTGCGCACTCGTTGAAATATCCCTGGAGTGTTTTTTATTCTATCACAAGCTGCAACTATTCTTTCTCTTAATTCCTCTACAGTGTTAATGGGACTTGTGTATACTAGTGTCTTAAGATAGCCCCACAAAAAGAAATCTGAACTGTTGAGGTCTGGAGACCTTGGTGGCTATTCTTGGGGCACACCGCGGCCAATCCAACGATTTGGATAAACAGTTTGTAAATAATTACGAACCGCTACACTGAAATGCGCTGATGAACCATCATGAATGTACCACATATTGTTTCTTATTACTAACGGAACATCACCAAGCAGTAAAGGTAACTGTTGTTGAAGAAAATCGGACAGAACCAGTTTCAACAAGACGACGATGAATATTAGAAAAGGTTCGACTATCTGGCAAAGCACGATCGGGATATCTCTGGTGATAAATCCGTCTGGCTTGCTCACCATTACCGTCGGCAAGGCCATATACTCGTACGTAATGCATTACCGCCATTTCTTCATTTGAATAGTTCACCATTATTAAGATTATAAAAACTAAATAATGAAAAAGATGTTACAGCGAACAGATTTGAATAACAGAGACTTGTCAGATGTCAAAAGCCATCAGTGACATATTCCAGAGCAACTAGATATTCATTGCTAAATTGCATTCTTCAATTATTACATTAATTTTCTCAGACAATAGAACGGTTTTTATTTTTTTACTCAAAAATGGCGCACATCCACTCCCGCCACTCGCTCTGAGGCAACTGAGCCACCAGCGAATGAGGAGTCTACAGTATATTCAGATAAGAGATAGACCGGATGTAAACAAAAGGTTCGGGTGATTTTCACGCTAACGCCGCCGTCTCGACGTAAAACAGGAGCCCTCATTGGTCAATTCGCAATTAAATGCCTATGCCGAGCGGCAGAGCAGTCGTATCAAGGCAGAGTCACATTCAGGTTCAGACGTGTTACGTATGTCGTGTGCATCATTGCAATTTGATATTTCTTTGGACGTTTTCGTTTGTTATCTTATTAAGTTGTTGAGTTTGTCGTTGTTATTGTTATACCTTGTTATTGATTGTTATTGTTATCAACTGCTTGCGCAAAATGCCCAGTAGTACAGATACTGCCGATGAAGTTGTAAACTCCTGTAGTCCACCTAGGAAACGCTCTAAAAAAGACACCTGAGTGCAGAAATGAAAGAGGTCATTTTGAATATATATAAGATCGAGCGCGATGAGAACGAGGCATCAACCATCAAAGAAATTGTTGTGAAGGTTTCTCACAAAGTTGGGGTGTGTCGCGCATCAGTGTTTAATGTCTTAAGACAATACAAAAAAAATCACACCTTTTCTGAGCCAATGACCAGTAAACATCGCAAAAGTATTCTTAAATCATTGGATGAAGCTGATAAGCATGCGATTAGGAGGAAAGTGCATGAATTCTTCTTTAGGAATGAAATACCTACTATAGATAAAGTACTGCAGGAGGTAAATGGAGATACAACGTTGCCAAATTTCAAACGATCAACTTTCCATGCGTTACTGAAGCATTTAAATTTCAAATGGAAAAAACGGGGTCGTAATAGTTTACTACTGGATAGAGAAGAAATTGTGCTATGGAGGAGGGATTATTTAACAAAAATTGGGAAATATAGAAATCAAAACAGGAAGATTTATTACCTTGATGAAACGTGGGTAAACGCAGGACACACTACAAGTAAAGTATGGGTTGATGATTCTGTAACTTCATCCAGGAGGGCCTTTCTAGATGGACTGTCCACCGGATTAAAAAATCCAGCAGGTAAATACGAGTAATAGACAACAATCGGATGTTTTTCAAACCTTGGGAACAAGGTTTTAAACATTAATTCCAGGGGGCAGATAAAACATATTACAAGTAACAAAACTTTTATAACTTTCGATAAAATGCGTGGATGTTTTATTGTCATTTTCATTTGTTAGAACTTTTAAGCCATGTTTTTATGTGTTTTCGATATTTCAATAATTTTTTAATATAATCTCAAAATATGTCGAATATTATAAACTTAAAAAAAGTTACTAAGTTTTATATAGTGTACCGTTCCTAATATTTCTAATCATTTTAATTCATACTTTAAGCTTTATAAAGTTATAATTTGTTAATATTAATATTTGCGCGTATTTCAGGTTCCTGATCATTCATTTTTTAAAGGTTTATAACTGTAAATTAAATTGTGAAGCGCTGAGTAATCATACGACGTTCAATATTCTTTCTTTCAATATGACTAAATAATCCCAATTATAGCAATCTGATACTCATGTCTCAATGTTTTTTCGCTGAATGTGATGAAAACATTTGAAAAAGGTTCGCTTATTGAAATAAATCTACACCAGTTAGTACTTCGATTTCCAGTTAAAGGCAAAAGGCTCATTTTCTGCCATATTGGCAGTGAGGATGGATTTGTTGTTGACGGTCTGTGGTGCTTTGAGTCTAAGAAAACTGGAGATTACCACGAGGAAATGAATGGCGAATCGTTTGAACAGTGGTTTTCAAAAATTTTACCGAACTTAGAGGAAAACGCAGTAATTGTGTTGGATAATGCGCCTTATCATTCTCGAAGAATGGAGAAGGTCCCAACAACGGCTTCAAGGAAAGTTGATGTTCAAAATTGGCTCCGCTCGAAAAATATCAACTTTGAAGAAGCAATGCTGAAAGTACAATTATTAAGAATTGTCAAGGATCACAAGGCGGAATATCAAAAATACGCCATTGACGAAATGGCAGCAAGTCAAAATAAAACTGTGCTCCGTTTACCTCCATAGCATTGCGAGCTCAATCCCATTGAGCTCATATGGGCAGAGGTTAAAAATTATATAGCTAAGCACAATACAACTTTTAAATTTTGTGACCTCAAAGGACTTTTCAAAGAAGCACTAGAATTAATAACAGCGCAAAAATGGGAAAACTGTATTAAGCACGTGAAAGACAAAGTTGAAAAGAGAATGTGGCAACTGGACAATATTTTAGAGGAACAAGTCGAGCCATTCATTATTGACGTTGGTACTTCAGGCAGTAGCGATGATGAAAGCTCATCAAGCTCATCTTTCCAATAAAAGATGTCGTTCATCAAATTCGGTAAGTTATAAGTAATTATAAAGCTACTGTATTTTTTAATTAATTATTGACATTTTTGAACCCATTTTGGCAAAACCTATTCAAGAATCTACTTTCTGACAATGTTCAACCATGCACATTTTTTTACGTTTTGAACGTTTTAATTTGGTTACATATTTACCTAGAAATCAAAAAATATACTAATCAATATTCCAAAAGCAATTTTAAGAGATATACGATTATTTTTAATTTAGGCTAATTTAAACGCCATTTTGAGATTATATTCGACTGTATTTCACCAAACATCAGGCGGCATCCGAAGCTGGAAATCGAAGCGAAAATTTTGAAATCCTTATGTATATTTACATCATTATATATTTCTTACCCCACCCCCACATGATCCTATATCCATCACCAATCGTATACACATCGAATTGTGCTAATTTACTACAAAGTTACGCAAAGGAGCATCTACTATCTAAAATATGTACTGCGTGACTCTTAATACGTCCCTGCCGAATGTTACAGCGTTCGATGATCACGTGGTCTTGTTTATGTCCGGTCTATCTCTTATCTGAATATACTGTAGTCATGTTCGCGAAAGTTTTCGGGATCCGCGCCGCGATTTCAGGTCGTGATCGGCGCGTGAGTGTGGAGAGGGTATTTTCGCGTTATGTTCGAGCCTTGCGAACCCTTTGTCGCGGAACAACAAACGGGAACAACGCGCAAACGCGACGTGAAGCCGCGAAGAATACGCGAATGGGATCCAAACTCATGGGTCGCGGGTAGTTCGCGGCTTCGCGCGTAATTCTGGAGAGGGCATGATGCGAGATGCTAGTAGCGTTAAGTCATAGCAAAGTTGCCAGATGGCCGGTACTATCGATAAGGTTTCTAGATCGCAACGTTCTGAAATGGCTGGAGACTACGGACTATGACCTGTTTGACTGAGTTGATCCATGTAATTCTTTGGTATACACTTTCATAGCTAACTTTTTCCTCAACATAACGACTGATAACAGCGTTTCGTGCAAAGTTGTAGCCAACCTAATTGGCGTCATTTTTACTACTAGGACTCATTAATAGTTTTACGCTTATATGGTATTGATTGAATTTCTTTTATAATGTATATCCACCTTAGCAAATCCTACATATTTTCCATCGACGTGTTTGGCATTTTCAATGTCTATAATCCTTGTACCAGTCTGTACCTTTATGTTTCTAATAAATTTGTGCGGTATAGAAAGTCGATATTTTGATACCTTCAGTTGCGCGGATATATTTTCACTGATGGCGCGGAATTGCTCCCTCCGAGAAATTTACAATATTGAATGATAAAATGAGTTTTAATAATAATTTATCAAAGCAACCTAGCACTGAGGTAAGTGTAGATACTGCATCGTATTCGATTTTCTGAGATACTTTTTTGTTCTACGTGCTGAGATCTGCTACTGCATACTGAATTATGATGATCGGCTTTCGACACAACCTTGATTATAAGTTGTAACCTGGGTTTTAATACTTTTAAATTTTTTGTTATAAATGTTTCAAGCTAAAAACTAAAGTTGGAAATACTATGTCAAGTGTTCAAAATATATCAGTAGGGGTGCCACAGGGGAGTAAATTAGGGCCGTTACTATTTATTATTTATATAAATGATATCTCTGACATTTTAGAACACTGCAAAATCCAAATGTTTGCGGACGGTACACTTATATGTATATATGCTTTAGAACTGTTAAATAGTTATGTTGAAAAAATTATGAATTGGTTAAATGTCAATAAACTTAAATTAAACACTAATAAAACAAAATGCATGTCAACAGGGAAACATTTAGGTGACAATACAATTAGGCTCATGATTAATGCTGAAAAAATTGAAGTAGTCGAGTCATTTAAATATCTCTTTGTATATGTGGATAGTAAACTACAGTATCACGAACAGTATGAATACATTATTTCAAAAATATCGAAAAAGATAAATTACTTCTATAGAGTTTCTCATAATCTTAGTATGTATTCCAAAAAAATTGTGTATAACACAATATAATTCTTCCCCATTTTTTATATTGTCCAACCATCTTGTTTACAGCAAATGAAAACATATTTTCAAAATTACAAATTCTACAAAATAAAGCTGTGAGAGTAATTTTAAATAAAAACAAATATGCTAGGATTAAGTCTATGTAAGAAGAACTGCAGTGGTTGTATGTGATAAATTTCATATATTATTTAGTTCTCGTTTTCATATTCAAATTAAAAAAGCGTTTATTACCACCGTATTTAGAGAACTTCACAAAATTAAATAATCATTACCATAACTACGAAACTAGAGGCAGTATAGATTTTCAACTGCAAAATTGTAATAGTAGCATAACTAGTAAATCTATATTTCAGAAGGGAGTATTTGAATTTGATAAATTGAATAATGATATTAAACAGACTTCGAATTTAAAAATGTTTAAGGTGAAATTAAAAAATCGCTATGAATAATCAAAATACAGTGACATAATTTTAATTTTAATAGACAGGAATGTAAAATTACAGAAAATGGATTGAAGAAAAATATGTAACCGAATCATTATACAAAATTGCCATAGTGGCATTAATGCTAAATAAATCTTCAACAACAACAACAGCTAACTTTTTTCTCATAGGGGCTAAACTTGTGCCGAACATAATCCTTTATGAGCTGGCGCCTATTCCATAAAATATACGGTGTTATAACTACAAGTGAATTTACCTGTAACTTGTACTAATAGGAGATATTGTGTGACATGTAGGTTTCAAACACGATATACTAGTATTTACTCCTCCATATTCTACAAATCATACAAGACCATATTCGCAAGGTGGGCGTGTATGTTTCATAATAGAACAAGTGCTAGTATTTTTGTTGTTGTTTCAAATACATTTGGTACAGGTGGATCTAGTTAGAATAGGACAAGCTGCTTAGAACAAAAAGGGCCAGATGATAGTAACAACACTTGAAGAGGAGATCAAAGGATGTTTGAACGGCGCAGATTTTTTGGTGGTATTAATTTGAGTACAGAATTGTTTTAAATTAAGGCAAAAAGTATCTCTAAAATACTTCCATGTCTTTTTGTCGGCACGATATCACAGCTAGTCTTATTTTTCCAAGATTTTTCTATTCATGTGCATGTACCTTTGTTATTTTGTGGTGACGTCCACCGATTAGATTATTTCTGTGCTTCATTACACTTTTACAAATTAGATTATCTATAAAAGGACATTTAGACAATGCAGCGCTTGTAATTTTAGGGTTATACTATATTTCGGTGATATCTGGAAGAAAATAGTATATGGTCATTTAGGTTGTACTAGTAATTTGTAATTTACTAGTCTAGTATATTTATTGAATAGGGCCCATGGCAGCGTTGCGTGCGAAATGCAGAGTCGACCTACTTGGCGACATTTTTTTTGTTGGATGTACCATGTGAATACAAGCTATTCTTAATTTCAGACTGCTCGTTATATGAATACGTACAAGCTGGAGTCAGATAACCCTTTCAATCATGAAAAAGTAGACAAAATCCTGGTAAACGTGATGACTGAAGCAATAGAAGGTTTAAAATATGACGCAGACAAGTGCTCCAAACAAGCCAGATGGGCATCTAGCGCTATTAGAGCAAAAGTGAAAGAACTAGAATTTGACAGGTGCGAAATCTTGAACAAATATAAGGGCTGAGTGATAACCTAGTGAACATATAGTGACCTCATAATGTCGGCATCTTCAGAGCACGACTGACGTACGCCGACTAACAAAAATGACGTAGAAATTACGTCAATATGATGATCTAATGTGACACCCAATTGACATCATTATATGACGTCATAGTATGTCGAATAAAATACCAAGTAAAAAGTCGATATGACGTCCGTATGTTGTGGATATGACGTCTATTTGAGGTCGATATGACGTACAATAGCTCGCAAAAATATTAATCGCGCGGTGAATCCAAATACTCCAGAAAAATTGAGGATGTGACAACTACGCCCCACAAGCAGTGAGTTCAGAAGTGTTAGAAAGACGACAGAGTTAATATTCTACTTACCTTTCACTCTTAAACCCTCTCATTCTGAGACGTCGTTATCACCTCCGCAATTTTTCAGGAGCATTTGTACAAAGTGTATCGAAATGGTGACTAATTAAACATTTAAAAAACATCGTTTGATTCGTGTTATGTGTTTTGTGGTTTGATCTCAAACACGTTCCAGTCTTCAGATGGCTAAAGAATTTGTTTGTATCAATTTAGCAAAATCGCTTTTTTCACAGGAGGCCAAAACACTTCTTGTTTGTTGGATGTCACCCATGTGACTATGTGGCAATATATCCTTACTAAATTGTACCACAATGTACCTTAAAGACGACGAAGCCATTCATGATGTCGGTTAAACACATAGATTTATAAAACAAAATGACCGAACCATTGCTAAACGGCGAACACGTCTGGAGCTTGGACATCGGTCGAGCTCGCCGCCAAGCACAATCGTGCTTCTTCGCTGATGATCGGCTGAATGATTCATCGTTCAAAAATTTCAATTTTTACCGCGCTTGATTACAGATATTCTAGTAAAAGTTGTTTATTGTTATACAGAGGAGTTTCTAATAAATTTGTTATTTACGGAAATAAAACATGATTTAAAATCGCAATTTTTAAATATGTTATCATCGAATATTATTATTAGAAAAGTCATAATAACAAGGTACTTTTACATGAACAAACAAATAACAATAAAGTATAGTTTCGATATCTAGTTTACCTTACTTTTGATTAAAAGTCTATATTTTCTTTGTAGGTAAGGGTTAATTTCTTAGTACTGACTGTCGTGATAAAGACGCCAAAACGACAACCTTTTAAAGTAGGTAGGTAGGGTTGTGCTTTTTGTCGAAGGTTTTAGAGAAAATTGTCTACATACAGCTGGCCCACTATTTTGAACAAAACAATATGATTCCTCAATATCAGTCTGGTTTCCGTACAGGGCATAGCACAACAACCGCTTTATTAAATATTACGGATGATATCATCAAAAATGTAGATGATCAGATAGGAACAGCTCTGATTCGGCTAGACTTCTCTAAGGCCTTTGATATGGTACATCATGGTCTTGAGTAAGCTCAAATTTTATGGTCTCTCTGACAAGCCACTACGTTTCTTCGATTCGTATTTTCGCAATCGTACCCAGAAGGTGAAAACACGTAAGGGATTTTCTTCGGCAAAGAGTGTGGCATCTGGCGTACCTCAAGGCTCTGTGTTGGGACCATTACTCTATTTAGTTTATACTTTTGATCTACATACTTGCCTTCAGCACTGTAATATTCAAACGTATGCAGATGACACGCAGCTAACTCTGTCTGTTGATTCTTCGGACATGCATGAAGCATCATATAAATTGAACTTAGATCTAGTTAACATTGAAGAGTACTGCAAAAGACATTGTCTGAAGATCAATGCTTCAAAATGTTCTACTATGCTATTTGGCCCAAAACAGTTAGTACAACGGTTATATGGCACAATTGTTCCTAGTCTTAACGAAACCCATATTCCTATAGTAGACCATGAGAAGTATTTAGGGATCACCATGGATTCAGATTTGAGGTTTAAACAACATGTTACGCATTTATCTCGCTTAACATACATGCGTTTGAAGTTATTATACACCAATCGCCATATTCTGAATTTCAAGACTCGCAAAAAACTGGCTGAGAGTCTGGTTCTATCGTTAATAAATTATTCAATTGCTGTTTACTTTCCTTGTCTTGATTACGTGACTAGATATCGAGTACAAAAAATTCAAAATAGCTGCTGTAGGTTCGTTTGTGGTCTGCGAAAGTTTAGCCATGTGTCTAAGATCAATGAGCTTAGATGGTTGAGGGTTGACCAGCTTTTCACATATAACTTACTAATTTTAGTACAACGAATAAAAATCAATAGGCTACCTACTTATCTACTAAAAAGGCTGGTACCACGTGGGGATCTCAATTACAGGAATCTGAGACATAACTCTGACTTCCATATACCTAGTTATAGGAGCAACATTTTCCATCGTAGCTTCACCTACAATGCTGTCAAGGTGTACAATAGTATTAATGACAATTACAAAAAGATGGGAATACTTGCTTTCAAGAGAGCCATTAAGAACCACCTTCTGGGGTCTGCTAGCCAAGCTGGCTGATATATATATATTTTTTTTGTCTTTATTGTTTTTTTTTGTTAGAGCGGGCTATGTGGAATAGATGTACAACATATTAAGATTAATCTATTTAAGCTTAATTACTGTATATATTATTTAGTCGATTGCTATTCATTGTCATGTTTTTCCTTTTGTATGTGTTACTGCGCTATGAGGTTAAGTGGTAGAGTAGCCAGCTGGCTAAACTTCGCCTCGCAGTGAGGAGGGATTAATAAAGACATTATTATTATTATTATTATTATTATTATTATAAAAATGGCGTCAACAAAGACGTCATCTTTTAGTCAATGACTTTTCCGACCAAAAGTGACCGAATAATGGCCGCATTTTGGCGTCATCATGTTCACTGGGAATATTGACATTTTGATTAAATTTAAGAACCTGAAATTTGCTACCGTGACTTTCTGGCCAAATGAAAGCCCATATGTAAAAATTAATTTTACTGACGTTTAAGCCACCACGGTGGTACAGCACCGTTTAGGCTGTTGTGGCAACACACAATAATATAGTACCAAAGAAAACAATGAATGGTAACCTGGAAGACACGAACATAAAATACATTGCCTAAATCTGTAGCTCCACTGGCGTGGAAGTAATGTAAAATATACGTCTTGCGAAGATTAGTTTCGGAGAAAGAAATGCAATATTCAAAGTAAAGTAATAGTTACTTTGGTAATACATATCTTTTATTCAAAGTTATAATGTAACAATATACAAATGTGAATGTCTGTCCCGTTTGACAGCATCTTTCTGAATCACAATACGAAGAGTCGTAAAAACATCTACATTTACCTATTTCTTTATACCCGAGGAAAGTTAATAGGTCATGGTTTTATCCGCGAACTGATCATCCAATATAACCCCGATAGCATTAAATATTTATTAAATATTTTGAAAAAATGTTTGTTAAATATTTGTAGCGACAGATTTTTTAATATTTAATAAATATATTTCTTATATATTTATAAAATATTCATTATAGATGTTTGTAGTATATATAATTCATATATTTTTGCGATATCTTTTCCAAATATTTAAAAAATATATGATTAAATATTTTTAAATATCAATTTTATATTTTGATGAAATATTTAATATTTTTCCTAAATATGTATGGATTTTCAAGCATTAATCTGATATATATTTTCAGTGTGTATAGAAAATTCTTCATTGGTTATTTTAGCAAAACCGGTAGGCATGCTTATATAAAATTGGGTTTATAAAGAAAATTTATTCTAGATATAATGGTTTAATTTGCTAGAAAAATATTATTAAAAAAACATTCTATGCCTCTTCTGCATCTTGGAAGTCCACTCCTCTGAAAAAAAACAAACTTACTAATTATGAAGTATTATTGAATACATAAGCTACTTTCAGTGTATTTATTGGTGCTGAGCATGGTGAGTTACTCCGAGTAGCTCAACTGGGTCACTGAAAAGCAGCTCTATAATGCACCTAAAAGAACCCCGCATGTTATGCCTATGATAGTTCGAGATTTGGTTAATTTTTAAGAAAATTTAGTATGTGATTTTAGATATCTTGGTGAAAAATGTCTATGGGCACAACTTGATCCTTTGACTAACACTTATTGATTTTGTTGAAATGTGACTTTTTTTAGTAAGGGAGCTAACTTAGCCATAACTATTTCGTGATTTTATATTATAATTCAAGGGACAAAAGTATAGTATCTTAGACTGTTAAAATTTTTGAACGTTCTACGACAAAAATAATAATAATAATTGAGATATTTAAAAAAATCATTTTTGATGTATCTCGTTCAAGTTGCGATTATATGTCTTTTCATTGGGATGTTATGAACATAATTTTCGTATCCATTCTCAGATAAATCCACCAATACCAAATAACTGTTACACTTCAAGGCTAGTTATTTATGGTCTTATGAATACCTTTATACTCAGCTGGCACAGTAATGTTTACTAGTCAGATAAATTAAGCTATGTAATTATCGAAAAACTTACCCTTCTCCCTTTTCCACAAAAAAATATTGGAGATTTAATATTTTCAATTGATTGAAACGTAAATATTTAATGTATATTATAAAATTTAAAATATTTAAAAGATATTGAATAAAAATGTTATATTACAAATATTTATTAAATGTTTGTTTAAGAAAACAAATATTTAAGTAAGATAAAAGTATTATTAAATATTAAATAAATATTTAATGAATATTTCGAGCTATCGGGGAATATAAACTATATTTACAGGAAAAAAGTATAAGTAAAAGAAATGTTTATTTACAAAAAATAACGAAAGGCTTTAGGATAACAAAAGTAATTTGTCGATTACCTCAAAGATGACCTGCTCAAAATGATCTCTAAGGGAATTGACATTCGATCACTATAATCAGAGGACCTCTTCCTATAACTTTTTCATATCACTTACATAATAAATTTTCGTTTAGAAAAAGGATACCACCCCAAACTAAAGCTTTCCTTAATTATACCTGCCCCTAAAACTTCAAATCCTATTGAACTTAAACCTCTTAGACCTATGCGCTTGTTACTCATACAGAAACAATATATTTAGTTGAAGTAAAACAAAACACCAAACAAATTTAAATCAAGACAAGAAGCTGAATGCAGTAAATGCACGATGCATATGCCGTATGTATATACCCATACTCATTTCGGTCGCTTCCGCGTCTGACACCTCATGTCAAATTCCATTGAGCCGTTTGGCTGTAGCGCGTGTATTAGATATAGATAACTTATTTGCCGGAATAAAAAGTTTACCCTATGTGCTATTCCAAGCTATAATATATCTGTGTACCAAACAGGGCCGGGTACAGGCGGAAGCAGATAAGGCAGTCGCTTCGGGGCGCAGTGTCATGGGAGGCACAAAATTCTGAACCCAGTGCTGGTACCAAATCTCATCTAGATCCGTTCAGCCATTCATTTCTGCATAATTCAGTAACAAACATCCATATTTTCTCAATTATAATATTAGTAGAGCTTATCATTGACAGCCCACCTTGGTTATTTCAAATGTTTTCAGGTACAAAATAGTCATCATAGTTTCTATAGGAGAGAAAAACTCGCAAGATATCCTAGCAACCTGCAGATTTCTCTGGGATGCAGAAAAGGACAGGTACTCCATATATTCTCTGGAAAATACCTACGTTTATGGAATAGCTCAGTGCTTCGGGTTATACTACGAGTAAAAAGTGAAGCAAATCACTGTATACTTATACAAATACATACATGTATCTTACTCAATTTATCATATGAATCATAGCAGCATTTTTCAGATTATCTTTTAATAAACAGTTTAATACATTGCGTTGTTTGATTATTATTTCAACAGGTTACCGAGGCACCGAAAAAAGAGAACTTGAATTTGGAAGGAGGATAACCTGTATTCAAATTATTCAACTGCATCACCAAAATGGCGTGTCTGCAATCATGTTAGGTCGAGGCTAACTATAGATTTGTTTTTAATTACTATTAGTCAATAGTTCCAAAAGAAGTACGTACCATTCTGTCGTACCATTGATTAACGTATTCTATAGCCTGTCAAATATCATATTCGCACGTCCGAAAAATTATCCGAGATGAAATGATAATATACGTATATATCTTAGTGTCATCTATGAGAATTTGTTACAGTTATATGTGTTCCTCCTCTCCGCAATGATTGAATAGGTTAGTATCTCTTAGGTGGATCTGTAGCTATATGATCATATACAATACTTGGCTACGGCGCGTATGAGGCACTAAGCTTTTAAAAGATGACAATTTTTCGGATGCGCAAATGTAGTATTAGGTTATCGATATCTTCAGGTAGAATACATTAATCAAGGGTCGTAATAATCAAAATAGTACATCTGAAGAGAAAAAATTAAAGAGAACTAGAGTTTTTTATGTAGAAATGATCAATCTGACTAAACAAATTACAATCTAATAGGAAGAGATCTCACAAGACATGTTTGCAGGGACTGGTGGCGCAATAGAATAATATCTTTTGGTATGTCATTTTACATCCTGTTTTGGTATGCCAAAAATAAAAACAATATCTAAAATACTTTTGAAGATATATACTGGCAATAGTTCTCATAAAAATTCAACACCCTATAGGTAAAAATCTAAGCCATTGAGGACATATGCCTATATTTATATAAACACAATGTAAGCTATAACATAAACTCATATCCTCTGAAGTTCATTTGGATCATCTGTTCAAGAAATCAGCTAATAGGATTCGATTTTTATTCCGGATACCACCAGGTCATTCTTCTTACATGACGGAAATCTAATCTCCGTGGCAGCAGTAAGAACATATTCTACAGGGCTTGGAAACACGCTAAAACTTATTACGTCACAGCCTTGGCTCGAAATTTTCCAATTAAACTTTGGATAGCAATAATCTCCCTCGTGTTTAGATAACAATTTCTGCCACTTTTTACAGAATAAAAAGCGAAGACACTCAGAAAATGAAAGCAAAATATATTAAAATATGCTATTGAAACAATTTTGGAAAATACCCCACTGCTTACTACTTTTCTTAAAACTTCCTGAAATATATAGTAGAGAATTCATATTTTTTTGCAATTTTAAATTCACAGGAGTATTGAGTCAACCTACTTGACACAATTTTTCTGATTTGGCCACCCTATAACTAAATTTACGACTTGGCAACATTGCCTAGCAGTTGACGTAAATAGTAAGCAAAATACAGCAGTGGCACAGTTTTCTAACCTCGATCAAAAGCACATAACCAAAAAAACAGCTAGAAAATTTGGGAAAGAAACGAAAATGGGCGAGAGATTTTTACCATGTTTCATCAGCTAAGTGTTTTTCCTAATGATTCGTGCCGAAAACGAATGAATTCGGGTCCCAGTGATGACAGACTTGATCATACTCCGAGGGGACACATTTCCCAGATCGTTTTTGGACTCTTCTCGTACCAAGAAGTCTCCAGAACAGTTTTATAATGACCTGACGTCTAGCAAAAGTGACGAACTGGTGCTACAAAGTGCCAGTGATATCCCTGTTAGTGAGGAAATATATCATGGTCGGTCGGAAAACCTCCTTGATATTGCAACTTGTTCTTCACCTGCTAAAGAAGAATTTATTGATAAACAGGAGGTTCTTTTTACAAAAAGAACGAGGCGAGTTCCTCTATATGACAAAATAGACCCAGAAGATAGTATTAGGGATATTGTATCTGATAATGACTTTTATAGGTAAGTTATTTAGATGCTTAAAACTACATCTTCCTTTTTTGTCTCTCTACATTCCTTCCCTCCTGTTTAACTTAGTATAATTTGTATAGAAAATGTATTGAAGTTGAATTAATTCAAACAAGGTAGTGCATTTTTTACTGATTTGGCTCAGGGTTCCGGACTATCAGAAATTTGTTGTTGGAAACACTTATCTCCTGTCATACTGAAACTACTTGATATGTAAATGCCTTGTGTTTCATACGATTTTTGTTATTTATTTTATTAGGAATATTATATTATATTGTACAAACCTTTTGAAGGTTTACACTTGGTTTACAGAAATATGTAATATTTTGTTTGTTGAAGATTTATTTAGCATTAATGCTACAATGTCAATTTTGTATAATGATTATATTATAGTATGTGAAATTGTTGTGGTAGCTACAAAGTTAAACGAAGCTACAATGAGTATTTGTTTAAAACATTGTAAAGTGGACTCACATCATTCTGATGTATAATTTCAGAAAGAACATACAAGGTTAAATTTTCCCAAGATAAATGCATTGTTAAAGCATTCTCATGTATAAAGTTCTAGTCAGCATATATTCATCTTACATGGTTTTTTAAGTAATCATCTCAGAGAAACATTGAACAGAAATATTACATATAATTTTAGCAATTAAAATTCACATATGACTCTTGAAATTGTATAGTACTACTTAAAATCTACCTTGTGGATTTTAATGGATGATTTTTATCAGCAATATTCTAATCATATTTTTGATTAATGTAATTATTTACAACATAATATGTTACAAATCTGATAACTCAACACACTGCTAAAAAAAAATGCTTCTATTCATATTTTTGTATTGTTTGACAGAAATAAAACAAACAATAATCTATTTTAATCTTATATTTGTTTTGGATGTGTATTCACAATTAGAACACTAAGATGCAAATGTTCTTAACAATTCTGTCACAGGAAACTTCCAAAATATTAAAATTTCCATTTTCATCTTGACACAATATGATACAGTTAGGTAATTTGAGGTGCTGAATACAAATATGATCAACAAAAATGATGAAGTATCATGGGGCAGAGTTTAAAGTAGAAAAAGTGTCACTCGGAACCCTCTGTAGGTCCTAGCATTAAATTAATCAGATTTACCCTGGAAATGAGTATTTGTATAGGTCAAATTTAAGAATTTTAACAAGAAAATGCCTCTTTTTGAATGAGAGAACAAGTTTTGGCCACTCTTTTCTGTCAAGTCCATTTCATTGTAAAAATTGCCCTTAAATTAATAGAGTGAATTCTTCAACTTTTATTTCAGATTTGTTTTATTCAAGAAGCACTATGACAAATATCTACACCTCTCACAAAAATATGAAGAAGCAAGAAACATTGCTTACTATCTTGAAGAAAAATATCATGAGATTAAGGTAATTTATTACAAATTAAGCCCTGAATATATTTTATAAAAAATTATTTTGTAGTCTGAAAGGGATGACCTTATAAGGCAACGGGACCAGCTCACAAAAAGACTTGAATCCAGTGAATCTTTGGTTAAGGAAAAAGAAGAGGAAGTCTTCTTGCAGTTTGAGAGAGTTGTGTATCTTGAAGAACAGTGTGATAAGGTAAAAATATATTTTATATAAAATTAGCAAGGGATCTTTAGCTATTTATTATGTCAACCCCTCCCAATTGCCCTATTAGCATAACTGTAAAATTTGAATGTTTCTGTGTCTAAACCTTATGGCAAGATACCTGCTTGAAAAAGGATCCCAATATCCAGGTAAAGTAAAGCTTAAGGAATAATTTGCATCTTCTGCCTAAGTCTGTATAAATTATGGTTTTATGAAAGGTGCTATCTATATAAGCATTATCATAGGTATATAGGGTGTCTCAAAATGCATTAGATTGATTGTAACTTTTTCAGGATCTAACTGTTACATATGCTTTTGTCTGTTGATCTCAATGATATTTTTTAACCTTTCAGTTGAAAGCAGAGAAGCAGAGGCTGTTAGAACAAAAGGAACTGATTGAGAAAGAAAGGGATAAAGCTTTGAGAATTGTAAGTGTGTATTTTTTCTCAGATATGCATACAGTGCTTTTCAAAAAGGTCCATTCCAACATATTGTTTTAATGAGCCAAGTTATAAAGCTGAAATATTTTTTTTTTCCAAAATGACACCTAGCTGGAATCTAGCAAGAGTCAACTGCCACTTTCACACTAAATTATAGTATTCATGGGCCAACTCCTTAACTAACATGTTCCCATAATAAGTTGGGGGTCCTTTCTGAAAAGCACTGTATTGTTAATTCATTCCACTATATGTTTCAGAGATATTGACATCTATGTGTAAAATTGATATTTTATTACTTTTCAGCTCCAAGAACAAACTAAGGAATCAGAGTATACCAGAAGACGGCTAGAGAGAGCCAGACAAGAGGTAGTACATCACATGACTAAAATCAAAAATGAAAAGGACAGTCTAGAAAGGGAGGTAAGTAAAAGAAGATAATATGTAGAATTATTATCAAGTAATTTAAATTTAAAACGACAGAAAACAGCTTTTTGAAGTAGAGTTAAACAAACAGCAAGACAAATCCCATTTTTGAGATTCTAAAAAGAAATCCTGTCCAAAACTTTGTGCCTCCACTTGCCAAGATTTCTATCTAGAATTTTGAAATTTGCGATTTTATGCCTTTGCCTTGATGTTGCGAATTAGCAAAAATATCCCTTATATATGAATCATTGAGTAATAATGGTATGCAAATTTTTAGATAAGGTTATCAGTGTTGCGTAAATTACTTAAGAAACATAATTTTATTGAAAGGAAGTGATAAAGTTTTTGGGTTCAAGGTTAGTTATATATAGACACATATTGATAAACACATTATTGATAGGAGAGGAACTCGGTCAAGTAGATTGACTCTAAGCCTTTCAATATTACGATTGATTATCATGTTCCACCAAAAGGTACCCAAACTTGAATGTCTACGCGAAAATAAACATGTATAACACCAACTACTTGTACTTACTACTATATTCGTGTTGACCGCCGGCTTTAGGTGTCAGCGTTGCTACCTCTCGGACGTGACGACTTCGGGAACAAGCTGCTTCACGGCAACGGCGAATGGCATCATGTTGTCACGGCGTTAACATTTCAATGTGCGTGAGATACGCACGTGCGCTAGCCGTTAAGATCGAAAATCGTATACCACGGTTGGGCCCGCAAGGGTATTACGTATCTTGAAATGTGACATATGTCGATTTTTTGACATTATATTTTTTTTTGTGACATTATATATAGGTTTTTCTACAAGATGGTAACTTAGCACGAATTGATGGATACTTGTGAACTCGTTTTGTAGTTGTACATGTTGCATGTGCTTCAGTTATCAATGTTTGGCTCTGATGTGATGTAAAATCTGCTTCAGAGATGGCATTAAATGAGGTGTAAGCTGTAAGTTGTATACTATAGCTAGAAGGAAACGGCAATGCATAGGTGCATACTGAGGATTTGTGTGCTAATAATATGTGTTGATGATAATTCCATTGGATTCTTGTCTTAAATACAATTACTTGAGATTCAAAAACTAGAAATTAGTTGCACATCCAATTTTTCTTATTCATTGTGAAAATTACATATGCAAATTTGTACGATTTCAAAAATGAGAGAGATAAAGAAAGAATATCCCTGGTTGGTGAAGGAACAGGTGAGAAAATATGCTACAGACAGGCATATTTATGAAAGTGAAGGGGTGACATAAATAACCCTTCGGGCTCAGCTAAAAGATATATTTCATTGGCAGCATATTGTTATAATTTTCTCTCACAGCAAATATCACCGATTTTATACACATGCAGACCAATACATATAATCATCCAGATGTGATCTTGGCTTCACAAAACATATGCAACCAACAATGCGTGTAGTTGGATCATTCCTCCATAGATGGACGATCATAGCGAGCAAACGTGGAATGATTGTTTGCACCCTAAAAACTACCTAGTCTGCAAGATGACATTTTTTTGAAGTTTTATAGGTTTTCCCAATGCCGGTTTTTCAATCGCGGATTGACTTTCAAGTTAGATAATTATGACTTGGAGGTTAACTATCAGTTGCCTGTGAATTTGTTTTTCAAGGGGCTGGTTAACGTTCCATAAACCGTTGATGCGGCTATGTTGCTTTTATGCCTGAATTATCGGGTTATATGCGTTTCGTGATGTGCATTTATGTCTCGTGTAATCCATGAAAACTTAGGAGGCTACTGTCAAATACATTAGGTTAGACATTGCGATTTGACCACAACTTTATAGTTATAGCATACATGGTCCTTAGAGCCGTCCAGAGTTGAGAGTTGTCAGATGTACGTTGCGTCTCTGGGTCATAACATTATTAGTTTTTTACCATCATCCATTGTCGTTGTTTAATGCAAAAAAAACCGAAAAAATATAACCTAACAATCTTGACATTGTCATTTTCGTTAACCTCACTACTTCGGAGCGTATAACACCGAATAAAAAGCTGGTGCATGAGCGGGCTGGAGGTTTCAAAAATGAGTAGTTCAGGTGCATGACACTAGACTCTAGAGGACTGGAACGGTATTAACAGGTGGTGGGCAGCTCCGAGTTACTCCGAGTAATACAAATGGTAGGATCCAACTACAGCTTTAGGACAAACTTGACATTGAAAAACGCTTCGGGATAGTTAACTTCTGGTTAGCAGTCAAATTGTATTTAACTTGCGTTTGAAAAATCGGGCCTAAGACTTCTATGGCTTGCAAGCAATGTCATGCTTCACAATAGATACATATTTTTTTCAGAATGATCAGTTGAAGGAGGCACTAGAAGCAGAGAGAAGAGGACTACACAAGTATGCGAAAAAGACTCAAAATGACAATATAGGAAGTGCGGAGAATTTGGTATGTCCATTTTCGTTGTTTTCCATTTTACTGTTTCAAATTAGAGGCAATTTTTCACCAATAAGTGATCATAATCTTTTTAGGAAGAAGGATCCACTACTTTAGCGTCACAATTTCAAAAGGCTGTGCAACATCTAGCTACGTGTAGACGAAAGAAATGTTCAGTATGCGCTTATACTAAGGAGACGTATAGTAAATTATCGCCAAACAATCACAAATACGAGTAAGTATATTTCTGTGTCCAGGAAGTATCTTGGTCAGAAAATATTCTGATTAGGTTTTCTGCATATCTTATTAAAAAAAAAAACCCATTTTAACGAATCTGCATGCTGCAAGGCCCAAAATTGCGTCAAAAATACTAGTATTTGTTTTTTTCGCTTCCTATAACGTTTTTTATGCTTTTTCGGACGTACTGAAAAAGGCTCTTAAAAATGTTTCTCAAAAGTTTATAGTTATCGAAAAATAAGCAATGGAATATTTGAAAAGTGCAAAAATGCAATTTTTGATCTTTATGTTTTACTGGTTATTGTACTCCCTCACTTTTATAAATTGATCCTTAGCGTGACGTGGGTTTTTAATCCTCCGCGACCAGGTTTATCTTTTAATTATGAAACGGTTCATTCTATACTAGGCATGTATTGAATTAGTGCTGGTGAATATAAAATGACAATCACAGCAAATGTAGTATAAATAGAAATAGTTTATTGGTGCTAAATATATTTAAATGTTTGTACAAGTCAAAAAAAGACGCAATAAAAAACAACAAAATATTGTAGCAAATAGAAGACAAACAATATAAATATACAATGGTTGCACAAGTCGGAAAAATGGGGCAATAAAATTATGGAACAGTTGAATAAAAGCTAAATATTGTAAATTAAAATATGTCCAGTGGGAAAGTTCACATTTCAAATTTGAATTAAGCAACAACCATATACGCGAGGAAGTGATCGACGCGTTCGGCGTGGGGGTTGAATAGTCACAATGGAACCTTGGACCGTTGCGCAACGTGCTTTTGCTATCGAGGATTACTTGGTGATTCATACGCAGCTGCATTTCGGAAATTTTGTACACGATACAACATTCGCCAACCAAGAGATGCCCAAGCAAGAACCTATTGAAAAAGTGGATTAAGAGGTACCGTGAAACAGGCTACTGTTTGTCAATCCATTCCTGGCCCCACACCATCTGTATCAACCGAAGAAAATGAGCGACGAGTAAGTGATTCGGTCATTGCAAATTCTCGGTGTCCTGTACGGAAACATTCCGCTTCTTTGGGAATCCCTAGGTCAACACTGCATGGCATAATGAAGAAAAAAAATGGGTTTTCATCCTTATAATGGGTGATTTTTTTGCTAGTATCTTTTTGGCAACACTTTTTGACAGATGACGCGTGAATCGTGTCTTGTGTCATTGTCAAACTTGTTCAGTTTGGTCTATAATTTAACCATGAATCGACTTACGAACGAACAACCCTTGCAAATTATTGAATTTTACTATCAAAATTCATGCTCGGTTAAGAGAATGCATCGAGCACTGCTTCCAATTTATGGGCAATTTGGTCGGCCTACTGAGGGAGCTATTCGGAAGCTTGTGACTAAATTTCGAACCCAGTTCACATTATTGAACATTAAACCACCAACACGCAGACGTAGAGTGAGAACTGAAGAAAATATTGCGGCTGTATCCGCCAGTGTTAGTGATGACCGTGAAATGTCGATTCGCCACCGATCGCAGCAATTGGGCCTCTGTTACTCCACTACGTGGAAAATTTTACGACAGGATTTGGGTGTAAAACCTTATAAGATACAGCTGGTGCAAGAATTAAAGCCATACGACCTCCCACAACGTTTCCAATTTGGTGAATGGGCGCTGGCAAAGTTGGAGGAAGATCCACATTTTTATCGAAAAATTGTGTTCAGCGACGAAGCTCATTTCTGGTTGAATGGGTACGTTAACAAGCAAAATTGCCGCATCTGGAGTGAAGACCAGCCAGAAGCATTGCAAGAGCTACCAATGCATCCCGAAAAAAATCACTGTTTGGTGTGGATTATGGGCCGGTGGCATCATCGGGCCGTACTTCTTCAACGACGACAATGGCCGGAACGTAACTGTGAATGGCGAGCGCTACCGTGCGATGATAATAAACTTTTTTTGCCCAAAATGGAAGAGCTGGACTTGGCTGACATGTGGATTCAACAAGACTGTGCCACATGCCACACCGGACACGAAACAATGGCCCTATTGAGAGGCGAGTTCGGTGAACAGTTTATCTCACGTTTGGGGCCCGTCAACTGGCCGCCTAGATCGTGTGATATAACGCCGTTGGACTATTTCTTGTGGGGCCATGTTAAGGCTAATGTCTACAGGGATAAACCAGCAACGATTGTCGCACTGGAAGCCAATATTGAAGCATTTATTCGTGAGATACCGGCCGATATGTTGGAGAGAGTGTGCCAAAATTGGACCTTGCGCATGGGCATGGGCATCATAAACATCGTGGCGGACCCTGCGATGGATCTGGTCCCAGAGGAAAACGATAGCGACTCGGACGAGGATGGAATCCTGAACCGAGTCCAAGAACTCCTCCGTGGAAGCGGAGATGAAGGCGGCTGTGGCAGCGATGACTGCGGCGGCGACGGCGGTACGCCCGAATAGGGGTTACATACCGTCATTCGGGAAGGTGTAGGAAGGGCCTCTCAACATCCATGGTAAGTTTTAATTTCATCCAAATTAACTTACAACACTGCATAGCGGCTTCGAGGGCCCTTACTCAGGAGATCACTCGAGGCCGACATGACGTGGCTCTCATCCAGGAACCCTGGCTGAGAAACGGTTCAGTAAACGGGCTTAGTATACCAGGCTATACGCTTTTTAGCGATACTCCGGACACTAAGCCCAGAGCTTGCGTAATGACTTCCGTCAACTCATGGCAACTTAAAGAATTTACATTTAGAGACTTAGTTGCAGTCAGAATTAGATATAAGAAGGAAGGCAGTGACAGGGACTTGGTTGTCTGTTCGGCTTACCTTCCTTACGATTCAAGAGACCCTCCTCCGTCTAAGGAAATGGGGGACCTTGTCGCATTCTGTAGGGATTCTGGACTCGACCTTGTGATTGGATGCGACAGTAATGCCCATCACGTTGCGTGGGGCAGCTCGAACACCAACAGACGAGGCGAAGACCTGATGGAGTTTCTTGGGGCATCGAACCTTGAGGTTCTGAATGTCGGTAACATGCCCACTTTCAGCAATAGTGTAAGAGAAGAGGTTATCGACGTAACACTGAGCACGCTTAACTTAGCTCAGGACATCAGGGACTGGAAAGTGTCTCTAACACCCTCTCTATCGGATCACAGGTTTATACTGTTCAAGACTGATGGAGAGATTCCGGATAAATATGCTCGGAATCCCAGGCATACTAGATGGGAGTCCTTTAGGGCAGACATTGACAGTAAGCTTGGAGCGGTCCCATACAGGCTTGGCAGGGGCTCTGACATAGAAGCAGCTGTCGAGTCTCTGAGCAGGGACTTGACGGCCGCATATGAGGAAAACTGCCCGTTACGCAAAGTACAAGGTAAGGGCAAGGCAACCTTCTGGACCAAAGATTTAGAGGATAGAAAACGAGCGGTGCACAAACTTCTTAGCAGAGTTAAGCACAGGAGAGGTTCTCCTCTATGGGAAGAATACAAAAAGGCATTGCAGGAGTACAAAAAGGAGATTAGAAGGGCCTCCAGAGAATCCTGGAGGCACTTCTGTCAGTCCATAAATGACATTCCTGCTACTGCAAGAATACACAGAGTCCTATGCAAAGACACTAAAGCAAGATTGGGATCTCTGCATGATCCCTCGGGAGGGAACACTACTTCCGAGGAAGATACTCTGAGGCTTCTGATGGATACGCACTTTCCCGGTTCCACAGTAGCGCGATCAATCACAGAGTGCATGCAGTTGCGCAGGCCCTCAAGGGAGGACTGGCGCACGGCAAGGGAGATTGTCACCTTCGAAAGGACGGTATGGGCAGTAGATTCGTTTGCCCCATACAAAAGTCCAGGTCTGGACGGCGTATTTCCGGCCATGTTACAGCAGGGACGGATTTCGGTTGTTCCTTACCTGTTGAATGTGTTTCGAGCATGTGTGGCCACGGGCTTCACACCTAGAAGTTGGCGGCAGGCTAAAGTGGTATTCATTCCTAAACCGGGCAGAGATAGATATACTGGCCCGAAGGATTTTCGACCGATTACTCTTTCATCTTTTGTGCTTAAGACCCTGGAAAGGATAGTTGATAGATACCTAAGGGATGGCCCACTGGAAAGGTGTGTCATTCATGCAAATCAGTTTGCATACCAAGCTGGAAAATCGACTGATCTGGCCTTACACAATCTGGTTGGGAGGCTGGAGAAGACTCTAGATCAGCGAGAAGTGGCACTCGTGGCCTTCTTAGATATTGAAGGTGCATTTAATTGCACCACAACCGACTCTATCAGACAGGCCTTGGTTAGACACGGGGTTGGATCAATCCTAATAGATTGGGTCCTCTCTACTCTGGAGGGTCGGGTAACAACAGCTATGCTGAATAACGTAAGCTGCAGCGTGAACGTAGCTAGAGGCTGCCCTCAGGGTGGAGTTCTGTCACCCCTACTGTGGTGTATCGTGGTGAACGAACTGCTCGTTAGGCTCAACAGTATGGGTGTCTACGTGCAAGCCTATGCTGATGACGTAAGCATAGTGGTTAGGGGGCGTTTCTGTAGAACAGTCTCGGAAATTATGCAGGGCGCTCTGCGCTCCGTGGAATCGTGGTGTAGGGAAGTCGATCTTTCTGTTAATGCTGAAAAGACCGAGCTGATCCTATTCACTAGGAGAAGAAGGCTTGACGGACTGGTCATGCCTACCTTCTTTGGGACTAGATTAGTTTTGTCCCAGTCAGTGAAATATCTGGGAATTATCCTGGACTGCAAACTGAACTGGAGAGAGCATGTGGAACACAAGGTTAGCAAGGCTCGCAATTCGATGTGGGCTTGTAGACGTGTTGTCGGTGTAAGGTGGGGGCTTAAACCCAAAGTGGTATACTGGCTCTACACGACGATAGTACGTCCATCTCTCTTGTACGGCTCCCTGGTCTGGTGGCCTTGCATTAGAACTGAGTCAACTAAGGCCAAACTCAATAAAATTCAGCGTTTGGCCTGTATTAGCATTACAAGCGCAGTGCGAACAACGCCATTGA